CTTCCACAATGCTCACTTGAGCACTTAGTCACAAGGTTCAGGCCGGGTTTGCCCTGCCAGCGAGGTGATCCGGTCATCTAACTTGCTTGGGTGGTCCTCAAGACAGGTTTCAGGTCTGTGTTGTCCTTTGACAATTTTGACAATTGACAGACCACCCGCTGCTGAAGGAACAGACCCAGATCATCGCTCCCATCAGCAACTCCCCGAAGCCCCCGCCTCGTAGGATCACCATGACCCTCCCCCTCCTTAATGCCGCTCGCAGCGCAGTCTTTGTGGTCACAGGTGACAGTAAGGCTACTGTGCTGAAGGAAGTGCTGGAGGGGAAGAGTGCGAACCCTCTCCCCGCAGGCCTGGTACAGCCGGCAGAGGTCAACTGGTTTGTGGACCAGGCGTCAGCCAGCAAGCTGAGCAGCCCTGGGGATCAGGATCTGCCCTAGCCCCTTACCCCGGGGGAGAGGGGTGGGGGGTTGTGTGGGCAACACCACAGACAGACAGCCCCCCCACCCCACGCCTGCCTTCACACAGCAGCTAGAGCTTGGACATCACTGGAGTATCTGAGTCGGACGCGTGTGGGGGTGTAATTAACGAGCAGTCACCCACACACGACGAGCGGGTAACATCACAGGCCGATGCCCGTCGGGGGGTGGGGGGAGGCGAGGTGTTTTGACGTGGAGCTGAGCATTGGAGCGGGAGGGCCCCAGAGTGGAGTCCTGTAGCTCAGTGGTTAGAGCACTTGCTTTGCAAGCGAGAGACCTGAGTTCAATTCCAGGCAGAGGGCGAAACCTTGGGCAAGTTTCCTTACTCCACACAGAGCCTAATAATAATCCCTCCAAAGCCAAAAACAATAATAAATTGATCATTTTCAATCAACGACTGTTTGTGGGACATTGCTGTGCGCAATTGGCTGCCGCGTTCGCCCACAAATATACAGTCAATTCACTTTACAGTGTGTTGTGTGAAGCGCTTTGGGACGTCCTCCCGACGTGAAAAGCGCTATATCAAATGCAAGGATTATTATTATTATTATTATTATAATTTGGGGACTGGAAGAGTTGGGAGGGGGGTTGAGGGGCTTGTCCCTAAGTGGAATGCGATTCGATGGAATTTGGTTAAATGGGTGAGTAGGCCTGTTTTGCTTGTTTGTTTTGAAGGGATTATTACTCTCGGCAAGCCTACCGCCAATCGACTAACAAAAGGGTTCCTATTTACTGCTAGGTAAACAGAGATGTGTGGAGGAAGGAAACTTGTCTAAGCTTTCGCCCTGCTTGGGAATCGAACCAGGTCCTCTTGCTTGTGAGGCAGGTGCTCTAATCCCTATGCTACAGGATTTCAGGCCAGTAATTTTATTCCAGTAAAATTGTGTGAGGTATCTTCTGGCATGAAAGGCACTACATCAAATTCAAGGAATATTACCATCAACTATGAATATAATGCACAACAGTGTTTACTCTTCATCGAAGTGTGACTGCTTTGTAAAGCGTTATTCATCCAAATCCAAGAGACTTAGTGCATTGACATGATAAATGTTACCCTAAAATACATCAAGTACTGATGCCCAAGTAGTGATGTGAAAATACATGTTCTCAATGGCATAATTTCAGACCTTCTAATATTTTCACAGATGTTTATTCAATTTGCCAAGTCTGCACATGAAACACCACATTATTGTATATGAAACAACCAGAGGTCCAAACAATCATATTGACTTTGGTTCATCTATTGCTTTCAAGCAGTTAAGGTCAGGAAAAAGTGCAAGGCAAAATAATATTAAACCTAACTTGGATCTCAGCACCCTCATTCTTTAAAACACATTCACCCTTCACATACAAGCAATACAAAAGGGAGGGGAAGGGGGGGGAAAAAAAAAAGCAAGAAATTACCCAAGTATTTCTTTAAAACTTTGACTTTGCAAGTTTGGGGTTTCTAGCAAACCATGTTCTTTCGATAAACACAATAAACCACGTGTGATCAGTTTATGTGATTCAAGCCAGGAAGGTGGAGTAGTGGAAAGGTGAGAACATGATTGTATCTCAGCTTTTAAACCGCATGCTGAAGATGAACTCATGTTTGAACAGACCGCACGGACAAAATTATCAAGTCACTGTAAGGCCTCACTTTTGGCCAGCTTGAGGGGAAAAATAAAGGAGCATCTTACTGCTCATTATCCATTTTGCTATGTATAAAAAAAGGAGGTTTGTGTAAAAGCTAAACCCAAACTCCCGACTGTAAGCCAACACTCCACCTGCATCAAATTCTACCTAAAAGAGATCACAATGCGCAGACACTGGACTGGAATGCTAAGCTTTCCTCAGTCAGGAAGGAGTCAATGGGACTACTGTGACCTCCTCTGGTTAGGTCTTGTGATGATCCACAAAATTGAAGACACCAAGTGGAGATGTTCTCCTTTTGCTATAAACTCGTGGCAGCTGTTTATTCTGAAGGGTTGCCATACAATCCGAGTAATCCCACCTGCTAAAGACCATCAGGATTGTCAAATGATAGACTGGAGCAGGTGTATTTGTCCCCAATCAGAAAGTCCCGAACAACTGTGAAAGGATAGCGAGGTGCCTAAGGTTCTCCTGCTAAATCTGCATTGTGTTCACAGTGAGATGGTATTCCTTTACCTTTCATATTAGAGCAATCTTATTTTTGGCTCTCACTCGCACTCTGCCGCTTAAGTGCCTCAGATGATTAATTGCCTGACTCAAAGTAACTGCCAGTACAGTAGCGTCAAATCTGCTTTAACCGTTTTAAGCAAGCAACAGGCACCCCCTAGAAATCTGCTCAGTGACAATGTGCAATAATAAATAATAAATAACCCTTGCATTTGTGCCTTTGAGAGTTGAGAAGTCTTGAAGCGCTTCACAGAATTCACTGTGAAGTGAACTGACTGTATATGTTGTGCATGAAACGTGGCAGCTAATTGCACACAGTAGTGTCCCATGGTTTGAGTGACCAATTTTTTTAAAAAAAAGGATTATTACCCGCAGAAAATGATCCATCAATCAACTAAATGTCAGGTTCCTACTTAATAAAAAAATTATAATCCTTGCATTTGATGTAGCTGTTATCACGTCTTTGAAAGGTCTCAAAGCACTTCACCGAATATCCTGCAAAGTGAATTGACTGTGTAGTTTGGGGAGGGGAGGGATTATTATCCCCAAAAGCGATTCGCCAATCGTCTAACAACTGAGTTCCTACTTACTGCTGCATAAACACAGGTGCGTGGAATAAAGCAACCTGCCTAAGGTTTCGCCCTGTCCGGGAATCAAACCTGGGTTCGCTACCTTGCTAGGCAAGTTCTCTAACCAATACCCTGCAGGACTCCACATAAGATTGGTTGCAATGGTCTTCGGGTCTTGTGTTCAGCACTGCAATGATACACCATGGAGAGCACTGCATTTCAAACCAAATGGCAGTTGAGGTTTTAGATTGGTTGTTGACTAACCCGGCAGTCCAGAGCTGTGTAGAATCAAGTTTATTTTACTGCCCTCATTTCCTCTCCCTCCACATCTCTGTGACAACCAGTCGATGTTTAATCAGCATCACACCCTTTGCCATTCATTGGTTCATAGACAAGTCGGAAGCATTAGCTTCTGTAATGGATTGTGTTTCCCTGCCATAATTCACTGGAAGCCATGGCTCAGCGGACTTCATATGGTCCCGCATGGATTGGCATCCTTTCCAGTCTCCAATGCCAATCAGGAGTTATTCGAAGCAGGAAAACTCAACACCAAAGTATTACTATGTACTTGGTCAACACTAAATTTTCCATTCTCCTACACCCAAACTGGCATCCAAGACTGAACAGGGAGGCACTCTGCAGTGCATGAGCAGAGCATCAATGCTCTTACACAAAATTATTTAAACGTTGCATAATTTCATCTCATTCACAATTTTACCTGTAAACAGTAATTCATCTCCACACTGGAGATGTACGATATTTATTCCAATTTACAGTGCAGACAGATTTTTAAAGGGGGAAGAGAAAGGAACTTTATTGCAATTCTAAGGTGCCATCAATTCAAAGATATGCACTGATGCATTCAAACCTATTAGCATTTTGGACAAAAATACACCAAACCTTGATATTTAATCTTCATCTCTGCAAACCAACACCACTTGTCACTGCACTACAGAAAAGCGAATGACCTGGTAGGTAAAAGTCACCACTTGGTGCAGCACCAAGCTACATAAACAGAAGGTCACAGGCTGAGATAGCTAATCTCAGCCAGAGAAGCAGCTTTTCCCTCCTCTCTTTCAACATGCAGAATGTTTTTCCTCCTAGAAGTTTTAACATAAATTTAACATTAAACATGAATTATTATGGAATATGGAGGTTAGCCTTATCCATAATGCTCATCATTGTAAAGGCAAACACAAGCGAGAAAGGAACTGAAGGTTGGGGGAGAGGGGATTAGGAGGGTGAGGGCTCTAGTGGAGTACAAACACTGGCATGGACTAGTTGGGCCAATGTTTCCATGCTGTAGCGCTCTACATAAATCCGATTTAAACATTGTAAACAACTGGACAGAAATAATCCATCTTAAGTTCCTGCTTTTCCACTTAACAGCCGCATTGCCAATGCCCCAGGAGTTCATGTAGAGCTTTCATTCGTCCAAGGGGGAATGATGCAACCATCATCGATATGATTGACAACATTAATAAAATAATCTTTAAACATGACACAAGACACTTGGCAAGTTGCAGAGCTTGCTGTGCAATATGAAAAACATTATCCCAGTATTTGTACTATGCATGTTTATTCTGAGTTGCACTTACTGAATATCGGTCACAAGTGCAAGCAGCCTGCAAGAGAGCTGTGTGACTATCACATGAGCTTTATGGGCACTCTTACAAATTCCTGAACAGCAAAACATTCATTGTTAGTGAGGTTTCACTTCTATTTTTTCATTCGAACTTTAAATTATAAAGATGATTTATTAGCGTAGGCTTTATTCATAAACACTTGTAATTGCAAAACCCACAAATTCACTTACCGATCTGTACTTGTTCCCGCTGGCTCAATGCTACAAACACTGAAGTATCATCTATCCAGGATACTTGGATGTTACCTGAAATAAGGACAAAACTGCAGTTAGAATGTGACTGCCATATACTTTATAGATGAATTTCATGTTTATAGTTGAAGTCAGGAATACCATTAACTCATCTCCCTTAAATTTCTAATTGTTTATATAAATCCTTCATGTCCTAGCAATTCTCTATCTCTCTGATCTCCTTATACCCCACTCTTCTGCCCACCCTCTACACTCAGCTAACACTGGTGTATTACATGTCCCGTTCCCTCCACGGCACTATCAGTGGCTGAGCCTTCAGTCATTACGCTGCCAACCATTTTCTTTCAATCACTTTCTGCTTCTATATCTCCGTCTTGCCCTCACTCTATCAGTTTTCCCAGCCAGCTTGGAGCCCCTCCCAGCTTAGGGTCCAGCCCGCCACTGTGAAGCGCTCCGAGAAGCTACCCTACATGAAAGGCGCTGTGTAAATGCAAGTTGTTGTAACCTAAAATTCTCTTTTAGCTTAGCCGTTAAGGCGCAAAACAGAAGGGAGTTTCTCCCAGTCTTATGGCCAAAGATCCTCCAGATTAAATTCTGCCTCTGGCTGTGCAAAATAAAATTGTCCCATTGCATGCAAAAAACAGTCAGTGCACTTGATAGCAATTACTCTGAAATACATCAATTCTGACATCATAGGTGCTGTAAAAATGCAGTTGGATTTTTTTCCATACCCTTGTCACACAAAAATAGGGCAGATTGTAGTAATCACGTACAGATTAATCTGCCCTTTCAAAAGGATTCACACAAAAGAGTTGAAGTCTCCCCAAACAAAATTAGCAACCAAGTCTTTGCATTCAGCTTCCTGGTAGTATCTAATGTTATAGTTCCTAGAAGTAGACGAGGGTAGGTCACAAGTTTTCCTGTAGCTCAGTGGTTTGAGCACTCGCCTCGCAAGCAAGAGACCTGGGTTTGATTCCTGGCAGGGCAAAACCTTGGGCAAGTTTCCTTATTCCACACGCCTGATAATAATCCCTCAAGAAAAAAAACAGTAATATATTGATACTGATATATATTTTATTGATCACTCAATTCAAAACTTTTTGTGGGATACCACTGTGCGCAATTGGCTGCCGCATTTCACCTACAAAATATAGTCAATTCACTTTACAGTGTATTCTGTGAAGCACTTTGAGACGTCCAGAAGATGTGAAAACCGCTATGTCAAATGCAAGTATTATTATATTTATTTAAATCTGATCCTTGGCCTACAACTAATTAATTAGCTGACCTCAGCTAGCGAGACATTGTGGGACATTGGCATTCCTTGTCTAGGATGAACTGAAAAATTATCCATCAATTGCTAAAAGTCAACGTCAACAAGCTTCCCCCAATCCTCTACACCATTGGGAAATGTAGGTGGATTCAACTCCACTTTTCTGACACAAACAAGATAATATGGAAACGTGCTTAAAGATTTTTTGTGTCATATTTTGCCGCAATATTTTAAAATTACTCTCATTCAGGATTTTTCTACTTTTCTCAAGACACACCCCTTCCCCAGGGTTAAGTTTGAATGGGTATCTGTTGGCTATCAGAACGTTGCCAAGTTGCCGTTATTTTTGGGTGAAGCTGGACAGAGGGTGTTGGCATGATACTCAACTGACCAGTGGGTGGGGGGGAATAAGACATCTGCACCTGATGTTGTCCTTGCCTGATATCCACATTTGCAAACCTTAAACAAAAGGAGGAACCCTGGCTGGTTTTCCTTTCTCTCACTGGGGTGCTGAGGTTAAACATAGCAATTTGATGGATATCAGAAAAACTGTGTTGAAACAATTCAAACCCGCAATTTTGTTTTTTGTGGCCTAGGGTTGCACTAATGCATTCATGAAACCATATGGACTCTTTGCCTATCTTCTTCTTCTACCTATATTCTATATTAATAAAACAATGTCTGACTCCGCTTCAAGAAGGATCTCAATAACCGATTGACGTAGATACATAATTTATAACTTATCGGAAAGGTCTTGCACCTGGGAGTGACATGGGTATACTTGTTTTGGGGGTTTTCGCTATAGTTATACCCGGTGGCCTTCGAGGCAAAGTGGTGCTGTGGCATCATGCATCACAGAACACATAAGTATGTATGCACGCACTGCAGTTACAACTGGTGGCCACGTCGGCTGACTGTGGCGCTGTTTTTTTTCAATGCTGAAAGGAGTGCAATAGCACGCCAAAATGAGTTGCCCACTCGAAGAACAGTACGGCCAAAATGAGTCCTCCCACAGGAGTCCTCTCATAGGAGTATAGATAAAGATGAAATGTCCGTCCGTGTGTCTGTCCGTCAATCTACATTCCATATTGGATCCTTTGGTTGCAAACGTAGCTGCAATGGGTACAGCTAGCACTTAATAATAATAATGAAATATAAACCATGAATTTGATATAGTACCTTTCACCTCAGGATGAATCCTTATAGCACTTCATAGGATATACTGTAAAGAGTAGTGACTGTGCATTTTGTAGGTGAATGTAGCAGCCGATATGCACACAACTAAATCCTCCAAACCAAAGATTTAGATCTTTCCAAGCTATTGGACAGGAACAACAGATAGAACAATTCACTTCTGTATGTGGAAAAATTTCTAATAATCACCACCCAAGCAGTATTAAAAGTATATTTTAAAAATTTACAGTAGCATTTAAGCTCATTCTCCCCCTAGTGAAAAAGCCTGCAATATATCTGATTATATATATATATATAGAAATATATATAATATATATTAAAAAAACTTGCATTCGGAAATTGGGTCCGATTACAAGCATGCAACACACCAATATAATGGACAAACTAAGTTATATGCAGCACAGATTTAAAACAGTAATCCTGTTCAATTGAGGTTCCCATTTTAGCATCCCCAAATGCTAAATGTACCGTGAACTTCCTATGAGCTATTGATGATTCAACTCATCAAAAATAAAGTGAGAGGAAGTTGCTGCTGTAAGGATAAAACCACTGAATGTTTTGCTTCGGGTCTGGGGCTAACCGAGTCACCAGTTTACAGCAAATGAAAGGGAGCAAATCAGTTGAACTTCTGTTCTGAGGGCAGCTGTTCCTACCAAAGGCACTGAACAGTTGGTAGAGGTCACTGGTCTTCCATTCCTTGGGAAATCGAACGTGTAGAACGTGGTCCCTCTTTGGTTTCACTGAAAAACAAAGGTAAACATTAGAGTTCTTGGTCCTGGACTCCTTGGAGGATTCAAACTTTGGCGAAGAAAATACAAATGAAGTACAATTTGTTCCATGTAATGTACAAATCAGTTAAAAATAGATGCATAACTAGCAAATTCCTACCAATAACTAGTCATGGTATAATCCTAGAACAACTGATGGCCTTCATTATTACAAAAAGCTTTTCACTGCTTTCACTGAACGGTTGTATCGATTCTTCCTTTTCCCTGGAGCTTGTTGAACATTCCTTTCCACAAAGTATCGGAAGAAATGCTACACTTTAAAACAAATTGATCACCGCACGCACTGGAGTTTCATGTTTCTTTTATCAGAATCTTTTGCAATTGTTTCAGTGTCTGATGCATTTCAAGGAAATTCTTTGACCTGTTTTTGGACGTGTATACACCAGTCACATAAGCACGTTTTGATTATGAATCTCAAAGGATTCATTTCACCTTATGTAGGTAGAAAGCAATTACACAGAGTTTTGCTAGAGTAAATAAGGAGAAACTGTTTCCACTGGCAGGCAGGTCAGTAATAATAATCCTTGAATTTGATATAGCACTTTTCACGTCAGGAGAAAGTCCCAAAGTGCTTCACAGAATACACTGTAAAGTGAATTGACTGTAGATTGAAAATGACCAATTTATTATTGTTTTTGGTTTTGGAGGGATTATTATTAGGCTCTGTGTGGAGTAAGGAAACTTGCCCGAGGTTTCGCCCTCTGCCTGGAATTGAACTCAGGTCTCTCGCTTGCAAAACGAGTGTTTTAACCACTGAGCTACAGGACTCCTGTAACAGAGGACACAGATTTAAGACAATTGGCAAAAGAACCAAAGGGGAGCTGAGAATTTGTTTTAATGCAGCAAGTTGTTATGATCCGGAATGCACTGTCTGAAAGGGTGGTGGAAGCAGATTCAATAATAACTTTCAAAAGGGAATTGGGTATATACTTGAAAAAAAAATTACAAGCCAAGGGAAAGAGCAGGACTAGTTGGTAGCTCTTTTAAAGAGCCGGCACAGGCACAACGGGCCGAATGGCCTCCTGTGTTGTAGGATTCTATGATACACAGGAGTCGTTCCTTACAGTCAACCACAATATCTTTGTAGTTTGTACAGCATCTCAACTATCTGACTGCTCTTGCAAAAAGGCCCATTTTCACAGCACTTGCTCCCCTAGTGACAGGGAAAACCATTGGGATTTAGAAGGCAGAAATAAACTTCTGTTTATAAGCAGGGCATGATTTGGGTTTTGGTACTGGCATAGGAAGGCCATTAAGAGCCCTAGGTTATCAAGTGTTTTCTGGGTAAATCCAGTTATGCACAATAGAACTTGCTGAATAAACATGCTGGCATGTGCGTTTATACATACAATACACACTCCAGTTCAAGTACTTACAGTCAGGACCACTCAGGTTCAGGTAAGGAATATCTATAATCCTCATTAGAAACAGTCTATAAAAAGAAATAGAAAAAAAATCACAAATTAATAAATCTAAAGATTTCATCACAATTCCAAGCCAGAGACAATCCTTGTCTGAAACCAAGTATAGGAAAAGTATTCAAACTAAACCACAAATCAATATCAGGGATTTCCTCAGACATCAGAATTGCAAACACGTTTTACATATAGCATTAGGAGATGCACAAATTAGAATTAGAAACACATGCTTTTTGCAGATAGCAACAGGAAGGACTGGTGAATTTCCAGCACTTACAGAGTTAAGTCACTTGCTTTGATTTCAAACAACTGCTAAATATTTAAAGGAGGAATTATGATTTTATTTTGACTACACTAATCTAGCAGCCACTCCCAGGTACATCATATCTGTCAGGTTTTGACATATAGTGTAAATGCTGCGCTTCCCAGTGAAAACCTGCTGACTTCACAAAATCAGAAAACCGGTTATAATAATTTAGGTTTTTAACCATTTAATCTCATGCTTATTGAGCACCAACACTTATCTACCCATTACAATATTGAGTCATCTTTTAAAGAGATCCAATTCCCAATCAATGTTTCTTATAACCCATTCTCGTTTTGAATTGCCCGCAGAGTAGAAAATTATAAATATTTCCTGATATCAGTTTTGAGCTTGCTCTCCACAAAGTTGAAATCGTGCCTGCTGCCTCACTGTTCCTGAAAGTAATGTTCTGGGTTTCATTTCTCTATCCCTTTAAGTATGAATAAATAATCCATACCTTTGATATTGATTGCACCTGTAACATCAAAACACCTCAAAGCCCTTCACAAGCATCAAGTTGTTGTTGTTGTTGTTGTCGTGACCCAACTCTCAAGTGCCAAGTGTAATGACTATATTTGTAGAAAATACAAATAAACACCCTATACACCTCTATAAAGATCATATGAAAGAATGCAAGGGCAGAGCCAGGTTCTTCTGCAGTCGCATAAAAGCACCCATCTTTCCAGAACAACGCAAATGGAGATTAGAGGAACTCGGCTTATTTTTACTGAAACAGAAAAGGTTGAGGGGATATCTGTAATATTATGTGCGGTTTTGATAGAGCAGATGTAGAGAAATGAAATGATGGTCAGTGAATCAGTGACTAGATGGCATCTATATCGACAACGACAAGTATTTATAAAGCACCCCTCACACAGGGTAACATCCCAGAGCGTTTGAAAGTGGCAAAGCATTTGACAGTGGCAAAGCATGATGCCAAGTCGGAGGATGGGGGAGGTGGTCGTAAGCACCGTCAAACAGGAAGGTCTTCAGGTACAACCTGAAGATAGGGAAGGAGGAGGCAAGGTGGAGGGATTGGGGGAAGGAAGGGGTAAGGTGGAGGAATGGAAGAAGAGTATTCCAGAGTTTCCGGGAGCGGTGGCTGAAAGTGTAGCCACAGATGATGGAAGAGAGGGCACGAGGGACAATCAGGAATAATCTGCAGGGGTATGGGGAAAGCCAGGTCAATGACATTGAATGGATACTCTTTCAAAGAGCCAGCACGATTGGCCCAATGGCTGCATTCTGTGCTATAAATGTCTATGGTTCGAATACACAGCACAAGGATGATTCATAATATTAATAGAAAAAGGAATATTTGAAAAAGTGGAGTATTATTAAGCTGCATATAACTGAAAAGAGTTGGATGCAGAGGATTCAAAGGTCATTTAGGCTGATTTAATGAGATGTAAACCATGTCCAAATGTTTTCTCTGGATCCAATTAAAAAGGTATTGAGAGTCGATGCTGAATCGAGTTAATATCTGTTCGCTTTGCCTGACAGGATTTCTTTACCGGAAGTAATTACTTACTGTGTCACCATAGTATACTAATTTCCACAGTAGTCTCTTAATGCTGGTGTATATTAGCCAAGAGACTCCACTGTGGAGTCCTGTAGCTCAGTGGTTAGAGCACTCGCTTTGCAAGCGAAATACCTGAGTTCAATTCCAGGCAGAGGGCGAAACCTTGGGCAAGTTTCCTTACTCCACACAGAGCCTAATAATAATCCCTCCAAAACCAAAAACAATAAAAAATTGGTCATTTTCAATCCACGACTGTTTGTGGGACATTGCTGTGCGGAATTGGCTGCCGCGTTCACCCACAAATATACAGTCAATTCACTTTACAGTGTGTTCTGTGAAGCGCTTTGGGACGTCCTCCCGACGTGAAAAGCGCTATATCAAATGCAAGGATTATTATTATTATTATTATTATTGCAGTCTGCTGGGGATGGCAGCATTATTGCTAGCAGGCAGCTGCCCTACTGAAAAATGAACAACTTTCCTTTCAGGCTCCAGCGGCTAAACCCTCCCAGTCACCAATTATCCTCTGCTGCCTTCACTTCTCGTAGCTGAATGCTTAGCACTAAGCTTTCCATTACTCACACGCAAAACCTTGGACAGATCTTTCCCTCTCCCACCTTCTTAGCCCACTGCTAAATAGCAAGCCAGAAGCAAAGCTGCATGATTTTCAGGATAAGGGTATGAGGCAGAGTGATGTTGGGAGACAGTTGCAGAGAGTAGGAGCAATACTTGAATGCTCACCCAATGCTACACCCGAGGACATGAAACAACCCAGAGTTAAAATGAAGGGATTGAGCGGAAAACAAAGAAATTGTAAAAACCATCAACTTCACAATAAACAACACACAAACCATTGAAATTCATAGCACAGAAGGTCATTTGGCCCATCGTGTCTGTACCGAGTGACAGTATAGCCAATAAACACGGGTTATATTGCACCAACAACCTAATATATAAGCAGCAAAATAAATCTATTAACAGCCTCCCAGTCGCTCAGTGGCCATCAACATACTTTGACTGCTTAATTGTTTCTTTGGATCTCCTCCATGTGGTGTTTCTCCCTCTCTTGCTATCCTCCATCCTCTTTCAGGCTAAAATTCCAGTTCTGATAAACAGCTATGCCTGAAACTTCAACACATTTTCCCCTTTTGAACGCTGCAGATTTCCAGTGTTCAGCTTTTGTTACTTCGAACAATATTAGACCAATCTTAATCGTTAGAGCCGAAACAAGTTTGTCATTATACATTTAAAGACACTCACACTAATATTTGCATGGGGTTGATTCTAACAGTACAAAAAACATCCCGCTAATCGCTGCTGACAGTGACTAATGTTGGCAATTAACCAGCGGTAATGATGAAACCATAATGTACAATGTAAACAAAAGTGTCCAGCAGTAATACATCAGATTCTGATGAAGCCAATGATGAACAGATAATATTAAAACCTAGAAGCTGCTGCAGAAACATACTTGCACTTCCTCAGGGACTAAGCTTCCTATCCAGCTTTCTAATTTAGGACACTACAAGCCTTCAGATTCTGAACCATTATTAGAATTAAATAGTTAACTACAGACCAAGTTAACTGAGTTAATAATTCTTGCATCTGATATATTGCCTTATGTCGTTGAGATGTGTCAAAGTACTTCACAGAATATATTGTAAAGTGAATTGACTATTTTGTGAGTGAAAATGTGGCAGCCACTTGGGCACATCAGTGTCATGGATTGAGTGGAGAATTTTTTTTTTGAAAGATTATTATTACTCCCAGAAAGCAATCTGCCAATCGAGTGATTAGATAGACTAACCTTGACTTCTTAGTGAAATGGCACTGAAGTTTGGTACAGATCGTAACATTCAAAGGGTTAAATTTACAAACTTGTCCATTGGAAAATTTGCTCAAACCAGATTTCAACTCAGTTGATATTCTGGAAGGGGAAAAGTAGAGTAAAGCAGATTCTTTGACGCTTGCAAGTCAAAGATAAGAAATTTCAGGGAATGTTTAGCCATAGTTATCTTCATACAGGTGAAAATGAACGTACAACCAAAGCACTTACTTGTTGATGAAAGGTTCAACCAGTTTAGATCGGGCAGAAACAGAAACTTTAGGAGGGCTGAGGAAAGAACCTGTAGAGGAAGAGAGAAAAAAGTACTCTAGGTTTAAACTCCAAAATAATAATACAATAATATTAAAAATCCTTGCATATGATATAGCACCTTATCATGTCGATGAGATGTCTCAAAGCGCTTCACAGAATGTACTGCAAAGTGGGTTGACGGTGTATTTTGTGGGCAAAACTAAAATCTCAAGATTATTTCAATACTTTGCATTGTTCCAATTTAAACATGATAAAAAAAAGTAACCGATAAGACAGAGTTGCCAACGTAAACAGTAGACTAATCTGAGTCATAAGTACTCTTTATGACAAATACATATCCAATTGCTTTGTGGTCGAGACCACTCAAACAAAGCCATTCAAAAGACAAAATTAACAATGAACAATACAAACCAGGGCACCTTTTCAGAGTTCACGCGATATCCACATTTAATGCATTGAGGAAATTAAAATCACTTTGGAGGACTATATTAATCACACTTGATACTGTTGAAGAGTTCAATGCAGAATATCCTAAATATGATCACATCCTAAAATAACGAACGTATGTTGAAGCATAAATAAGTTACAGGAGCTTAGCAAAGCAAAATTGGGCATAATTCATAGAATCATACGGTACAGAAGGAGGCCATTCGGCCCATCATATCTATGCCAGCTCTTTGAAAAGAGTTATCCAATTCAATCCCACTCCCCCGCTCTCTCCCCATAACCCTGCAAACTTGTCTTCCCCAAATAATTGTCTACTTCTCTCTTAAAAGTTGTTATCGAATCGGCTTCCACCACCCTTCCAGGCAATGTATTCTAGATCCAAACAACTCGCTGTGTGAAAAAATGTCTCCTCACCTCCCATGTTTCTTTTAACAACTATTTTAAATCAATGTCCTCCGGTTACTGACCGACCCGCCAGTGGGAATAGTGTCTCCTTGTTCACCCTATCAAATCCTCTCATAATTTGGAAAACTTCTATTAAGTCTCCTCTTAACCTCCTCTGCTCCAAGGAGAATAATCCCAGTTTCTCCAGCCTCTCCTGATAACTGAAGCCCCTCATTCCTGGTACCATCCTGGTCAATCTCCTTTGCATTCTCTCCAATGCCTTGACATCCTTCCTAAAGTGTGGGGCCCAGAATTGAACCCAGTCTCTCTCTAAGTGAAAATTTATTTTGTCCCAGATTATAGTCTCCAGAAGTTTCCCCACCACTGACATTGGGCTGACTGACCTGTAGTTCCTAGATTTATCCTTCTGCCCCTTTTTCTACAGGGAGTAACATTTGCAACCCTCCAGTCCTCTGGCACCACCCTGGTGTCCAAGAACGAATGAAAGATTGTGGCCAGAGCCTCTGTTATTTCCACCCTTACTTCCTAGGATGCATCCCGTCCGGACTGGATGACTTATCTACCTTGAGCACCAACAACCTTCTTAGTACCTCCTCTTGGTTTATTATCTTATCCAATTTCTCTCCCCTCTCCTCCGATACTGTGGCATTGGCTGCATCCTCTACTTTTGTGAAAACAGATGCAAAGTACGTCAGCCATGCCCTCTGCCTCCACAAGAAGATTTCCTCTTTGGTCCCTAATTGGATCCACCCTATCTTTTATTCTTTATATGCTTTTAAAATACCTTAGGGTTCCCTTTTATGTTACCTGCTAATCTTTTCTCATATAATCTCTTTGACCCTCATTTCCTTTTTCAGTTCTCCTCTGTACTTTCTATGTTCTAATTGATTATCTTCTGTATTTTGGACTTGACATTTACCATAAACCTCCTTTTTCTGCTTTATTTTAGTCCAAATTTCCTTATTCATCCAGGGAGGTTTGGATGTCCTATCTTTTCCCTTTGTGGGAATGTATTTGTTCTGTCCCCAAACTATCTCCTGCTTCAAAGCTTCCCATTGCTCGTTAGCTGTTTTACCTGCTTATTGTCCTTTCATAGTCCACCTTGGCCAGGTCCCTTTTTAACTCACTGAAATTAGCCAGTTGAGTATCTTCACCTTTGATAGTTCCTTGTCTGTTTCCATGAGTACTCTTAAACCTATTGTTGTCCAGATAATCTCCTACTGAAACCTGCTCCACTTGTCCCACTTCATTTCCCAGAACTAGATCCAGCACTGCTTCCTTACTCTTTGGGCTGGAAATGTACTGATCCAGAAAGTTATCCTGCACGCATTTCAGGAATCCTTCCCCCTCCTTGCCCTTTACACTGTTATTTTACCAGTCTATGTTAGGATAATTGAAGTCCCCCTTTATCACCACTTTATTGGTTTTGCATCTTTTTGAAATCTGCTGCAGATTTGCTGGTCTATCTCCTTCCCACTATTTGGTGGTCTATAATAAACACTGAACAGAGTAACAGCTCATTTTCTGCTCCGTAACTCTTAACCAAATAGATTCTGTTTTTGGACCCTCTAGCATATCATCCCTTTCCAGGGCCGTAACCGTGTCTTTAATCAATATTGCCACCCACCGCTCCTCCTTTTTTCCCTTCCCTATCCCTCCTGAATACATTGTAGCCGGGAATATTCAACTCCCATTCTTGCCTTTGTTTGAACCAGGTCTCCATTATTGCCACTACATCATAACCCCGTGTGGCAATTCGAGCCGCAACTCACCAACCTTATTTGTCACACTTCGTGCATTTACGCGCATGCACTCCAAGACCGACTTAGTCTTCTGCATTTCTCCTCCATCTAATCTTTTCCTGGACTACTCCTTATTATTATCCTATTTGTCTCTCTCAGCCGTCTATGTAACTTGTTTGTCCTCTCTAATGCTACATCCTGATTCCCTTCCCTGAGCTCAAGCAGCCCGAGGCACTTCCTACACACGTGTTTCTCCAGGGCACACAAAGCATCCTGGAGTTCCCACATGGCACACATTGTGCATGCAACCGGTCTCAGCTGCCCTGCCATATCGCAGACATGTTTTATATTGTTTTAATATAACTATTATATATTTTATAATTACGCACCTCTTTCCCCTCTGCACCGAATTCCCACTCTCACTAAATTCCTTAACAGAAGTTTCACTCTGTTCCAAGTCACTCACTTCACGCTGCTGGGCTCTCTGCTTAAGTGAAGCGTTCACAAGTCTTCTCCTTTATATAGGAACTCAAATAAAAGCACCCAGTTTTGACTGGTCAGCAGATTTTTTAACCCCAACACTTGGCCTATGATTAACTGCTAATTGACTTGTTTGCCTGCTTGCATATAAGGTTGCCTCTACCTCAAAAAAAAATTCCCACTCGTCTGCTGAATGAAAGAGTTCTCTCTTGCTCTCTGGTATCTCTTTTACTGAAGAATTCCCACTCTCACCAAATCCCTTAACAGAATTCTCACTCTGTTCCACCTCACTCAGCTCCCTTCTCACACTGCTGGGGTCTCTGCTCAATAATGCTAATTCTAGCATTATTACATATCTACTCATCTAGATTGCTGACCTGAGTTAAAACAACAAAGTTCAAAACTTTAATGAGTTAGTAAACCTTAGAATTAGATGCTTCATTTCAGCCAAATTTAAGATTGTTCAATTGCCTGGTGATTTATACAATCTTAATACTCATAACAATGGAATCTCAAACTACCCATTTAAATTTAGCACTTTGAGGCATCTGATACATAGCTAAATAACTAAATGTAATTACATATTTTATACAATTTGCCATGCATTAAGAACTTGATGTGCACTTGTATATCTAATATGTCCAACACTCCATAATCCCTCAATTCTTCTGCTTTGCCTCCTCCTTGTCAGACTTCAGATCACACCTGAAATTCTTTCTCTTTGAACCTGCCTTGACAGTCACCTGGCGTAGCAACAAGCTGCATTACTGTTAAGTGCTCTGAGATGCTACCCCCCATGTAAAGGGTGCTATGTTAGTGCAAGTTGTTATAGTAAAGTGGTCTATTACATACATAGTACACTTGCCATATATTGCCAAAAAGAGCTACAAACTTTAGGATTGGGAGGGCTTGAAAGATCAGCAAAGGTTAACCAAGAAACTGATTGAGAAGGAGAAAATAGAATACGAGTAAACTAGCTAGAGATATAGACAGATTGTAAGAGCTTTTACAAGTATATAAAGAGGAAGAGATTAACAAAAGTAAATGTAGGTTCCTTACAGCCAGACAGGAGAAATCATAATGCGGAATAAAGAAATGGCAGTCACTAAACAAATACTTTACTTCTGTCTTCACAGCAGTAGATACTAAAAACTTACCAGAAATAATGGGGAACCAAGAGACTAATGTTAGTGAGGAACTTAAGAAATTAATATAAGTAAAGTAATAGTACTAGAGAAATTGATGGGACTAAAAACTGATAAATCCCCTGGACCCGATGGCCTGCATCCTAGGGTTTTAAAAGAGGTGGCTGCAGAAATAGTGGAGGATTTGTTTTTGATCTTCCAGAATTTCCTGGATTCTGGAACGGTTCTTGTTGATTGGAAGATCGCAAACAGTATTTAAGAAGGGTGGGAGAGAAAAAAATGGGAACTATAGACCAGTTAGTCTGACATCTGTGGTAGGGAAAATTCTAGAGTCTATAATTAGGGACGTCGTCATGGGGCAATTAGAAAGTCATAATATGATTAGGCAGAGTCAACACTGTTTTATGAAAGGGAAATCGTGTTTAACAAATCTTTGAGTTTTTCTGAAGATGTAACTAGAAGGTTAGGCTAGGGGAGAACCAGTGGATATAGTGTACTTAGATTTTCAGAAGGCATTCGACAAGATGCCACATAAAAGATTGTTGTATAAGATTAGGGCCCATGGAATTAAGGGTAATATATTAGCATGGATTGAAGAATGGTTAACAGGCAGAAAACAGAGAGTAGGGATAAACAGGTCCTTCTCAGATTGGCAGGTTGTGATTAGTTGAGTGCCGCAAGGATCAATAATAATAATAATCCTTGCATTTGATATAGCGCTTTTCACGTCGGGAGGACGTCCCAAAGCGCTTCACAGAACACACTGCAAAGTGAATTGACTGCATATTTGTGGGCGAACGCGGCAGCCAATTGCGCACAGCAATGTCCCACAAACAGTCGTAGATTGAAAATGACCAATTCATTATTGTTTTTGGTTTTGGAGGGATTATTATTAGGCTCTGTGTGGAGTAAGGAAACTTGCCCAAGGTTTCGCCCTCTGCCTGGAATTGAACTCAGGTCTCTCGCTTGCAAAGCGAAAGCTCTAACCACTGAGCTACAGGACTCCAAATGCTTGAGCTTCATCTGTTTACAGTCTACATCAATGACTTAGATGAGGAAATAGAGCTTAATGTATCCAAATTCGTGGACGATACAAAGCTTGGTGGGAAAGTAAGCTGTGAGGAAGACACAAGGAGGATGCAAAGGGATATAGACAGGTTAAGTGAGTGGGCAAGAAGGTGGCAAATGGAGTATAGATAGGAAAATAGAAAAGCAGATTATTTTCTAGAGGGGGGAGAGACTAGATAGTGTTAGTATTCAGAGGGATTTGGGCGTCTTTGTACACCAGTCACAGAAAGTTAGTATGCAGGTACAACAAGCAATTAGGAAGGCTAATAGCATGTTTATTGCAAAGCGGTTAGAGTGCAAGAGTAGGGAAGTCTTACTGAAATTGTATAGGGCCTTGGTGAGACCACACCTGGAATATTGTGTGCAGATTTGGTCTCCTCATCTAAGAAAGGATATACTCGCCTTAGAGGGGGTGCAACGCAAGTTCACTAGGTTGGTTCCTGGGATGAGGGGGTTGACCTACGAGGAGAGGTTGAGTAAACTAGGCCTATATTCTCTAAAATATAGAAGAATTAGAGGTGATCTTATAGAAACATAAAATTCTTAAGGGTCTTGACAGGGTAGATAGTGTGAGACTGTTTCCCCTGGTTGGAGAATCTAAAACTAGGGGTCATAGTTGAACCCGAGTTCAATTCCAGGCAGAGGGCGAAACCTTGGGCAAGTTTCCTTACTCCACACAGAGCCTAATAATAATCCCTCCAAAACCAAAAATAAATTGGTCATTTTTAATCTACGACTGTTTGTGGGACATTGCTGTGCGCAATTGGCTGCCGCGTTCGCCCACAAATATACAGTCAATTCACTTTACAGTGTGTTCTGTGAAGCGCTTTGGGACGTTCTCCCAACGTGAAAAGCGCTATATCAAATGCAAGGATTATTATTATTATAGTCTCAGGATTAAAGGTCAGCCCTTTAGAACTGCATTGACAAATGTTTCTTTACTCAGATGGTAGTGAATTTATGGAATTCTCTACCCCAGAAGGATGTGGATGCTCAGTCAATCATTGAAAACATATTCAAGACTGAGATCATTAGATTTTTAAAAACTAAAGGGTTACGGGGATAGGGCGGGTAAATTTAATTAGGTTAGAAGATTAGCCATGATCTTATTAAATGGCGGGGCAGGCTCGAGGGGCTGAATGGCCTACTCCTGCTCCTATTTCTTATGTTCTTATGCAGAAGGACTCAGTTGGAAGCAGCATCTACTTTTTCTTTTATCCACAGCTATCAAACTTGGCCAGAACCTCTGTCTCCTCAATAGTGTCATGGGATCTTGAATATTAATAATAATCCTTGCATTTGATCTAGCGCTTTTTCACGTCTTCTAGAAGTCTCAAAGCGCTTCACAGAATAGACTGTAAAGTAAATTGACTGTATATTTGTGGGTGAAACGGGGCAGCCAATTGTGCAAAGCTGCATCCCACAAACAGTCGTGGATTGAAAATGACCAATTCATTATTGTTTTTTTGAGGGATTATTATTAGGCGTGTGGAGTAAGGAAACTTGCCCAAGGTTTCACCCTGCCGGGGATCAAAGCTAGGTCTCTCGCTTGCAAAGCGAATGCTCTAAAAACTGAGCTACAGGAATCCAAAAGAAGTTAGGTAGACCATGGTTGAACATCCTGTCTGAAGCATGGTATGTCTGACAATGTAACGCTCCCCCAGCACTGCACTAAGCTCCAAGTCCCGATGTGGTGTTTTAACCCACAACCTTGTGACTCATAGGCACGAGTACTGAGCTAGTCTGGTAATGTGCAGAAGAGAAAGAAATACAAATAAGAACATATAGGACCCTCAATATATCCATCTACAAGTAGGTAATCCATAAAACTGCATGCAATCTATCATGTACTGTGACCTGAGAACTCAAATAAATGAAAATCCATACCTAGATGATTCGCCATGGAGATGAAGCACAGGCCAGTTATGTACGCGTCATAACCAGCTTCGTGCAGCTGCTCGGAGGCCGTGTTGTAGCTCGGAAACCCTTCAGCACTCTCTGCAAAGAGCAAGAACTTCATAATCCAGCAATTCTGGCAGGACAATGATCGTGAGACACTAACAACCTGAATAAATCTGCTCAGTTTTCAAATATTGCAAACAGGCAAATACCTTACTATAATCTGTTGGGTTTTCAATGCATTAAACAATACAAGGCAAATTGAGTTGTGTTATCTATATTGATAGTTGGTGCTAATTAACATGAGTCAGTCAAAGGGACCAGGGAATCAAGAGGTATGGGAGGAGGAGAGGCAGAGGGGATTAGAAGGGGTGTGTAACCCCTTACACTCATGTGTAAAACACCAATACTGATCAGTTGAGCCAAATGGCATGTTTCTGTGCTGTAATGTTTTATTTAATTCTATGAGTGTTTTCCTGTTGGCATCACCAAATCAGACTATCAAATGCAACAGAACCTTTAACTAAATATAACACCCAAGTGAATCAGAATAGTAGGAATGTAAGACAATGACAAATTACATTTGTATAACGCCTTTATGTCAGGAGGACGTCTCAAGGCGCTGGATAGTCAGGGATTTGGACCAGAGCAGAGGGTTGAGATCAGAAGGGTGGAGGACAGCATGGAAACCCGATTAGAGGGGTTCGTAGAGGGAGTAGCGAGAGAAGAAGTTGTGAAGCAACGACTCGTTCCAGGAGCTTGGAAAGGGAGGTTGGAGTTGGAGCGGTTTATTGGAGTTAATTGGAGAGCAAGGATAGGTCACCCTGTTTTTTTGAAGAACGGGGTGATGATGGCTGTTTTTACACCTAAGGTTCTGGCCTAGACCTGAACAATGAAAACATGCAACAATCAGTTACAAAGCAATTGGAAGAGATCAGAGGATGTGATATGTTGAGATTGTAGATTGAATTACACCTGAATCCCACAACTGATCAAATGTCTCACAATTCATTTCTGCCACATCACTGACAAGAGACTGAACGGCAAACTGTTGAAAATGGAATTCATTCTAAGAGCAAAGGGAAGTACATAATTCAACAAAGCAGGCATAAGTGAGTGGTGGAGTTGCATTCACGCGTGGGATTAATTTTATTCTCAACTGCTCAGCAACTATTTGGTTCCACCACAATGCGAATTTTCTTTGTAAATGGAAATTTATTCCTCTGCCTTTACTTGGAATTGGCTTCTATTCTCCAGGAAATGGTAATCATCAATCTTGAACATCTTATCTGCTCGAAATATTGTTACATATTATGCACAAATGTACAAAAAAATCACTTGAAATTGCCAATACTTTAGCATTCTAGTCACAATATTTGAATAGATTTCCTGCAGCCTCTGTACTAAGTCACTGAAATAGATTCAATCTCTTTAATAAATAGATTTGTTTTTTAAAGTGCCAGTGAAATAGAAATTTAGTTTTGCTCTGAAGTACATATAAACATATAAATTTGTAGTATTTATTCAGATTTATGTTGGAGACCATATACAGACAAGCCCTGGTCTCTGTGACTCAGTAATTATTCAGAACAGGAGGCTTAATAATAGTCTGTACCAACATGAGTCAACAGCTCAATGAAAGAATTGGCTGGGGGGGGGGGGGGAGGAGAACAGCATCAATGAGAAAAAAAAATTGCATTGTTGAAATATGATCATGACCTCCTGTATTTATCCATTAGTGAACAAGGAACTGTTTAAAGAGGACGCATCATGGGCTGTTCTTACCAACTTTGGGCCGTCTGAAAGGTGCCTCTTTTAACCGTTTTTCCAGCTCTGCGAGGGGTGTATTCACTATCAGTTCCTGGGGTGGGGGGAGAAGAATCACAGATAATAAACAGATTTGTGGCATGTCTACCTCACTTAATCTTTCCAAATGATCACTAAACCTTGTACCAAACATTTCTTCAGCCTGAAGCTCAGCTGGACTCCAGGATAAAGCATTGCAATGGCGAGAACTATTTTGTTACCCAGAGGGGTCTGGAACAAGTTACCAAGAAGGGTGGTTGAAGCCAGAACGCTGGACTCTTTTCAAGAACAGTTCGAAGCTTTGTTAGAGGACACAGGGAGCATATTCTGGAAGGATGAGATCAAATGGGCTGAAGGGCCTGCTTCATCCAAACCTCTCTTGTGATGTTTCTATGTACTATCAAGGCAGATCCACCATAATATTCTAATATTAAGTTAGAATTCAGAAACATTTCTATTCAAATGATTATTAGCTTTAGCTGAGCGATATATTGCACTTGGTGTAATATGCTAAAGTATGCAAGGGCATGCTCACAAATCTCCATTCAGCTAGGGAGGCATTACCCTGGAGGAAAAGATCAAGTCCCATCAGCCAGTGCTGCTCATATGCCACCAGGTGGGCAGCTCATGAGTTAATGTGGGCAAGGAGCAAACTGCTTACCACAAACATGTTGGAAGCATGTTTAAAAAAAATCAAACCTTTCTCTTTTACTTTCGACCTCCCTTACCTCCTTCAAGACCCTCCTCTTCACCTGTGCCTTTGATCACCCTCCTTATCCCCCACCTGCCCTCCACCCTCCCTGATCCCGACCCCCAGCTCGGGTCCAAAACATGGATTGTCCAGCGCCTTACGACGTCCTCCTGACGTGAAAGCCGCTATACAAATGTAATTTATTGTTAAAGTGTATACATTTTAGAAACTGAAACACTGAATTAATCTAGAATCTGGCATAGCATATGCAAGTCAGCCTGCTTACAGAGCATTTTCTGTGTTGTACTTTTATATGTGAGGACTCGTATAAGAGTCCTTGGTAACTCTTACACGAAGGTGAAACTGTTGCAGCCAAGAATGAAACAAATGTCGTTAATACCGTTTATTGACAAGTATTCAGTTCCTTTTATGCCCACAAAGAGTCCCAGGAACATTTTATTTAATTTAGTTCTTATTAAATTCTGGGCCAAGACAATGCGGTTCAGTTTGTACCGAAACACACGTGCAGGCACACAAAATCCTCTCAAAAGTGAAATCTCAAGTTCAACAGATTAAATGCACAGTACTCGATATTTTCACATGACTAATTATTTGCAGGCAATATCAAGCACTATATTAAAATGCCCAAAGGCGTCTTCTCCCCTGCTAACTACTCAATTCATTATGTGCCAGGCAAGATTAGAAAGAAAAGATAGAGGAATGTCACTGTCCTGACGGTGGACACACTCCATCTAGTGACTAAACCGAGAACATTTTTAAAGAACTTCCCCTCCTCACTCAGGTCAGAGGAGGTGTGAGGAGGGCTGCATAGAAAACTAACGCTGATAATGTGGCACAATGCACTTGAGATAGTGATAAAATAATTTCCTTATCTGTAGAATTCCTTCTACAGCCAGATGTGAAATGGTTGCATATATATCAGACATCTGTTGCATTTGATATTAAATGGTTAACAATAATAATCCTTGCATTTGATCACATCTTGTGGAGTCCTGTAGCTCAGTGGTTAGAGCACTCGCTTTGCAAGTGAGAGACCTGAGTTCAATTCCAGGCAGAGGGCGAAACCTTGGGCAAGTTTCCTTACGCCACACAGAGCCTAATAATAATCCCTCCAAAACCCAAAACAATAATAAATTGGTCATTTTCAATCTACGACTGTTTGTGGGACATTGCTGTGCGCAATTGGCTGCCGCGTTCGCCCACAAATATACAGTCAATTCACTTTACAGTGTGTTCTGTGCAGTGCTTTGGGACATCCTCCTGATGTGAAAAGCGCTATATCAAATGCAAGGATTATTATTATTATATCTTTGTGATGTCTCAAAGTGCTTCACAGAATTGTGGGCTATACTATTGGGGTGGTGGTGGGGGGCGGGGGAGGAGAAGGAAAAAAGATATTTTTCAGGTTGCTTTACCTGTTTCACAAGTTAAGGAACCTGAGGCGGGTGGGGAGGGTAGTCTATTCCTCTTTAGAAAATGACAAACCCCTTATTTTGACACTTTCATCACACACACCAGCCAGTGCAGATGATTGAGAATAGTTAGTGACAATATCAGTGTGCCAGTGAATTTTTTGCACTTCTCTTGGTTTTGGTATTGCATGCTTAGGGAAATGTGGAGAACAATCTAGCTGAATATCTGATCTGGCACAGGTCCAAGATCCTGGAGTGGGGAATGTTCTTGAATAGCTCCTCCACTAGCAATATTTTTTAACCCAAACCATTCAGTGTTACACCTTGGCAAACAAGATCAGTAATTCTTCCAGTAACAGAACTAATCACAGCAGGACACTGCCTGACATGTTTTAAAGGGTTACGAGCGTGCCCAATAAATAAAACTACGTTACCTTAAAAGGATGTGTGCTTCCCATGAGCTTTGTGTCCAGAAGCCTTCACATAAAAATGAAACAAAGGCATAGTTACATCAGATTGCATGACGTCAATCAGACACCTCCTGTTTAGAGACGGGAATTTCTCCCAGTGTACTTGTCAACACTCCCCCAAATAAAATTGGTCATTCAATTCATGGCTGTTTGTGACACATTGTTGTGTGCAAATTGGCTGCCACGTTCACCTACAGAATACAGTCACTACACTTTAGAGAATATCCTATGAGGATCTTACATCCTCCCCATGAGAAAGGTACATTAGCAAATTGTTTTACAATCATTGTTCCTGGTATGGAATTCCGGAGTTGTTTCTTTTCATGAAAAGTCCTCCTAATCCAACTTTATTCAAAAGAATTCAAATGATTTGGCTGCTTGTCTCATTGTTATTTAGGAATCACTGATGGCAAAGATTAGTTGCTAACATTTGCCTGTACAATAACATTCACTTGCTTTCTATTCAATTTATTTTGCAAATACTTTGTGCAGGCTCCCCCCCAGCTCGGGTGCCCAGCCAGCAGTGTAAAGCACTTGGGAATACCCTCACAAAAGGATTCAACAAAAGGAGACAATAAAAAAAAACATACCTGGGAAAGACGCTCGTTGTTAATTCCTTGAATTCATTGAGCTCCTAAAAATTAAATGATTACATTAAATTCCACTAAAAGATATTAACACATAAAAGTCACCGAGAATGAAATAAGGGCCAATCGTAACAATTACCGCTAAAGCTTTATTTATCCATGCTTCCAAATAAAAGTTTTCATGTGCTCAGAAGCAGCAAATTACCTACATTATGCAGAGCACCACAATTTCCCCCACACAGCTGAGTTTTTGCTCTCAACTGTGACGAACTACCACTAAGTGGAAACTACCAAAGAAAGAGAAAGAAAAGTTGGACACACATTCTGTCCTCACACTCAGGATCAAGGCACCTTCCCTTTCAGTTTCTGTAGCTCTGTGCTTTAGCAACATTTAGAGAACTTTGTACCCTTGCAATTGACTGACCTGACAAATATCCCTCTCATTAAAAGATGCTCAGATCAACACAGGTTTTGGAACCTCGCTAAATATTAGCTGGTAAATACCCAAAAANTTGCACCAAGACAAAAAGTTAGTGGATGATTTACTTACATCTGGTAACTGACAGAGGAATTGGTGAATTGTGTGCATGACATCCAGCAGCATGTTATGTCCCACCACCAGTTTACCCTGAAGAAGCAAAATACATGACTTACATTTGGTAGCAAAATAATAATAATCCCTTCAAAAAAATGCACTCAATTCACGACCGTTTGTGAGACACTGATATGCACAATTAGCTGCCGCGTTTTGCCCACAAAATATACAATCAATTCTCTTTACAGTACATTCTGTGTACATTCCAGGCAGAGGGTGAAACCTTGGGCAAGTTTCCTTACTCCACAGAGCCTAATAATAATCCCTCCAAAAAACAAAACAATAATAAATTGGTCATTTTCAATCTACGACTGTTTGTGGGACATTGCTGTGCGCAATTGGCTGCCGCGTTCGCCCACAAATATACAGTCAATTCACTTTACAGTGTGTTGTGAAGCGCTTTGGGATGTCCTCCCGACGTGAAAAGCGCTATATCAAATGCAAGGATTATTATTACGTCTTGGCCTCTCTCCTGCTGGCTTTCCTACCGCACTCCCGAAATTCTAGGTGAGCCAGTGCAAAAAAAAAAGGATAGGGGTTGAAAGCCAGATCTGTTAAAAGAAAATAAATATTTTAATGTCTTAGGCTCAGTGTATTTAGTGCTTCTGGAGCATAAGGCAAACAATAAAGTGATGCCTCATGGCAAACAAGCTAGCCGTTGAAACACGTACAATAATCACAATGACAATTTTCCTGATGTGAAAGGCTTTATACAAATGTAATTTGTTGTTGTTGTAAATAATTGTAGTACCCCCGAAAGAAATACTCACCGATTTTGAAATGGCATGAATTACTTTGGAAAATCCTACAGCATCGTTCATTTCTTCCTGTGAATAAGACAGGATTCAATTACTTCAAAGGTGGAGATCTAATTTCCAAGCTTTGTGGCATAACTCCTTACATTGTTCTTAAAAACCCTCATGTAGTTTTAGAACATCTGAACTCTTTCACTGGATAACAAATTTTTTTTTACTCGAACACTTAAAATATTAAACACACTTTCATCTCAGTAGCACCAGATTCAAATCTATTTCCAAATACCTAAAGAATTTTTTTTACTACTTAAAAAAAAATCACTCATAGACAGGGCTTTAAACTACTAAGGATGGGGGGGGGGGGTAAATTCAATCACATGTAATCCGTTACAATTAAAATTAGGACCGATGAAAGTGAGAGAGCAGATTAACAAGGGAGATGAGCAAAGGGTGTCAAACAGGAAAAGGAAGCCCAGGGATAGGGTATTGGTGAACAGGACTAATAGCCCAAAGTCAGAATTAAAGGTGCTATATCTGAATGCGCGAAGCATTCAAAACAAGATAAATGAGTTAAATGCATAAATAGATGGTAGCCATCACCAAGACATGGTTACAGGGAGATCAAGGGTGGGAGCTAAATATTCCAGGGTACGTGGTGTAAAGGAAAGATAGGCAATGTGGTAAGCGAGGAGGGGGAGTGGCCCTGCTAATAAAGGATGGGATAAAAACAGTAGAGAGGAAAGATTTTAAATCAGAAAAGCAGGAAGTAGAGTCAATATGGGTAGAGGTACGTAACAACAAGGGGCAGAAAACTCTAGTGGGAGTAGTTTATAGAGCCCCGAACAGCAGTCACAGTATCTCTCAAGGTATAAATCAGGAAATTAGCAGAGCATGTAGTAAAGAAAAAACATTAATTGTAGGTGATTTTAATCTGCACATAGATTGGGACAACCAAATTGGGAAAAGTATGATAGAAGAAGAGTTTATAGAATGTATTAGGGATAATTATCTGGATCAGTTTGCCGAGGAGCCAACCAGGGAACAGGCCACATTAGACCTTGTTTTGTGCAATGAAACAGGGCTGACCAGCAAACTGGAAATTAAGGCTCCTCGAGATCATAATACGATGGAATTTAGCATTAAGTTAGAGAGAGAAATAGTTAAGTCCGAAGCAAAGGTTTTAAATTTAAGTAGAGCCAATTTTGCTGGTATGAGAGAGGATTTAGCCAAAATAAACTGGGAAATTAGACTTAAGGATTTGACAGTAGACCAGCAATGGCAGACGTTTAAGGAGATAGTGCAAAATTCCCAGCGAGCACGTATTCCTTTGAGGAATAAGAATGCCACGGAAAGGTGGCCCAACCGTGGCTAACTAGAGCAGTTAGGGAAAGTATAAAGTTAAAGGAAGAAGCCTATAAAACAGCTAAGATGAGTAGTAAACCCGAGGATTGGGAGAACTTTAGGGATCAACAAAGGAAAACCAAAAAAGTGATTAAGAGAGAGAAAATGGAATATGAGGGCAATCTCGCGAAGAACATAAAGAGAGACTGCAAGAGTTTTTATAAATATATAAAGAGGAAGAGGCTGTCAAGGGTAAATGTACAGGCAGAGACAGGGGGAATTATAGTAGGGGACAAAGACATGGCAGTCATTAAACAAGTACTTTGCTACTGTCTTCACCTTAGAAGACACTGAAAACCTACCAAGAATAGAGGGGAACCAAGAAGACAATGTTAGCGAGCAACTTGGAGGAATTAATATTAGTAAAGAAATGGTTTTAGGTAAATTATCAGGTCTTAAAACTGATAAATCTCCTGGACCTGATGGCCTACATCCTGGGGTTTATAAAGAGGTGGCTACTGAGATAGTGGATGGCTTGTCTTTGATCTTCCAAAATTCTCTGGATTCTGGAACGGTTCCCATTGATTGGAAGATTGCAAACGTAACACCACTATTTAAGAAGGGTGGGAGAGAAAAGATGGGGAACTATAGACCAGTTAGTCTGACATCAGTGGTAGGGAAAATTCTTGAGTCCTTAATTAAGGATGTCGTTATGGGATTCCTGGAAGACCATAACAAGATTAGGCAGAGACCATAACGAGATTAGGCTTTACAAAAGGGAAGTCATGCTTAACTAATCTTTTAGAGTTTTTTTGAAGATGTATCTGCAGGTTAGAGAGGGGGGAACCAGCAGATGTAGTATATTTAGATTTTAAAAAGGCATTTGACAAAGTGCCACACAAAAGGCTATTGCACACGGTTAAGGCCCACGGGATTAATGGGAACATATTAGCATAGATTGAAGAAAACGGGTAGAAAACAGAGAGTAGGGATAAACGGGTCATTCTCGAATTGGCAGGAGATGTGACTAGTGGAGTGCCACAAGGATCAGTGCTTGGGCCTCAGCTATTTACAATTTACATCAATGATCTATAATAATAATAATTCTTGCATTTGATACAGCGCTTTTCACATCGGGAGGACGTCCCAAAGCGCTTCACAGAACACACTGTAAAGTGAATTGACTGTATATTTGTGGGCGAACGCCAATTGCGCACAGCAATGTCCCACAAACAGTCGTAGATTGAAAATGATTGAAAATGACCAATTTATTATTGTTTTTGGTTTTGGAGGGATTATTATTAGGCGTTTGGAGTAAGGAAACTTGCCCAAGGTTTCGCCCTCTGCCTGGAATTGAACTCGGGTCTCTCGCTTGCAAAGCGAGTGCTCTAACCACTGAGCTACAGGACTCCACAAATCATCTCGACGAGGACATTGAATGTAACGTATCTGAATTCATGGATGACACTAAACTCGGTGGGAGAGTAAGCTCTGAGGATGATGCAAAAAGATTGCAACGGGATATAGATGGCGAGGGGAGTGGGCGAGTAGGTGGCAGATGGAATTTAATGTGGGGAAGTGTGAAGTTATTCACCAAGTAGAAAAAAATAGAAAAACAGATCATTTTCTAGAGGGGGAGAGATTAGATCGTATTAGTGTTCAGAGGGATTTGGGTGTCCTCGTACACCAGTCTCAAAAAGTTAGTTTGCAGGTGCAGCAGCAACTAAGAAGGCAAACGGCATGTTAGCGTTCATTGCAAAAGGTTTAGAGTACAAGAGTAGGGAAGTCTTGCTGCAACTGTATAGGGGCCCGGTGAGACCGCACCTGGAGTATTGTGTGCAGTTTTGCTCTCCTTGTTTAAAAAAGGACATACTTGTCCTAGAGGGGGTGCAGCGTAGATTCACTCGGTTAGTTTCTGGGATGAGGAGACTGACCTATGAGGATAGGCTGAATAAACTGGGGCTATATTCTCTAGAGTACAGAAGAATTCGGGGAGATCTTATTGAAACATATAAGATTCTTAAAGGGCTGATAAAGTAGACACTGAGGGCCTGTTTCCCCAGAAGGAAAATCTATAACCAGGGGTCACAGTCTGAAAATTAAGGGTCAGCCTTTTAGAACAGAGTTGAGGAAACATTTCTTCACTCAGAGGGCAGTGAATTTATGGAATTCACTACCCCAGAAGGCTGTAGATGCTCAGTCCTTGAACACCTTCAAGGCTGAGACTGATAGATTTTTTAAAAATAGAGGGATTAGGGGATATGGGGAGAGGGCAGGTAATTAGAGTTAGGTCAGAAGATCAGCCGTGATCTTATCGATGGCGGGGCACAGGCTCGAGGGGCCGAATGGCCTACTCCTTCTCCTAATTCTTATGTTGTTATGTTCATTGCTGACCCAAAAGGGGGGGGAGCAAGGAAAAATATGTGCTATTAAGCAAGAAGGGAGTCATTTCAAGTCTGCTAATAAACTACTGTGCAGTTCTGTTATGACATGGTTGTTGCGATGTATTAAAATCCCAATACACCGTATGGTGAAGAACAATCACTGGCATTACCTCACAGGCGTACAGCCAAGACAGCTCATTCCCTACACTCGATGGTTCCTGTGTTTTAAAAGAAAGCAGGTATCCAGGTCGTGAGGTTGCCCCATGAAGTTACTGCCTGCATTGCACATGCACAGCAAATAGGATACAACTTCATTGACAAATGAACCCTAAACTGGTCAGGGCACAAGAAGCAGCAGATATGATGATTATTACTATACATACATAAATATATATATACACATATACATGTGCAATGAATAGGGTCCACATTGCAACCATGTTATAACTGAATTAGTGCTGTAAAAGAAGCTAGTTATAATAGGGCCGCACTGTAGGCACTTGCATTTCTCTTAAAAAAACCCTTGCAGTTTTATAACATTTGAATTCCTTCAATCCAACCCCTGCAATCTCTCTGCAATCTATTACGGTACCTTTTAAACTGCAAACGATCAAGCTGTGACTTTTCTGGACAGTCAAGGGGGGGGGGGGGGCCTATTACCACAAAATAATATTAGAAATTCAACTTGCTGCAATTTTCTGCAAAGTATCTATTTTCAGGCCGCCAAATGTTCTGCATTGTGCAAGAACATTGGCTAAAGCTATAGCTTCCATTGGACACAGCCAAGATAATTCTGTGAGCTGCAGAAATGGGATTTGAACTAGAAAAACTAATCAGACGCAGCAAGACTCCAGTGAACTAAAGCATTTTTGGAAGCAGAGTTAGATTTGGCCTTTCGTCACACATTTGTAAATTAAAGTGCCTTAAAATTGTACCTTCTTCCAAAGTACCAAAGAGCATATAAAAGCATTTGCCAATTTTTACACTGAAGCATTTAAGCTTTTCACATAATGCATAATTGAAGCTGTCTGACGCAACATATTTAACTGGCGCTCAAAACAATACATTCCATATGTCAAACTGAAGTGTTGAGATGCACATCACGGCTTTTTGTAATAGGAAAGAAAAACAACCTCACTTAGCTTAACCACCAATTCCATTACCTGTTCTTTGGCTCGTTTTTGTTCTTCTCTCCTTCGCCGTTCTTCGTCATCCAGTTTGCTGATGACGATATATCTCTCTTTCTGTAACATTGTGGAAAAATACCCTCCTTATTATTATGTCTGATTAAGTAACCAAACAGATGTATTTCATAGGCTTATCAATCTCTAGTCCAAGCAAAAGATAATTTAAAAGGTTAAATTCAGAAGTAAGTCATCATAAGACATTTGTTTCCCACTGGAAGTGTTCTGGGTACTTGCCCATTGCGTGATCGATCCTATCACCATACTTGCATTTGATACAGCACTTACAAGGAAACATCTCAAAAGCACTTCACATGTAAATGCTGTCAAATGTAGTGATTGTGTACTTTTAGGCAAATATGGCAATCAATTTGCAAATAAGGTCTCACAAATAGCTACAACTCTATCCAGAGGATTGTTGTCCAGGGCAGCAGGAAAAATTCCCTTTGGGATTTTTACCATCCAGCTGAACAGGCAGATGACCCCACTCATTACAACTGACCCAAAATGTTTAGGCAAATTACACTTCTTTATAGAAGCCATTTCTCTGATCCAAAAATCTACAAGCGTGCACTTGCTTTACAGAATCACATGCTTCTGGTCCAACAGAAATAAAAAGTAACAGTTATACACGGGAAACATTTAACATGTACACTATCAAATAAGTGTATTTCCTAAAATATATAACGCGTGGCCTTTGGATTAGTTCTTGCTTTGTGTTAAAAGTACATGTGGATAAATATATTCAACTGGAGATAGTAAATCTCACTTTAATTGGCTTTATTTATTTTAAAATAAATTAATTCAACTGGATTAGAACCATGGATTGATAAACAGTACATTTTTTAAATGAAATGCAGACTGCATCCTTTGCATGTTCTTATTCACTGATGCTGAGTAACCACATGGTAATTAGCTGTCCAACATATTAATTCAATTCACATTATTTTCAATGAAAAAAAATCAGAAACATTCAACAATGCAAAGCATTCTTCAAATAGTTGGATCAATGTTTATTCATACAAAGCCAGAAAAACTGAGTCTTTGATCACAGAAACATTAACTACTATAAGATTATATTTCCACCTCAGATGCAGCAATGACAGAAGATCCTAATTCAGAATGATTTTTCCCTTCAACACACATTTAAGAAACTGATTAGGCAGAATGTGATTTAAACATGAACAGAAGACTTAAAAAAAAGACTATTCCTTTAATGTGCTGGTCTTAACACATACCATCCATCACCAGCTCGATACAATCTAATCATGTTTAACCTTATGCTAAAAAGCAGATATCAACATTCCAACTTCTCAAAATCTTGTCATTCATTACCTTTTCATTCTCCAAGGTTTCGACGTGAGCACCTTTAGGAAACCTAAAGGAATGATAGAAATGCACAGATTAATTTCATACCAAACAGTGTGCAGCAAACTATTGTACATTTCACTTTGAAGTACAGCAGGGAAACATGTTGATTCCAATATCTGTCTTCAATCTAGGTTGCATTTTAAAATCCAAACATTAATGTACACAAGTGGCTCTTTAACGAGGCCTTTAAGAATAGAAGCAAAAATGACAATACAATTGGTACAGTCTCCCTGAACTACGGAGCAGGGAAACAAAAGAAATCCACACTTGCTACTCCTTATTTCTATCCAATGAATCCTTGCTGAATCAAATTACAAGTTTGCATTCCACTCATGGTTAAAATGCACACATTAAAAAGTCCTAATTTAAACTCAACCAATTACTCAAATGTCTATTAGAGAATCGTTACTAAAGCAAGACTTGAATTTAATAGGCATCAAACAAGCTTATATGTTAAAGCTATTCAAATTCTCCTCTTTGAAGTTTTTAATGGTAAATAACCTTCCTATAAAACAGTGGATCAAATAGGTCTGATTCAATATTGTATCCCCACCTGGTAAACACATGAACAAGAAACTATTGTGACTTACTTCCAATTTAAGGTCTGGTAAATAAGTTTCCTCTGAAACCTTTGAATAGAAGATATTAAAATATTAATATAAGATTTAATAGAATGGAACAACAAATTAGATAGATTTTGGTTATGAAAAAATCTCAGGACACAATATATTGTTTGTGACATGACATATGTATGTGACTGCCAGGATGATGGAAGGCGAAATGGATGGACCTTGGTCTTCTTTTGCCTAGCAAATAATTAAGTTCGTAAGTTATACAGTCGAAATAAACAAACACATACACTTGGATTATTGTTGAGTAGTGAATAACGCACTACTTCACCCAATATGTTCATTGAATTAAATTGCTTTGTAAATCCAAGTAATTTAAAAACACGTGTGCAGTTTACAACTAGGCTTGCTGATTTTTGATTTTAAGTACTTATCAGCTTGTCCAATTTTCTCCAAAATGAGGAAAATGAAGTCTGATTGCTAAACCTTTTTTAAAAAGAGTCTTGAAACATTTGGAGCTACAAACATGGCTAATTTATGGGTCTCAAGATCACCATGGACATCAATATGCGGACAGCACCCGAACATCACTATAGAGTATTAGCAAGTGAAGCAGAAATTTGAAGAAATTGAGGGAAACGTTTAATTGAGAGTTGAAACCAAGTGGTCCAACTAGTGGGGTAAGCAGTACATGCTGTGCTACAATATGCCTTAGTGCCTCAGACAAGGGAGAAGTTAGCCAGGGTTCTCGTTTTGTGCACTTAGCCAGTGGCCCCACCAAGAGAGGCAATGCATACAGGAGCTGAGGAGAGGAGAAACCTGGCAACAAACAGGAAACCTCATGGCAATTTACTATCTACAAACATTCAAAAATGGCCACTTACCCTGTGCATGGCTCCAATTCAACACTACCTTCATCATCTTTCAATAGATCTTCAACTTTCTCACTGAAAACATTTAAAGTTTAAATTGTTTAGATCAGACATGCTGAAACTGTTCTAATACCCTTATAGTACATCCACGATTCTTTGATTTATACAGAAAGCGAGTTAAAGCACGGTTAAGTTAGCTCAACAGAATTTTATTGTAGCTTCAATGAAATCCACAACCCTCGGCATTAAAACTTAAACGGCTATGATAAATATCAACAAACACTGCTATGAGATAACAAACATTAATCGCACTTAAACTACACATGCTAGCAGCCACTTGTAATGAAGTTAATGTAAAGTGCACGAAGAACCAACCTCTGACTGCTACTCCTCAAATAGTCAGAGCACGTAACTTTGTTGTCATCAGGTAGAAAAATAGTGACCACGAGCACAGATCCTCACACTTTACTCCTTCATTCTCTGGCACCTCCCTATCTCTCCAATCTCTTCACTCCCCATTCCACCACCCAGCACCTCCGCTCGACTAGCACCAGCCTCCTGCTCGTCCCTCGCACCCTCTGCCCCACCATCAGAGGTTGCACTTTCAAACTCTACACCCCGAAACTCTGAAACTCTCTCCCTCAGTCCCTCTGCCTTGCCCCCTCTCTCCCCTTTTTCAAGTCCCACCCGAAAACCTTCCTCTTTGACTGTGCTTATGGCCACCCACCCCCGGGTTCGGAGTCAGGATCTGTCACTCTTAAGCGCTCTGAGACGCTACCCTGCATGAAGGGCGCTATATAAGTGGAAGTTGTTGTTTTCTTATGAGAATGTCAGCAAGACAGCTCTCCTGATTGGCTCGTGCCAGCACCTCTGCACCTCAGGCCCTGGCAAAAACAGTATCCATGGATGCACACTCCACCTCACCAAGCCAGTCAGGAACCTGGGCATCTTGTTCGATCCTCAACTGTCCTTTCTCCCCCATATCCATGCCATGACCCGCTCTACAACTCCGCCACTGCCTCATCACTCAGGCTGCCGAAACCCGCATTCGTCAGTTCAAAGCTCAACTATCCGCGCTTATTGGCCTCCCCAACTCTTTCCTCCACAAGTTGCAGATCATCAAGAACTCTACAATTTGTGTCCTCTCCCTACCAGGCTTCGTGACCCCACCACACCATCCTCGCCCGACTCCACTGGCTTCCCCATCCCTCAGAGGATAGAATTCAAAATCCTCATTCGGATGACTGACTGACTGTTCCTCCTAACGTGAAAGGCGCTTTACAAATGTAATTTTGTTATTGTCGTTGTTGGGAGTTTCTGATCTATTTCAACATTTTTGAAACGGGAAACATTTTTTGGTCGCTTTAATCATTGCATTTGATATCGCGCCTTTCACGTGGGAAAGAAAGTACTTCACAAAATATACTGTGAAGTGTAGTGACTGTGTTTTGCAGATGGACATGGCAGCCCATTTGTGCAGAACAATGTCCCACAAACAGCCATGAAGTGAATAACCAATTTTATTTGGGGGATTGTTGGGCAGGACAGAGTGAACCTCCATTCTTTTTGCATTAGTGCCATGGGATTTTTGATGTCCACCTGAACAGTTAGATGGGACCTTAGTTTAACATTTCATCTGAAAGATGGCAGCTCTGGCAATGCAGAACACTCCCAGCATCAGAGTATCAGCCTAGACAATCCAAGTTCAAAGTACCAACCTGGGGCTTGAAACCACAACCCTCTGACTCAGAGATGAGAATGCTATCAACTGAGCTACGTTAACACAGGCTATAGATGAAATATACTATGAGTAGTATAAACTGCAAATACTCACAAAGCATGTTCAAAAATTTCGGCTGAAATGCCCTGTGAAACCATCCCTTTCCTTAGCTTATTTGCAATGATTACATTTCTGATCTACTCACACAATCTTCTCAATGAAACCTCGATGTTCTTCTGGAATCACGACTGGTCCTTTGGTAGCGTTTGGATAGATGAAAGATGGCGTCCCAGTCCCATTGGACTGATGTTGCTTTTCTTCCAACTGTTCCCGAAGCTGCCGTTCGTCTTCCCGATTCAAGTACGGGATTCCTGAGATAGAATGGAAACAATGTCAAACAATGGCCAGCTCAAAATGACTACATGCTACAATCTCTTTTCCTAACCTTACCATAACCAAAATAACAGTAATTTTTAACTGAAAACCTTTCGTTTTTACAAGGACCTAACTCGTCAACACCATTTCAGAAAAATCCAACACGGGCCTGGTATGTGGAATACACCAAACTTTTTTTTCAGATTCAGACTAACAATAAAAATACAAGGTGCGTCAGTAGAGTTGCTAGAGGCCTGGACACTGGACTTGTTTTAAAAGCAGCTTGATGTCGTAATGAGTGGACGATAGGGTGGGTGTGCTGGAGGGATGAGATCGGATGGGCCGAAGCGCGTTCCTCATCCAGACCAATCGTGTGATGTTGTGGATCGTAAGGTCGCCACTTCTTGCATGCTCCACATGTACATGAAGCGCCCTCATGTCACTTCCTGTGCCACTCTCGGTTTAACAATGGGAATGCATTTTCCTTGATTTGGAACAAATTGGAAAATCTGACGAATGTCAATCATTGTATTGATTAAATATTGTACACATTTCATTTTTAAATGGATTTTACAAACAGAATGCACCTTACAAACAGAATGCATTCCTTTCCTTGGATGTAAGAGTAATGAAAAATGAACTTAGCGCAAATGCCCGCAACTATACTACGTGGCAGGAAGTAAACTATTTGCAACGTATGTGCTTTCTATAAACATAGATAACTAAACCAGCCAAGCATATGAAGGACCCACAAGCAAACAGCTGAACAGTAGGAACCCACTGACATCAAGGTTGATGTACCTCTATGAAATCCATGTTAAAAACATAACATTGACTTTCAGGGAAAAAAAATCATGCCAACAAGAATAATTTAAAATTTTCATACGTGCAAATTTCTTTCTTACATTTGATACAAAGTTTATGAAAAATGCTGCAGAAATTCATTGGTTTGCAGGAGCAAGAATTTAGAACACATGCTTCACCTACCAGCATGAAAAACTTTGTTGAAGTCAAACCCATGATTTGCTAGAAAATCAATGCTTGAACTCTGAAAGACAAAATGAAGTAATGAGCATCCTTAACCAACAATAAAAGCAACAGTTTTGTCCAGGTGCCTTAGGTGTGACTTGGTGTGTTGTACTGTACTGTGTGGAAAGTTCTTGACCCAAGAAAAAGTTATTGAAAAACAAAACAGAACTACAATACCTCAATAACTTGAGTTTACCATATAATAATAATCCTCGCCTTTGATATAGCGCCTTATCACGTCCTTGAGACGTCTCAAAGAGTTTCACAGAATATACTGTAAAGTGAATTGACTGTGTCATTTGGATGAGAACAGTGGCAGCCAAATGAATCACTGGATACGGCACTACCAGTGCATGAATCTTATTGTTTGTAAGACACTTGAAAAACTGGCACTGTTTTAAATAATGACGTGACAAATGCAATAAACTGATGCAAGTTAGAGCTCAGTCATTTCTTTGATCATAATAAATTTCTTCACATGTAAACTAAACTTTATGAACCGGCAAATTGAGACATGCAATCCCATCAGCAAAGCGATACATTTCAGGTCAGTGAAACGTATTGGTGCTTTATCTACAACTTGGTGCATTACCTATTACAGGGCCTATTATGGGGTCCATAAGGTATCTAGCGAGGTGCTTACTAACCAGGTTTGGTTAGTAAGCACCTCGCTAGAAACCTTATGGACCCCATAATTATACCAAACGAGTGGTACATTTCTTGTTTCTGGGGTGGCCTAGCTGGCTTCCTATGCTAACAAACAGACAAAATTACCAGATTGCCAATGTCGCTCCCTGCAGATTGCCCACAGTAAGGACCGCAGAACTCACTTCTCAAAAGAAGTTCCTACAGTCACCTCCGCACTCCCCGATGTTGTGCTCTGTCACTAACGAGCGCTCTGGGATGCTATCCTGCGTCAGGGGTGCTATATAAATGCACGTTATTGTTGTTACCTGGCAAACAAACTTAACATCCGGCGAGGCTCTGGAAAGTGGCTTCGGGAAAACATAAAAGTTAAAGGTCTTCATTATGTGTCTGTAAAGAACAGAAAAAAATTAAAACAAAACTTTTTAACATTTTCAAAATTAATCATATTCATTGAAGACAAATGTGGAACACAAACCTACCTGCTCTCAACAGAATTGTACTTAAACGTGCAAAGACCAAACTGAAACAGCAGGAAGTCCATGGAGTGCTAAAAAACACAAGTTAGATTTCACTTTTTGAATATAAGGCACAGATGTTTCTTCTGAGCGTGGACATGGTTAAAACATGCAACAAAATAACCAACTCGAAGCTGGCTTCATTGAACATTTTCTTTGGTCTCTCCTGCTTGTAAGACTCCTAAAATGAGTTGGGCGATTTCAGCCCACCAAACCCCATTGGATGCAGCTTCACAGCACAAAATGCCCACATGGCATTAATAGCAATCTCACTTCAGCAGAACAGATGGAAGTGAGGGAATGCCACGCTGATACAGCAGGAAATGTCCTTCTGAAATTTACTTTATGGTTGGGGCAGTGTGCAATGTATTCACAAAGTCCTGTTAACCCCACATTTTTCTACAGCGCACTGACCACCAACTGAAACGTATGGAAAAATGATGATAATTATATTTAGAAGAACTTAATTGTATTCAGTACAAGTGTTTAACTGAATTTAGACATCCAGAAGATCGATGTGAGCGAGTGCCATCATTTTCATGGCAGATAATAATCCATCGCCATGTTCGAACATAAGGCACATGGTATCTTCTGTAACATCATGAAGTGACAATGCAAAATGCATTTCTGACAGCTTGTTTCAGCTCCTTAATATTCTCATATCACTGTTTTGTAACAGGAGGATAGGAGGACTTTGTCAATAACTGTGCAAATCTAGTAAAACGTCTGGAAAACATTTTACTGGTAGCCTCAACACCTGCAGTCACCTCAAGCATTTCCCACACACTAGTGACAGGCTTGAACTTACCTTTTTAAGCTTCTGATATCTTTCTTCTGGTGTATCCATTCCATTTGTCAATGTGCTCACTGATGGTCCATCGCTTATTCCTGAAAACAGAACACTGATTAGATGTATTTGAAAGGAAGCTAGATCTTGAACGATAACAACAACTTATAATAATAATAATCCTTGCATTTGATATAGCGTTTTTCACATCTTCTCAACGTCTTGAAGCGCTTCACAGAATATGCTGTAAAGTGAATTGACTGTACATTTATGTGCGAAACGCGGCAGCCAATTGCGCACAGCAGCGTCCCACAAACAATCGTGGATTGAAAATGACCAATTTATTATTGTTTTGTTTTGGAGGGATTATTATTAGGTGTGTGGAGTAAGGAAACTTGCCCAAGGTTTCACCCTGCCTGGAATTGAACCCAGGTGTCTCGCTTGCGAGCCGAGTGCTCTAACCACTGAGCTACAAGACTCCACAAACTTGCACTTATGTAGTGGCCTTCATGCGGGGTAGTGTCCAGAGCGCCTGACAGAGGCAGAGTCTGACCCCAAGCCAAGGGGAGGTGACCTTAAACACAATCAAAAAGGAAGGCTTTTAGGCGGGATCTGAAAGGGGAGGGAGGGGGCAAGGTGGAGGAACTGAGGGAGAGAGTTCCAGAGCATAATGGCTGAAAGCATGACCACCAATCTTTACATGAGGGAGAGGAATAGAGACGAGAGGACGGAGTAAGGAATGGGTAAAGACTCTTGTTATTATAATCCCGTTATCAACTCAAGAACAATTTCAATTAAAACCCAAGTATATTTCACTCACCTCTTGGGATTTGTTTTTGTCAACTTAATACAATAAATTGAGCTTCAAAAACCAATTGGACTCTAGCCTTAAAACAGTCTGCCCAGAATAATTTCAAATTGTCTTAAGTCAACTATTTGTGCACAGAAATAATTTTATTATATTCTTGGCCTGTGACTTGACTACTGTTTTTGTTGATTTTGCTGCTGCAGCTATACATTTAATACCTGTCATTTAAGAGGGAAAATTGTGGTTGTATCATAACCATAGACAATTTCAGGCACGAATTAGAACACTAAGGACAAGAAAATGTCAGGCATCTATCACTGTTTCACTGTTTCAGATTCAATTCAATTTTATCATTTGCCTTCCTCAAAATCCATTGCTCTCCCAAAGAGGTAAAACATGTCAAATGACATTCATTAATAAGGGATACTCTGCCAACAATACCTGAGAATTCCCCGTCAATTGCTAGGAAATCAGCATCTTCAATAGCTTCAATTACTATGCTAAGAGATTCCTTAAAATCTGTTGAAAGAAAGGAAAAGGTGGATGAATTGTTTGAACAATTAGGACATTTCAGAACAAAGACAATTCTAAAATTGTAAATGGCATCTTACGTTACAGCAAAGTGAAAGCACAGAGAGAATCCAGCCTATTCTACATTAAGTCCTGGCCAACAATCTTCCCAAATAAAATTGGTCACTCACTCACATTCAGGAGATGCCTTATCAACTAGGCCATCAGGGAGCATTACAAACACTGTTATTCAATTGTAAACCATGTTCAATTGGGGCCTCTTTACACAGAACCAAACATCAGTTTTGTGAGCAGATTTCCCTTTGCAGAAGAAAGCCATGTCAAATGCAAAGGTTATTTTTATTATATAAAAAAGTTGGTGATTATCCACCCATTCAAATTTGCTTGGAAATTTCTTTAAATTTGTTATTTTTGTGGGAATAACCCTGTATTTGCTGTAGCTCAGATGGTTAGAGTGCTCGCCTTGAAAGCGAGAGGCCTGGGTTTGATTACCGGCAAGGTGAAATACTGCACAAGTTTCCTTGCTCCACACGCCTCCATTTACCTAACAGTAACTAGGAACCCAGTCGTTAGCCAATTGGCGGATCGCTTTTCTGGGGGTAATAGTCTTGTAGCAATGCTTAGAGCACTCGCCGGGTTTGATTCCCAGCAGGGCAAAACCTTGGGCAAGTTTCCTTACTCCAGAAAAATTCCTCAAGAAAACAATAAGAAATTGGTCACTTCAACCCACGGCTGTTTGTGGGACAGACGCTGCTGTGCGCAATTGGCTGCCGCATTTCACCCACAAATGTAGTCAATTCACTTTACAGTGTATTCTGTGAAACACTTTGAGACGTCTCAACAACGTGACAAAGCGCCGCATCAGAGGCCGGTCATTATGTGATGGTGATGGTGAAGATGGTGATGGTGGTGAAGATGGTGATGGTGAAGATGGTGATGGTGGTGAAGATGGTGGGGATGGTGATGGTGAAGATGCTGATGGTGAAGATGGTGATGGTGAAGATGATGGTGGGGATGGTGATGATGGTGGGGATGGTGGTGATGGTGGGGATGGTGATGGTGGGGATGGTGGGGATGGTGGTGGTGGGGATGGTGGGGGATGGTGGGGATGGTGGATGGTGGGGATGGTGGGGGATGGTGGGGATGGTGGGGGATGGTGGGGGATGGTGGGGGATGGTGGGGATGGTGGGGATGGTGGGGGATGGTGATGGTGGGGGATGGTGGGGATGGTGGGGATGGTGGTGATGGTGATGGTGGGGATGGTGATGGTGGGGATGGTGGGGATGGTGGGGATGGTGATGGTGGGGATGGTGATGGTGGGGATGGTGATGGTGGGGATGGTGGGGGTGGTGGGGATGGTGGGGATGGTGGGGGATGGTGGGGATGGTGGGGGATGGTGGGGGATGGTGATGGTGGGGATGGTGGATGGTGGTGGGGATGGTGGTGGGGATGGTGGGGATGGTGGGGGATGGTGGGGGATGGTGATGGTGGGGATGGTGGGGGATGGTGGGGATGGTGGGGATGGTGGGGATGGTGGGGGATGGTGATGGTGGGGATGGTGGGGGATGGTGGGGATGGTGGGGGATGGTGGGGGATGGTGGGATGGTGGGGATGGTGGGGGATGGTGGGGATGGTGGGGATGGTGGGGATGGTGGGGATGGGGATGGTGATGGTGGGGATGGTGGTGATGGTGGGGATGGTGGTGGTGGTGGGGATGGTGGGGATGGTGGGGATGGTGGGGATGGTGGGGGATGGTGGGGATGGTGGGGATGGTGGGGGATGGTGGGGGATGGTGGGGATGGTGGGGATGGTGGGGGATGGTGGGGATGGTGGGGATGGTGGGGATGGTGATGGTGGGGATGGTGGGGGATGGTGGGGGATGGTGGGGGTGGTGGGATGGTGGATGGTGGGGGATGGTGGGGATGGTGATGGTGGGATGGTGGGGATGGTGGGATGGTGTGATGGTGGGATGGTGATGGTGGTGGTGGTGGTGATGGTGGTGGTGGTGATGATGGTGGGGATGGTGGGAATGGTGATGGTGGTGGGGATGGTGATGGTGGTGATGGTGGGGATGGTGATGGTGGTGATGGTGGTGGGAATGGTGATGGTGGTGGTGGTGGGAATGGTGATGGTGGTGGTGATGGTGGGGATGGTGATGGTGGTGATGGTGGGGATGGTGGTGATGGTGGTGATGGTGGGGGATGGTGGGGGATGGTGGGGGGATGGTGGGGGATGGTGGGGGATGGTGGGGATGGGGGGGATGGTGGGGATGGTGGGGGATGGTGGGTGGTGATGGTGGTGGTGATGGTGGTGGTGGTGGTGATGGTGGTGATGGTGATGGTGGGAATGGTGGGGATGGTGGTGGTGGTGATGGTGGGAATGGTGGTGGTGGTGATGGTGATGATGGTGATGGTGGGAATGGTGGTGATGGTGGTGATGGTGGTGGTGGTGGTGGTGGTGGTGGTGGTGGTGATGGTGGTGATGGTGGTGGTGGTGATGGTGGTGGTGAAGGATCACATCAAGTGAAAGGCCGGTTATTCTGTGGTTTCAGACACATTAACCCCCGGGAGGTTATGGTGTCTATATCGGGCCGCGGCCCCCCCTCCCCCCAGTGACGAGTCCCGCGGGGACTCAGGCCCGGGGCCCGAGCACGGCGGGGGGGCGGGGGCCCGGGGAGGGAGACCGGGGAGACTGGGGAGGGCGGGCGGCCCGGGGAGGGGGACCGGGGAGGGTGGGCCCAGGGAGACCCAGGGGGGGCCCGGGGGGGAGAGAGGGGGGGCCCGGGGAGGGGGAGGGGGGGGGCCCGGGGAGAGAGGGGGGGCCCGGGGAGAGAGGGGGGGCCCGGGGAGAGAGGGGGGGCCCGGGGAGGGGGGCGGCGGGAGCCGCACTCACTGTGTCTGGTGATCTCCATGATCGCAGCCCCCAAACCCGACCCCCGGCTCCGACCTTTAACCTCTCACCCGCCGCGCACTTCCGGCTCAGTCCTGGTCACATGTGGTTCCCTCCATCATTGCCCCCCCCGCTATTACTGCCATTATTACTCCATCACTGCCCCCCTCCCCCCGCTATTACTGCCATTATTACTCCATCACTGCCCCCCCCCGCTATTACTGCCATTATTACTCCATCACTGCCCCCCCCCGCTATTACTGCCATTATTACTCCATCACTGCCCCCCCCCGCTATTACTGCCATTATTACTCCATCACTGCCCCCCCCCCGCTATTACTGCCATTATTACTCCATCACTGCCCCCCCCCGCTATTACTGCCATTATTACTCCATCACTGCCCCCCCCCGCTATTACTGCCATTATTACTCCATCACTGCCCCCCCCGCTATTACTGCCATTATTACTCCATCACTGCCCCCCCCCGCTATTACTGCCATTATTACTCCATCATTGCCCCCCCCGCTATTACTGCCATTATTACTCCACTGCCCCCCCCCTCGCTATTACTGCCATTATTACTCCATCACTGCCCCCCCCCCGCTATTACTGCCATTATTACTCCATCACTGCCCCCCCCCCGCTATTACTGCCATTATTACTCCATCACTGCCCCCCCCCGCTATTACTGCCATTATTACTCCATCACTGCCCCGCCCCCGCTATTACTGCCATTATTACTCCATCACTGCCCCCCCCCCGCTATTACTGCCATTATTACTCCATCACTGCCCCCCCCCCCGCTATTACTGCCATTATTACTCCATCACTGCCCCCCCCCCGCTATTACTGCCATTATTACTCCATCACTGCCCCCCCCCGCTATTACTGCCATTATTACTCCATCACTGCCCCCCCGCTATTACTGCCATTATTACTCCATCACTGCCCCCCCCGCTATTACTGCCATTATTACTCCATCACTGCCCCCCCCGCTATTACTGCCATTATTACTCCATCACTGCCCCCCCCGCTATTACTGCCATTATTACTCCATCACTGCCCCCCCCCCGCTATTACTGTCATTATTACTCCATCACTGCCCCCCCCCGCTATTACTGTCATTATTACTCCATCACTGCCCCCCCCGCTATTACTGCCATTATTACTCCATCATTATTACTCCATCACTGCCCCCCAATTACTACTCTCTATTACTACCCCACAGCCTTCAATTACTGCAATGACTCCTCCCCATCACTGCCCCACGGCTTGCAATTACTGCAATTACTACTCCCTATTACTACCCCAAGCTCACAATTACTGCAATTACTAGTCCCTATTACTAACCACAGCCTGCAATTACTGTAATTACTACTCCCTATTGCTACCCCACAGCCTGCAATTACTGCAATTACTATTCCCTATTACTACGCCAAGCCCACAATTACTGCAATTACTACCTATTACTACCCCACACCCTGCAATTATTGCAATTACTACTCCTCATCACTGTCCCACAGCCTGCAATTACTACTGCCTATTACTACCCCACAACCTGCAATTACTACTCCCCATCACTGCCCCACAGCCTGCAATCACTACTCCCCATCACTGCCTGCAATTATTACTTATTACTGTACTGCAGCCTGCAATTATTACTTATTACTGTACTGCAGCCTGCAATTATTACTTATTACTGTACTGCAGCCTGCAATTATTACTTATTACTGTACTGCAGCCTGCAATTATTACTCCTTATTACTGTACCAGTCTGCTTTTATTACTCTTTATTACTGTACCAGACTGCCGTTTATTACTCGATATTACTCTTTATTGCTATACCACAGTCTCCTCTTTATTACTCGCTATTATCGTACCACAGTCTCCCCTTTATCATTGCACCACAGCCTGCCTTTATTACTCTTTATTAAAGTCCTGTTTATTATTTCTCCAGAGTCACTGCTGAGGGAGTGCTGCATTGTCGGATGTGCCATACTTCTGATGAAATAGTAAACCAGATGTGGCCAACCCATGGCCGGAAGTAGCCCACGGGGACGTCAAGAAGTGGCCCATCCAACATTTGCACTTGTCTCTGTGAATCTGTTTTAAATTAATATTTTGTTTCCAGTAGCTACTGAGTGGCGATGTTTATGGTGTTGCCACAAATGAAGAAATATTCAATCAAGAAAATTTGTTTTGTTGGACGACTAAAGAGCTTGACCAACACTGCGTTAAACCGAATGCTCTGCTGCCTGTTCAGTGGATGTTAAATATCCCCCTATGTATTACCATTAAACAAGATAAGATTGTTTCTCACAGTGTTCTGGTCGACAATTCCCCAGAAAAAAATTAGTCATTCGCTTCATGGTTGTATTATGTTTTAAAATAAAATTGTCTTTCAGGTCAAAAATAAATGCAATTTCAGGCAAGTTCTGGAAGATAAAGTGACAACAACAACAATAACAAACAACAAAATTACATTTGTGAAATGCCTTTCATGTCGGGAGGACGTCCCGTGACTACCTTCATGTAAAAAAAGCCATTTTTTCACTGAACTCAATCAACCGAATGTTGATATTTGTCGACCTTGAACTGCTGCAGGAAGCACTGATATTGAATCTTTGGTAATACATTGCTACTGCAACACACAAATCATAGATAATAAATGTCGCAACAATCCTCCAGATAAATTGGTCATCCACTCCATGGCTGTTTGTGGGACACTGCATTGCACCAATTGGATACAGTTCAAAGCAAGATCCATGTTAGTGTTCAAGAGGAAGCTGGATAGATATCAAAAAAGGGGGTAATATTCTGGGGTATGGGGAGAAGCCAACTAAACTGGGCTGAATGGATTGCTCTTTCAAAGAGCAAGCACAAACACGATGGGACAGGTGGCTTTCTGTGCTGTAGATTTCTTTGGTTTTGTGGGAGAAATTTAACAAGGAAAAAAATCTGCTACTTGGTGACCTGTGGAAGGATTCACTATTTACTGATCAAAACAAAAGTAGGTTATGTTGTTTGTCTGATTCCTAATTATGCTCATTTAATTAGAGACAATCTTCGACTGTTGAAATCCATTCACTCTGGAAGGTGTCACCGCTTTGTTATACAATATTCATAAAGATTTCAAATTACTCTCAGCACTCTGTACAAATTACTGCAGCTTTATATCAGAAATATTTATATTTTGCCAGTTTTAGTTTTACCTGGGATAAATGTAGATTAAAGCATTGCCATCTTGTGAACAAAAAGAACTTGACACAAAGTGAACATTTCAAGGTACATCAGAAACGTCTGCAGATTCAATGATTGGTAATTTGTGAGTTGGCTTTGCGGTGTATGAGTTGTTATCAGAAGATGTTAGACTTATATAACAAGCCGTAGAAGTTATTTTTGGAAAAGGAGATGTCTATATATGAATTAAATAACTGATTTAATGTTGCTGTTTGAGATTGAACTGTACGTGTTTGTAAAGCAGATCAGCAATTTGAAGAGCAATTGAAGCAGAAACAAAGCAGAAACAAAACAAGGGTTTTATGATATAAAAAATAACGTATGTAACAACAGTTCAAAGTATAGCATTCTCTTCAGATTCCTTCCGTCCTTGTTCAATTCAAAGAATACAACAACAAATTACATTTGTACAGCGCTTTTCATATCGGGAGGACGTCCCAAGACGCTGGATGTAGAATGTAGAAGAATGTACAAACTTCTAATTTATTACCCTAATTATTTTAAGAAACCTGAATCTTTTTTTCCTGTCTTACCATTAATTTATAATATTATCCAATTTTCATAACACAATATTCCTTCAAAAAAATCAACTCTGAATTCTTCCTACTGCCTGATCAAAAGATAGTGTAACAATCAACTTTTTAAAGCAATAATATAAATACAGTGTTTTATAATTGTACATACTTTTATATTTTGTACAATATTTTGGAGTTATCAAACTAGAGTTTACAACAACAACAACTTGGATGTATATAGTGCCCTCCACGCCGGACGGTGTCTCAGAGCGCTTCAAGGTAAGGAATCCCGGGGTCGAGCCAGGGGGAGGGGGAGGGGGAGGAAGGTGACCAAAGGCACGGTCGAAAAGAAAGTTTAAATGAACTATAGAGGCTAAATGAACCAGAGTACACTTATTCCCTTTGGGCTTAAACTTGTCTTTGTCTTGCTTATTGCTCTTCAAATTGCTGATCTAAACCTCTCTCTGTCTTGCCACTCTCACATTAACCTTATTCTCAGTAAACTTAACGATTCCGCTTATCCAGTTTATTAATTTATCAACTTGTGAACTAATTAAGTAAAATGCTGATCACTCATTTCTCCCAAGTTTCTGTACTACGTTGGCCATAATTACCATAATTTCATATTGCTTCACCAATTTTCAATCTACAATGTACCTTCTCACTGGTTCTATCTTAACAAGAAGCTGCCAGACAGTGTTTTCCACGGCAAGCTATGCAGTTTTAGCTGGTTTCATCCAGCAGTACCCCAGCGCACTCTGGGTACCCCAACGTACATTCTGAGGTCCATAAACCTTGGCTCTTGCCAACCTGCACCCAAAAACTCTCCGCAATCAGATAAGCAGAATGTGTCCCTCTGGGGAGAGAGTACACATTCCATTCCAAACACAGGAATTTCCATATGTGGGTGGAATGCATGGAAGTCTGGTCTGGTTTCGATATCTTAAGCACGGTAATAGGTTTCCTCATGAATCAGACAACCGACTAAAAAAAGTTATCTCAAACGTGTTTCAATTGTTGTTTATTTGTAGGCAAATTGTGTACTTGCCCAATTTTTATTTGTGGCAATTTTATAGGACATAAGCCATTAACTTTCATCCATAGACAGTCAATACACTTTACACACATGTTCTGCGAAGCGCTTTGAGATTTCTCAACAACGTGATAAGGAGCTTTATCAAATGCAAGGATTATTATTATTATTTTGTCTGTTTGTGGGGCTTGGCTGTGTGCTAATTACCTGTGGTGTTCCAGTCACTACACATATCGGCAAAGCACGAAAACTTTTTGAGACGTTTGGATGTTACAAGACAGGCACTAAATCAAAGGTGTTATTATTGTTACTGGATTTGGCCATCATAGAATCAAACAATTATACGGCACAGGAGGAGGCCATTCGGCCCATCGTGTCTGTGCCGCTCTTTGAAAAGAGCTTCCAAATCAACTCCACTCCTCCCCGCACTCCCCATAGCCCTGATCACCCCCACTCCCCCATAGCCCTGATCACCCCCACTCCCCCCATAGCCCTGATCACCCCCACTCCCCCCATAGCCCTGATCACCCCCACTCCCCCATAGCCCTGATCACCCCCACTCCCCATAGCCCTGATCACCCCCACTCCCCCCATAGCCCTGATCACCCCCACTCCCCCCCATAGCCCTGATCAACCCCACTCCCCCATAGCCCTGATCACCCCCACTCCCCCATAGCCCTGATCACCCCCACTCCCCCCATAGCCCTGATCACCCCCACTCCCCATAGCCCTGATCACCCCCACTCTCTCCCCATAGCCCTGATCACCCCCACTCCCCCATAGCCCTGATCACCCCCCCCCCCATAGCCCTGATCACCCCCACTCCCCCATAGCCCTGATCACCCCCACTCCCCCCATAGCCCTGATCACCCCCACTCCCCCCATAGCCCTGATCACCCCCACTCCCCCATAGCCCTGATCACCCCCACTCCCCCATAGCCCTGATCACCCCCCCCCCCCCCCCCCCCCCCCCCCCTCCCCCCCCACTAGCCCTGATCACCCCCACTCCCCCCCCCCCCCCCCCCCATAGCCCTGATCACCCCCACTCCCCCATAGCCCTGATCACCCCCCACTCCCCCCATAGCCCTGATCACCCCCACTCCCCCATAGCCCTGATCACCCCCACTCCCCCCCCCCATAGCACTGATCACCCCCACTCCCCCATAGCCCTGATCCCCCCACTCCCCCCATAGCCCTGATCACCCCCACTGCCCTGATCACCCCCACTCCCCCATAGCCCTGATCACCCCCACTCCCCCCATAGCCCTGATCACCCCCACTCCCCCATAGCCCTGATCACCCCCACTCCCCCATAGCCCTGATCACCCCCACTCCCCCCATAGCCCTGATCACCCCCACTCCCCCCATAGCCCTGATCACCCCCACTCCCCCCATAGCCCTGATCACCCCCACTCCCCCATAGCCCTGATCACCCCCACTCCCCCACACTCCCCCCATAGCCCTGATCACCCCCACTCCCCCCATAGCCCTGATCACCCCCACTCCCCCCATAGCCCTGATCACCCCCACTCCCCCCATAGCCCTGATCACCCCCACTCCCCCATAGCCCTGATCACCCCCACTCCCCCCATAGCCCTGATCACCCCCACTCCCCCCATAGCCCTGATCACCCCACTCCCCCATAGCCCTGATCACCCCCACTCCCCCCATAGCCCTGATCACCCCCACTCCCCCCATAGCCCTGATCACCCCCACTCCCCCATAGCCCTGATCACCCCCACTCCCCCATAGCCCTGATCACCCCCACTCCCCCATAGCCCTGATCACCCCCACTCCCCCCATAGCCCTGATCACCCCCACTCCCCCATAGCCCTGATCACCCCCACTCCCCCATAGCCCTGATCACCCCCACTCCCCCCATAGCCCTGATCACCCCCACTCCCCCCATAGCCCTGATCACCCCCACTCCCCCATAGCCCTGATCACCCCCACTCCCCCCATAGCCCTGATCACCCCCACTCCCCCATAGCCCTGATCACCCCCACTCCCCCACACTCCCCCCATAGCCCTGATCACCCCCACTCCCCCGCGCTCTCCCCATAGCTGTGCTCCCGTCCTCCTGGTCACTGCCGTGATGTCAGGGGGAGGGGGCGGGGCCGCAGTGCTGAGTGGGCGGAGGGCAGACCGTGCATGTGGGAGAGTTGGAAGATCCGTAGCGGCTTTCCACCGCTTGTTATCCGGTTTTACACGGCGCCACCCACTCCCTTCCGCGTACAGTCCGCTCCTATGGAGCGAGCTGCATTTTCCTGGTCTTATCAGTTTCCGGATTCGTCCAGGCGCCGGTGAGGGGGCGGGGCTCGTATTTGATAGACGTGAGAAGCAGCCAATTGTCGCGTGCCGCAGCCCCTTTGTCGTTTTGTGATTGGGTGCTGTGGAGGGAAAGGGGGGCGGGGTTGAGCGGCGAGGGCCAATGGGCGCGGCCGGGAGCCGCGCGCGGAATGGCGGGGCGGTTGTCAGGGGCGTCTCGCAAAAAAGCGGCGGAGGCCGCGGCCTCGGGTGAGGTGAAGTGAAATGACGGGGAGGCCGCGCGCGGGGAGTCTGTCCGTGTGCGCAGGCATTTATTTTAAGAAAAAGATCATTTAAAGAAAATTTAAAACAATCTCTCTATATATAGTATATTTAGAAAAAAATAACATTTCCTGGTCAGCCCGGAGCCCCGTTCCCCTCCCGCCCCCCGGACAGGCCCTGGACCGCGGGCTGTCAGTGTCAGCGAAGGCGGGTGAGTCTGTGTGAAAGAAAGTCATCATCATCTTTGCATTTGATCCGGAGCCGCGTCGCGCCCTCAGGTCCAGATGTCTCCAAAGTGCTTCACAGGACATACCGTCAACTGTTTTGTGGGTGAAGCGCACCCGCCAATTCCGCACAGCCGCGTCCCCACGAACTGTGCGGTGAGTGACCACATTTTATTTGGGGCAGTGTTGGCCAGGACACGGGGGGGGGAGACTCCCTTCTCATTTTGACTGGCGACGTGGGGTCTTTAACGTCCACCTGAACAGGCAGTCAGACCGGAGGTCGGGTTCACGTCTCATCCAAAGTACCACATCTCCCAACAACACCTCAGCACTGAAAGATACTCAACCAGGAAATGGCGATTCTCCCTCCCACCGCCCCCCCTTTCCAGCTCCGATTGGGATAGTGCTGTTTGCCAAACTGGCTGCCGACTTGACCTATGCAACACACAGTTACTACGTGTGACAGCGAGTCTCCTCCTCTTGCCCAGCCTCGGTGCACATGATTCAGTCTTTCGGATGAGATGTTAAACCAAGGTGCGCTATGCCAGTTCAGGTGGTCTGTAACGATGCCGTGGGTTCACGTTAAAAGAGAAGGGAATATCTCTCTCCAGTGTTCTGGCCAATAATTCCCCCACTTCACTTACTTCATAATTGTTTGTGGCGCATTGCTGTGTGAAAATTGGCTGTCACATTCACCCACAAAATACATAGTCACTCAATCCACTTCATGGTGTATATGGTATGTGATTTTTAAAATATGTTTTGATGACATGGAAGACACCATAACAGATTCAAGTTTCATTATTATTGTTAGAACCTCCTCATGTCAGTATGTTACCCGTGTCATCAAATCTGGTGTGTGAAAGAATAGGGGGAAGAACATTCGCTATTATATGTAGATGTGTGATTTGGGGAGTTTTTTTTAAATTAACGTTTAATGATACTTATATAACTCATAACCAATGAAAAGTGCTACAGGAACTCTTAAAATTATTATTAATAATGCTTATTTGATACAGTGCCTATAACGTTGAAGCATTTCATAGGTAATTTGTTGTAAACTATAGTGACGGTGTATTTTGTGGGCAAACACAGCATTGTCCTACAAACAACAAAAACAACAAAATTACATTTGAGTAGCGTCTTTCTCGTCGGGAGAATGTCCCAAGGTGCTGGACAGACAGAGTTACGGACCTGAGCTGAGGGTTGGGGTCAGGGAGGGTGGAGGGCAGGGGGGGATCCAGGGAGATCGAAAGCACGGTCGGAGGGGAGGGTCTTGAAATGGATCTTGAAGGTGGTGAGGGAGGAGGCAAGGCGGAGGGTCTGCGGGATGGAGTTCCAGAGGGTGGGGGCGGAGTGGCAGAAGGCCCGCTTGCCAATAGTGGGGCGAGCGAGGCGGGGGACATGAAGCAGTTCGGAGCCCGCTGAGCAGAGGGAGCGGGCAGATGGTAGGGGGTTAGGAGGTCGCAGAGATTGTGGGGGAGCAAGACCATGGAGGGCTTTGAAGGTGAGGACCAGAATCTTGAACTGTATCCTCTGTGTAATGAGAAGCCAGTGGAGTTGGGCAAGGATGGAGGCAATAGGTTTGTAGAGCCTAGTGCGGGAGAGGACACGGGCTGCAGAGTTCTGGATGATCTGCTGCCTGTGGAGGGAGGAGTTGGGGAGTCCGACGAGCAATGAGTTTACATAGTCGAGTCTCGGATGTAATGAATGCATGTATGAGGGTTTCGGCGGCCTGCGGTGAAAGTCATTGGCTGAGCCGGGCGACGTTGTGGAGGTGGAGGAAGGCAGAGCGGGTCATGGCACAGATGTGGGGTAGAAAGAATAGTTGAGGGTCAAACAAGACGCCAAGGTTCCGGACTGGCTTAGCAAGGTGGACTGTACAACCATGAATGGTGATGCTATCAGCGCCTGAGGTGAGGAGGTGCTGACAGGAGCCAATCAGGAAAGCCTCGGTCTTGTTGACGTTCAACTGAAGAAAGTTAGCTCTCATCCAGGACTTGATGTCTGACAGACATTCAGTCAGCACAGCAGTGGTCCTGGAGTCAAGGGGGGAGGCAGAGTGGTACAGTTGGGTGTCATCCGCATATATGTGGAAGTTGATGGGGCGGTAGTTTGGGTGTAGAGATGGGTCCAGGGAGGGTTTCTTAAGGAAGGGAGTGATGACAGTGGTTTTTAATGGGGCTGAGAACAGTACCAGAGGACAGGGAGAGGTTTATGATGTCAGTGAATAGAGGTGCAAGGAGATGGAGCTGGGAGGTAAGGAGAGGGGTAGGGATGGGGTTGAGGGAGCAGGTGGTCGGTTTCATGCAGGATATGGTGGTGATGAGAAAAGAGGGGGAGACAGGTTCAAAGGTGTGAAGGGAGTGATGCGTAGGGGCCGAGATAGGGAGGGGGTAGCCGGTGCAGTGGCAGAGACAGCTGAGTGGATTCCCTAGACTTTGGATTCGAGGAAGTTCAGTATCGCCTCACAGTTGGCATTTGAGGTGAGGATGGGCGAAGGGTGAGAGGGTGGGCGGAGGAGATGATTCGTGATGGAGAAGAGGAGCCTGGGGTTGTCCTTAGCCTCTAAGATTGTTGGAGTAGAATGGTGATTAGCGGAGGCGAGGGCGGAGTGGTAAGATTTGATATGGGACAGCCAGATCTGCCGATAGACAGTTAAGTTTGATTTAAGCCAGGTGCGCTCAGCGGCATGCACCTGTGCTTTAAAGGTTTGGAGGTGGCTGGTGTACCATGGTGACTTATATGAGTAGAATATGGTTTGGGAAGAAAGGGGTGCAAGGGAATCGAGAGTGTAGACGAGGGAGCTGTGGAGAAGAGTGACCGAGGAGGATAGGTCATTGCGGGAGGAAGCCCAGAGGGGAAGGAGTTCAGATGACTCCAAGGCAGCTGAGAGTGAGTGGGGGGGGAGATTTTTTTCCAGGGTCGATAGGAGTTGGAGGTGGGTTGGATGGTGGTGGGGAGAGGATTGAGGAGTTAAGGGAGATGAAGTGATGGTCCGAGATTGCTTTGTCGATGATGGTGAGTTCCGAGACTGTGAGGCCCCGAGTGATCACCAGATCGAGGGAGTGAGCGCGGACGTGGGTGGCGGAGTGGATTTGGAGGGAGAGATTGAGGGAGGAGATAACAACAACAAAATGACATATGTATAGCGCCTTTCACGTCGGGAGGACGTCCCAAGGCGCTGGACAGATAGAGTTACAGACCCGAGCTGAGGGTCGGGAGGGGGGGGGCAGGGGGGCAAACAGGGAGATCAAAAGTAATAATTGAGATAAGGGAGGAAAAGTCAACAGAGGTAGAGCAGGAGGGGGTGGAGTGAAGGTTGAAGTCGCCGAGGATGAGGAGGCAGTCGGAGCAGAGGGAGAAGGAAGATAGGAGGGTGGAGATGTCGGTGATGTGATGAAGGTGGGGAGGAGCTGGGGGGGGCGATAGATAAAGAGAATTTTGAGGGAGGGAAAGGTTGGAGGGGTGATAAAGGGTAAGGTGCTCAAAGGAGGGGAAGGTTCCAAAGGATGGAAGCTTTTTGTCTATCAACAAGTCAAAGAAGGCTTAGAGGTCAAAAGGATAATATCCAAACGGTTTACAGGAAGGAAGAATTACCATCAGCCATGGTTGAAAAGGTGAGGGAGGGGATCAGATTCCATTACTGATAACCATCTAATGTGTTAATGTGGTATGTTGGAAAGGGTTGAATTTTGAACTTCTTGATCGTGTTGGTCCACAGAACAAAACAGATGTATGATTTTGCTAAGTTAACACTCGAGGATGGCTGGTGTAAAATTAAATAATTCATACTGGGGCAATAGATAATGGTCTTTTGAGGCATGTGCAAAATAGAGGATACTTTAAATCCACAGTCACTGCACTTTACAGTGTGTTCTGGGAAGGGCTTTGAGACAACTCAACGACATGATAAGGTGCTATATCAAATGCCAGGATTATTATTATTATTTATTCACTTTCCACCTTCATCTTCACCTTCAAGATTTTGAAGCTGGCTTTGCACCCAGTGAGTGAAAGGGTTCAGTAGCGATGTCCCATTACTATAAGCAGAACAAAATCTACCTGTCATTTATGTATATAATGTATTAGAATGTATATAAATATAGGTGACCTGACTTGAGAGTTCTGTTTCGGTGCTGAATGAAGCCAATAATAGATCTTTATAGAATTAAGCCACACAGATGAAAATGTTGTGGCTTTGTGAGAAACTATTTTATATAACATAATAATTCTTGTATTTGATATAGCGTCTTATCACGTCATTGAGACGTCTTCAAGTGCTTCACATGTTTTACTGTGAAGTGTAATGACTGTGTGCTTTTATCAGTGAATCAACAGCTACTTTGTCCACAACAATGTCCCACAGATAGTCATGAAGTGAATAACCAATTTTATCTGAGAGATTGTCAGTCACAGGACCGGAAGAAACTTCTTTCTCTTTCAAATAGTGCCATGCAATGTTTAACATCCTCCTGAACAGACAAACAGGACTTTGGTGTAGCATCTCATCCAAAGGACAGCACCTCTGACAATGCAGCGGATACTCCCCCAACACTATTGGAGTCTCAGTCTAGGCTATGAGTTCAAGTCCTAAAACGTCGCATAAATTTTATTTTGCGGAAATGTAACACAGCCCAAAAGTATATATTTTTATAAAGTGTTTTTGATGCTTATTTTAGTCAACAACAACAACAACTAAACTTGGATTTATATAACACCCTCCACGCCGGACAGCGTCTCAGAGCGCTTTACAGTAACAGATCCTGGCACCATGTCATGGCGTTTCACCCACAAAATATACGGTCAATTCACTTTACAGTATAAACTGTGAAGCACTTTGAGATGTCTTGAATACGTGGTAAGGCACAAATGCAAGGATTATTATTATGACAAGAGTTGCTGCTGAATTGCAGTCTTGTGCTTTCACTTTTCATTTATGTCTGTTCCAGATAATGAGATTCATTTTGGTAATCACACCATTTTGTTACCAACCCATGACTTGCAATTGGCCTGAATCTGGCTTTCATATATGCATTGTCAATCCTTTTTTCTCCCCTCAAGACAGATCGGAGAAAGTAAGGGATTCGTAGAGTTATACAGCACAGAAGGAGGCCATTCGGCCATCATGTCTGTGCCGGATCTTTTGATAGAGGTATCCAAATCAATGCCACTGCCCCGCTCTCTCCCCATAGCCCTGCACACTTGTCCTCCCCAAATACTTATCTACTCTCTTAAAAGTTGTTATCGAATTGGCTTCCACCAGCCTTTTAGACAATGCATTCCAGATCCCAACAACTCGCGGTGAAATTCTTCTTACTTCCCCTTAACAATTATTTTAAATCGGTATCCTCAGGTTACCGAGCCACCCGCCAGTGGAAATAGTTTCTCCTTGTTCATCGTATCTAACACACTTATAATTTTGAAAATTATGTATATTATATATATTATATATATTATATATTAAGTCTCCTCTTAACCTTCTATTGGTTGGGAAGTGAACTGTGTCATTTGATATTTGATACCTAAATTGAGATTCAAGTCCAGTCTAGATTGATGTCTGTCAATAGTACTTATAATGAGCACATAAACGCAGTACTGATTTGGTATTAACTTGGCATTCAGGTTAAGTGGGTACTGGAGGGTGGAAATGGAAATATCAACTTTACAGCATTTCATCGTAACATCCTGTGAAGCACTTTGAGATGTCTCAACAACTATGCTAAGGCATTATATCAAATCCAAGGATCATTTGTTTTAACTGATGAATACAACAAAGTTATGTCTTTAACGTACATTTCGTTTACAGATCTTTGATACCGTGATCTGTAAAGGAGGAAGGAGGCAGTAAGGAGACATTTAAATTTGGACAATTTCATTTGTAATGGAATGGAGGGCGATATGAGATTCCAGAATAGACAAACATACAAGGACGAACGGGAAGAGCTGCAGGACGGCACATCACCCGAGCCATCCTGCCAGCTCTCTGCTACTGAATTTTCCTGCCACTGTTGCTATGATATTTTAGTGAATCCAACTACTTTGAACTGTGGGCACAGCTTTTGCCGACATTGCTTGGCGCTGTGGTGGGATGCATCCAGGAAAACTGAATGCCCAGAATGCAGAGAAAAATGGGAGGGATTTCCTAAAGTCAACATTGTATTAAGGTAAGTGAAATGCATCTTTTTAAAGCTTAAATCACTATAATACCCCAGTCAAATGAGTCCCTGTTCAAAGTCAACAAAAAACTATTTGGTACTGAAAATAGGTTTTAATTCCTGGTATATTAACAAGGTCAACACGTTTAACTAGAGACTTGGATTAAAAATTTTAATGGTGACTTTTAAGGTCTGCAGCCTCCTGACCTCACATAATCTATGTTTAGACTTGACTTCAAGTTTCTGATGCTGTGGAATGTTATCTGACTTATTTTTTGCCAGAATCAATCAATTTCTGAGGGATTACAATCAATTGGAAGACCAGTTTGCAAATACAATTTCAGTAAAGTTTTATCAAAAGTAACTGTTTTATCAAAAGAATCGAAAAGGCTATTCTGATCACAATAATAATAATAATCTTTGCATTTGATATAGCACCTTATCACGTCTTCGAGACGTCTCAAAGCGCTTCACAGAATTTACTGTAAAGTGAATTGACTGTATATTTTGTGAGCAAAACGCAAAACAATACTGAATGAACAAAATTGAATGAAGCAATGTTCCTAAAAGAAACTTAACAGCATGCAGTATAAGCATCCTGAAATAAATTTATTTTCTGTTCTAGAGACTCATTGGCAGGCTATAAACTTGTAACGGCACCCTCTCTGCTTTATGATGGAGTTAATTGGTTGCACAGTGTTATTATAATAATAATCTTTGCATTATTGCTTTATCACGTTTTTGAGACGTCTCAAAGCGCTTCACAGAATATTTTGTAAAGTGTAGTAACTGTATATTTTGTGTTCTACTAGATACGCAGATGTTTAGCCCTTTCAGTCAAATGCACCTCCTTAGATTTTGAGATACTTTATAAATAGTTTGATTGTTTTAACTTACCTGGAAATAATCTTAACCTGATTCTTGTGTAAAATTCAAGTGGTCGGTAAATACACTAAACATTCAAACACAGATTGTTCACAGCATATGTTTGTAACTGGTTAAGGGGAACATACAGAAAACGTACAGAATTTGCTAGTAACTGTTTCAATACTCATAAGCAGCTAGATGGCTAAAAGCGGTCTGGCCACTGTTTGTACCTTGCTGCTTTGTGGTTGATTGTTCCTTGCTTCTCTCTAGGGATGCTGTTGAGAAGCTATTCCCTGACGATGTCAAACGGCGACAGGAGGAAACACAGAACAATTTAAAAATTTCAAATAGCCTTTCAGCTTTCCAGAAATATGGTAATGAACAATCAGCAAGACCTTTAAACCACACTGGGGAATGGCGCCGAGGAGGTGGCTTTTTCTCAGGAGTATTAACTGCTTTGACCTGTGTGGCGGTGAGTATCTCTTTAAACATTCTTTTGCAATGAGGTCCGTTTCTCTGTATCACTAATATTATACTGTGGCTGAGTGATTGAATAATCTTTGACTTGGGTATGTTTATCACTTCCATCTATTTATTCAAATAGAATTTCCATCCAAATCTTGTGATTACCAGAATAATACAATACAAATTACATATGTATAGCGCCATTCATGTTGGGAGGATGTTCCAAGGCACTGGACAGTCAGAATAACTGCTGCTTGCGTGCCCATTTTGCGACGCTTCACTGCACAGAATTAAGAGAAGTAGGGAGTGAGAAAACTGAGGCAAACAGTGACTCTTTCATTTCAAAACCTAAGGCACATGATGCAAAAATGACATCTAGCAGCAGCCAGGAGCACTTGATAGAAGTGTTTTAAGATACCAGATAAAAGTGACTGAGGATTTTTTTTACCCAGAGAGTTGTTACGGTCTGATATGCACTGCCTGAAACAGTGGTGGAAGCAGATTCGATAGCAGCTTTCAAACGGAATTGGCTAGGTACTTAAAAAGGAGAAAAATTGCAGGGCTATAGGGTAAGAGTGGGGGAGTGGGATTAGTTGGTAGCTCTTTCAAAGTGCTGGCACAGGCATGATGGGCACAGTAAAATCCCTACTAGAGCTTATTAAAATAATGATTCAGTAAGGTGGACATAAGAGACGATTTCCACTTGTTGGTGAGTCCATAACAAGAATGGTGTATATATAAAATGGCCATTAGCAGATGCTTTCATCCTGTAACATCTCATTACTTCGCGGGGCATTGCGGTCAGTTTAGTGATTAGACAATCACAGCAAACAATTTGCACACAGCAAAGTTCTTCAGTCATGATGACGTAAATGACCAATTTATCTTGGGGATTGTTGGCTGGGATACTGGGGTCTATGTTGGTCTATGTTGCTCAGCTACTCACTCACTGAGCCATTTGGGATGTTGGGAAGTAGAGTTGTTACAGGAGATCACTGAGGTTCTTAAGACAGTTTGTGTAACATTCTGATATTAAGGAGTAAATCAGTTATTTATTGTGTTAGGTGATGTTCCTCGTGTATCACTGGAGCAGAGAGTCCGAGCAAGATCTTCTTGTCCACAAACCTGTGACAAAGTGGACAGCAAATGAGGTGACTCTCTGGCTGGAGCAGTTAGGCCAATGGGCCTCTGTTTACAAAGAGAGGTTCTTAGAGGAAGAAGTCAATGGAAGGTAATGCCTTTTGTTTTACTGTGTATAACTTTGCATTTGTTGTGGTTAATGCCATTGAAGAGAAATTCTAGTCCAACAGAATAACATTTAAACATTGCATTGAGGACAATATTGACTGAGTTGTAAACTTTAGACAATTTTATATTGTTAAGTATCAGCAATTTATGACATAAGAAGGCACCTCATAGAATCGTACAGCACAAAAAGAGGCCATTTGGCCCATCGAGTCTGTGCCGTCTCTTTGAAAAGAGCAATGTAATGTCAATCCCACTCCCCAGCCCTTTCCCCATGACCCTGCAAACCTGTCCACCGCGTTTTTAAAAGTTGTTATTGCATCGGCCTCGACCACCCTTTCAGGCAATGCATTCCAGATTCGAACAACTCGCTGCGTGAAAAAAATTCTTTTAGATACTATTTAAATCTGACCTTGAGTCACCGACACACCCACCAGTGGAAACAGTTTTTCCCTTTCTAACCTATCAAATCCCCTCATGATTTTGAAGACCTCTGTTATGTCTCCTCATAACCTTCTCTGGTCCAATGAGAGTAATCGCAGCCTCTCTCACCTTTCCTCATCATCACGGCCCCTCATTCCTGGTAAATCTCCTCTGTACCCTTTCCAATGCCTTAACATCCTTCCTATAGTGTGGTGCCCACAACTGGGCGCAATATTCTAACTGAGGCCTAACCAGTGTTTTATATGGGTTAATCATCACCTCATGACTCTTGTACTCTATGCCCCTATTTATAAAGCCCAGTATCCCATATGCCCTTTTTACAGCTTTATCTACCTGTCCTGCCACCTTCAAGGATTCATTTACCTGCACCCCCAGGTCTCTCTGTTCTTTTACCCCCCTTAAGATTGTATTACCGCAGCCTATATTGCCTCCCCTCATTCTTTCTACCAAAGTGCATTACCTCACATTTCTCCACATTGAAATTTATCTGCTATGTATCGCCCATTTTACCATTCCGTCTATGTCTTCCTGCAGTTGGCTACTATCCTTCTCACAGTTTACCACCTTACCTAACTTTGTGTCATTGAAACATTTTTAATTTTAATTTCTCTCAAGAATTAACAGAAATAACAGAAAAGAAGATTCCAAAATATTCTTTCACTATATAATCTAATCTTTTAGATGCAAAAAGCTCTTTGATTAGATATTCAGGTATTAATCTAAATTAATTTTATCCAGTTACTCAGCAACTCGTCAAAGCCATAAATTATATTGGAAATGAAGGGTACATTTTTACCCTGAAGGTTCAGCAGGAAATTATGTTGTATTCTGACTTTCAGAAACTGAGATATTGAGTTTGTAGTGTGTGTGTGTGTTCCAAAATCTCACTATGTTCATTTACTTTTAGGCTATTATTGACTCTTGGAGAAGAAGAGTTTTCTAAACCTCCCTTCAACATTGAGAATGAACTTCATAGGAAGGCCATTCATATGGCATTAGATAGCGTAAAAGCACTTGGGGTCAAACCCCCTCAGAATCTCTGGGAATACAAGGTAAATATTTTTGAAATGCAGCAATCAATAACCCAGCTTTTTGTTTCCAAAATGAATAAAACTAAATTGTGTCTACAATATGTGGTTTTGTGTTGCAATAGTAAAGCCTAATGATGCCTATTTGACAGAAAAGGTTCTGGATGGAATGCTTCATGATGAGAAAACTCAGTTAACTCAGTTAATTTCAGACAGAGAACTCTTTCTCCACACTACAAAGTGTGTTGGCTTTTATGCATCAAATCACAGGTTTGACAGTGGCTGCAGATGAGACTGCAGTGCTGGCACCTGGCTGAAGGACAAAGTAGAAATGGTATTTCAGGAAGTTGTTTAGAATTAAACTAAAGGTCTTTTTTTTTTAAAAAAGGCTAATCTGATCCAGTTGGTAAAACCACAACCATGTGTGAAATTGAGCCATTCAGACCCAGACGTTTTTACAGTTGATTCTGTCTATGAGTAGAGCAGAATGATCTCATGTGAGCAGCAGTGGTGGGGGGTAGTGTAGAGAAGTGCTCAGAATGGCCTGTACTAGAGAGGAAAAAATCAGTCCGGTTTCTTGCTTCTGAGTGCTGCCCTGTGACTCGAGTTGGAGAGTGTGCTCGTGCGGACATCAGCGCAGAACAAAATGAGGCTTGGCTGTGATGCTTCCCTCCTCTGCCTCAGGCAGTTGAACAGCCTAGGACTGTGCGTGAAGAATAGCTTCTTGGGTTCTTGTGACACTGGATTCCAGCATGTGAGTCAATGTCTTTCGCAAGTACAAAAAAAATTTAGAAATTGAGGCCTTGCTTAATTTAATAATAATCCTTGCATTTGATATAGTGCCTTATCACATTGCTGAGATGTCTCATAGTGCTTCATAGAATATACTGTAAAGTGAATTGACTATATTTTATGGGCATCAGTCAATTGAGCACAGCCCCGTCCCACAAAAAGCCCTGGATTGAGTGGCCAAATTATTTATTTTTGGGGGGAAGGGATTATTACCCCAAAAGCAATCCACCAATCGACTAGCATTGGGTTCCTACTTTCTAGGTAAATAGAGGCGTGTGAAGTAAGGAAACTTGCCTAAGGTTTCGCCCTGCTCGGGAATCCAACCCGGGTCCTCTCGCTTGTGAGGCGAGTGCTCTAACCACTATTTTACGGGACTATATATAATTTGCAGAAAGCACAAGTATGATCTAGTGAAATTACCTGAACAACACAGGAAGGAACTTTCATCTGCTTATTACTGATATAAATACTTATTTTTTCAGGCAATGCATGCTGGCAAGTCACTGTTCCTCCTATATGCACTAAAAAGCTCTCCACGGCTGACCATGCTGTACCTATACCTGTTCGATTACTCAGAGATATTTCTGCCACTCATCCATACTGTTTCTCCAGAAAAATCTGAGATGAATGAGGAATCGGATATTTTTCGAAAGTACTGGGTAAGTCTTGTCATACAGCAGGAAACCAAGCCCAACAGCCTAACTCCTCCATGACAGTGCTTAGACTCCACACAAGCCCCCAGCCCTTTTTTGCTATGTTCTTCTCCTTTGTACCTAAATTAAATTGTTTGATTCAGATTTTGACATTTTTTTTAAAACTTCATTTTCCACTCCCCCTTTCTCTACTCCTCCCGTGATTTCAGCCTCTCAGTATCACAGCAGTGAGTACTTCTCGACCAATTGGTCATCCTTCACGTTGATGTTCTGTTTCATTTTGAAGGCCCAAACCTGTATCTGCCTAGCATTCATGTGCACTTCCATTAGTGATCATTCTATAGCAAATAGTTTTTGGAAATTTGCCCATTTTGTCCCTCTGTCTCTAGGCTCAGAATGCTGAGGTGCATTCGTAGGATTAGCTGGTTGAGATTTCAAATTGAGCACAGATCGAAGATTATTCTGCGATTTATTCCCACACTATTTGCTGAAATGTGATCCAGAAAGAACAACTTGCATTATGTAGCACCCTTCACATGGGGCAGCATCTCAAATCGCTTAACAGTGTGTGGGGGGTGGGAAGGAGAAGGTGACTGCAAACAGAGTCGAATCTAGTCATTCTTTCTTATAAAAGCTCTATTTTTGTATTTTCTTAATTTCCATGTCATCTATGCAAATGTGTCATAACTGTCCTAATATTTCTTTTGAAAAAGTCTGATGACATCAGCGTGAAGCAATGGACTGAATTCCTTGTCAAGTACACCCTGATACCGTATCAATTGATCGCTGAGTTTGCCTGGGATTGGTTGGATGTGCACTACTGGACCTCCCGGTTTATAATTGTCAATGCCATGCTTCTGTCAGTGTTGGAATTCTTTGCATTTTGGAGACTGTGGTCAAGAGGAGGACTCAGGTAAGGTTCAGCTTCTTTCTGCCGTGGTGTTGATCATTAGCATATTGAATAATTTTACACTTATTCTGTATTGAAATTTGAACATAGTTGGTGTATGCTACCTGACTGTTCTGCGAGCTGTTGCAATTGAATGCGTACATCCTTTTAGCAATGATTTGGCAAAATTTTGCTTAAAGCTGTGGTTCATTTTAAATTATCTCTTTTAGGACTATTCCTCAGCGAATGTGGAGTCATTTCTGGAAGGTATCAAGCCAAGGAATTCTTGTTGCTATTTTCTGGCCGATAATTCCTCAGTTCATCTGTGACTGTTTGTTTTACTGGGCTTTGTACTTCAATCCAATAATAAACATTGACCTGGTGGTCAAAGAGGTACGGCGTTTGGAAACTCATGTACCATGAAAATCTCTGTGACTCAAACCGAGGAGCCGCACTATCTCCCCAAAAAGCTTATGACAAAGGAACAGTTAACAGTGTACATATTCTTAAATGCACTGTTTTACTGCTAATAGTTTGAAATGTCTGTACAATTGGCAGAGTTTAAGAACTGGAATATTACACTTGTATAAAGAAAATGGACTTGATTTTTACTGCTGGGTGTAATGGAGAACGTGCCTGGACTGAACACTGTTCCATGCTAATGAGTGCAATTAACATCTTTGTGGTTTTTAGTCAAACGGTTGCCTGCAGGTTTTACTTTTAAATTTCTCCTTTGATTAAGTTTCTCTCACATACATGATACAGGAATAGCACTTTTATTTTAAACGGGGTGCGGATTGTCTTGATTTGATTGATTCAGTTATATTGTGATCTGCAAACCACTTGTGCCAAGCCCCTCTTGCATTCTGTTATCTTGTTTATCAAGGGCTACATCATGTGTCATGTAAACTGGTGAAAGGACTGAAACCTGCATATATAATACCTCTCTTCATAGAAGCATAGTTTATTTTACAGTTGATTTGAGTTTTTAAAAATTCAATATAAGATCTGCTCTGGCGATTTTTGTAATCAGTTTGATGAATAAACTCTATTTTTGCATCTCTTGACATGGTGAATTGCACTGGGAGAAGATTTTAAGCTGTGCAGTTGTTTAAATTGTGAATGGTGATCTGCAGTCTTGTTTCTTTGCTTTGATAAAGTTGTGAGCTTGTGAAAATTGATTAAATTTTTTTTTAGTGATTTTGAATGTCGTTTTTTCATTTGAAACTACGTAGTACAAAGCCATATCAGATCCAGATTCCCAGGTTCTGTTCTCTGTTAGCTTTGCTGCTGTTAGGTCACCTCAGCCGAGCTCACAGTTGGAGTACTGCAATGGCCTGCTAGCTTTGCTGGGTTACAGTGAGCAAAATCAGCACATTGCTGATCACCATCCAGTGTTCCCTTCTCGAGTGTGCATGTGATGACATTTGATGACTGATCTGGAAAATGACCAGATTTTCATTATCTGCTGCCAGTTTTACTTGCTAACAGGAACCCTTTGCCAACCAGATGCTGCAATTCACTCTGGACTTGTCAGAGGTTGTAATCTTCTGTTTCTAGCCATACGTTTTCTGTTATGTTCGTAAATGTTGCTTCCAAAAATGAAGCTACCGTCTTGACAGATGTTGTCTGATGTAATAAATCACATGCATCCAGTGACATTCAATGATAGTCAAATCTGTGCGACAGTTACCTTGTTACACTTGCCTCGACTTAGATCCTATTTTTTGCAACTTAGTACAGAAAGGAGATGACAGAATAAAGCTGGGAAAGGATGTAGGACCATTGGTAAGTGTGACGATTCATAAAGCAGACTTTGAAGTCAGGTGTATTTTGCTGGTCAACATTAAATTTCATCCCTGAAATGACTTATGCACTGAATTCAAGTCAGGCTAATAATAATATTCACCCTTGCATTTTATGTAGCACCTTATTAAGTCAAAACACCTTAAAACACTTCACAGATGCATCTGTACAGTGTAGTAACTGACCATGTTGTAGGTATCTCTGATAGCCAATTTTTTACAGCAATATCCCATAAACAGCCATGAAATAAATGACCAATTTTATCTGGAGGATTGTTGGCTAGGATACCGGGGGAAACTCCCTTCTCATCGAATAGAATAGTCTCGGGCAATATTTAACAAATACAAGTTCGACCTCTCATATTTGTTTACTAATAGACAATGCGGATTAAAAACACAATCGGCACAATCCAAATGGCTCTTGTCCAGTTTGATACAAAGCGGCTACTACAGACCAGTGATCTCCAGGTATCAACTTTTCTCAAGAATGGGCTGCTGCACCAACATATTTCCGCGTTGCAGTTACAGACCTAAACATGGCAGTGATACTCAACATAACAGCAGTATTTGTAAAAACTCACCATTGGGTGCTCCTGTAAGTGTACAGGTGTAATATAGAAACACACACAACTATCTAGTATTAAAAGCAGGTACATGATCTGCATTTCCGCAGTCTGCACTGTGCAGTACCAGGTGAATATGTGACATATGATCATTATATCTTAACTTTCAGTTTTCATTCTCTGCCCACTGTAACAGGAATATGACGCAAGACCAGTGATATTGCCCATTTTCATGCTGTTCTCAGTGAATGACTGGAATGAGCCGATGAAGGTAAAGGCTAAAAAACATCTTTGACGTGTGTTGTATCTACTTTCTCTGCGGACTAACACTCAGTGTAAGAACTCAGATATGATTATGAATGTATGTTATTAAGAATGATTGGACAAATGCGCTCCTTGTTATGACAATAAACAATAACATTTATGTCTAAATGGAGGAATCGATGATTGTTGCAGAACTCAGTTACCAAAAAAAAGAAAGGTACTGCTGTGTATTTGATGATGTAATGAACAAATGTGTTTCTAACTGTACATGAATATTAAAACAGAAGCTGCATTAAATTTTAGATTGACTGAATAAGTTGTATTGGCACATTCCCTATGCAGTCACAATATTTAGCAACTCCTGCACTTTCATCTTTACCAACTTTCTACAAGTGGTACAGTTCTTTTATTTAGAACTGCTGTATAATGGAACCATCCCTTTTCTCCCCAAGAAACGATTTAGTTCTCAATGCCAGTTTTCAGTCTTTAAACAGAAAACAACAGAACCTTAAAATGATACATTGAATTAAGAACTCATTTGCCCCAGAACTATTTCACAGGATTTATAATTGCTCAAAATCTATGAAAATAATAACTTGCAATTATGTAGCATCCTTAATGCAGATACGTCTCAAGAGTGTACGATTTGATGACAAACTGGGAAGAGAGGGGAGGTGACTCAAGGCACGGCTGAAGAGGTGTGATTTGAAGACAGGCAAAGACAAAGGGATTGAGGCAACGAGTTTGAGATTTGGGACATTGTGGCTGAATGACAGCAGTTACAATGTAGGTGTGAGCACAGTACAAATTATGTTATATCAGTCAAAATGCACAGCACATAATTTAACCTGCAGTTTTAAGAAAAACAATTGGGTGAAACAATGGTTTCTATATTCTTGGTGTGCCTTAGACCTTTGACGGAATTAGTCATTCCCAAATAAACTGTGGAACTGGAGAGTTTCTGATGCGAAAGGAAAGTCGTGGAGTAAGGCCAGTTTATTTGTTATAACTTCCGTGAGCTGCTGGCAAAAAAAATTACCAAAGTGTCTCATGTACACCTTTCAATCTATTCCTGTTTATGTTACGATTTATTATTTATAAATACCTCTATTAGGGGAACGCAGTCACAGCTGAGGTGGGGGCGAGAGAGGAATATTTTCTACCAACATGAGGAGGTAACTTTTTGTAACTGTTGACAAAAAAAAATCTATTTAACAACTACTGAGGATATTTTGTATTTTCCTGTAGCAAAATCTCTTTGTGCGCACATCATATGTTTATTTTATACATTCACCTGAACATTGAGTCACTTTACTTATTTTCTGTCTGTATTTGATATATAGATACATACATTCATGTGTTTGTTCATATTTCTTCCAACTACAAAGAACATAATTTTTTGTTAGCTGTGCAATTGAGAACATTTGAGGAAAGTGAAGTTAAGTAAAGTGGGTTCTTAGTTCAGAGCACAATACTCTAGTTTCCGCAATGACATTAAACCGGCCTGTCTTACAGTTAAACTCAGTCGTGGTCACTTCCTGCGCTGCTCTTTCCCTCGGAGAACCACAACAGGATGTGAACTTAGGTAGTGTTCATGAATGGCAGAGTGTGGGCTAGAACCAAATGCCATATTCAGCTCACTGTTTTATCAAAGGGTGGACTGACATTGGAGGCACTGTGGCAAAGTTTAAAGAGCACTTCACCGCTCTGCCCTGAGCTACATTAAGCTTCTGTCTCCTCCAGTGGCATAAACTTGCAAGCTGATATCACCCCATCACAACACGGTTTTCCATGTTAAACCCTTGTATGTGTGAAAGTAGACCCCAGCTAGGACATGGCATCACAATAATGTAGACAACAAGTAGAGTGGACAGGTGTCTCTACTTTCCCACCTTTTTGGCTTCAAGAGGCGGATGATGAAACAGAAGCAGGTAATAAAACCTGGCATAATGCACAGTGTAGATAACTCAAATTCAGTGTGAAACATCATGATCCAAAGGGAATTTGATCTCCTTTGTGCAGCCAGAGGTTCAAAGTCCATCTGAGGAATAACGATTGACTGGACATTGTTTCATGGCATGATTGACAAAGGAAGCCACAACCCTATATTACAATAGGCTAAGATGGCAAGTCAAGGAAGTTGTAAGCAGCTATCGAGAATCAGTAAGTATGAAGTTCACTCTAATGATTCATCACAAACCACGAGAGTGTGCAAGTCAAAAGGCAGGTCTTTCTGGTTCTCCTTTAAACTCCAAACGATGAAATACCATAGACTCCAAACAACTAAACAATTAAATGCTGAGATTGGGACTTTCATATCAAACAGCAGTGGATTTTGCTTGCAAAGGAGCAAAAAAGAGTCACATCCTTAATGAAAAATAAAAATACGAAATTTAAATCACAGATGAATTTGAAATTTGCATTAAATTAAACTCCATGCTAGCCCTTATGACTGTTAATAGCGACATGCTTTTTAAGTTTAAAGTTCTGTATCTGGCTTTGTTTTTCAGGAACTTTTGCTTTGAGGGTTACTAATAAAAATTTTGAGGCCTCGTGCAAATCACTGGCGCCTGCTGTCCAGTATGGCTTTCCAGTCGTCCGCCCACGAGCCCAGTCGCATCCTTGGGGTTGTTAGCTCTACGTGCTTATTGTGGCAGGCCGAGAAGAGAATGTGTTCCCACGTGGGATTGGGCTCCACACCTAGAAGAACGGCAAACAAAACACAACTAGTATTATTGTGGAGTCCTGTAGCTCAGTGGTTAGAGCGCTCGCTTTGCAAGCGAGAGACCTGAGTTCAATTCCAGGCAGAGGGAGAAACCTTGGGCAAGTTTCCTTACTCCACACAGAGCCTAATAATAATCCCTCCAAAACAAAACAATAATAAATTGGTCATTTTCAATCTACGACTGTTTGTGGGACATTGCTGTGCGCAATTGGCTGCCGCGTTCGCCCACAAATATACAGTCAATTCACTTTACAGTGTATTCTGTGAAGCGCTTTGGGACGTCCTCCCGACGTGAAAAGCGCTATATCAAATGCAAGGATTATTATTATTATAAACAACAGGGATCTCATTCAGATTAGGTCTGAATGAACACAGCAAGACAAGTACACGTAGTCAGGCCAACATCCATCCAAACACAGTCAATCAGTACAATACTCCAGTAATAATAATAATAATCCTTGCATTTGATATAGCGCCTTATCACATTGTTGAGACGTCTCAAAACGCTTCACAGAATATACTGTAAAGTGAATTGACTGTATATTTTGTGGGCGTAAAGTGGCAGCCAATTGCACACAGCAGTGTCACACAAACAGTCGTGAATTGAGTAACCAAATTATTTTTTTGAAGGGATATTTTTAAAAAGAAAAGCGATCCACCAAACAACTAACAAACAAGTTCATACTCACTGCTAGATAAACAGGTGTGTGGAGTAAGGAAACTTCCCTAAGGTTTTGCCCTGCCTGGGAATTGGGCCGAGGTCCTCTCGCTTGCGAGGCAAGTATCTGCTTTAGAGCACGAAAAGCCAGCAATACTGAGAGTTACTTTCAGCTACATATTGCTGCATACTTGGGCAAGGTGTAACTCTATGCAAGTATATTTGCAGAGTTTTGCTTCTCTGGCATCTAAATACCAGTGAACAATTAATGCTGGGGAAAAGCCAGCTGTCCCGTTGTTTTTTTTTACTGACATTTCTAAAACATCAATGTGGTCCAGCTGGGATCTTTTAAGTGTTTCTTTCTCGTCTCAATTTCCCATTTTTTCCCTTTGAAAGAACAGATTTATGGTATTAATAAGAATCCTTACATTTGATATAACGCTTTGTATCACCAAAATGAATGAAAGCACTGCTTCACAGTGGAGTCCTGTAGCTCAGTGGTTAGAGCACTCGCTTTGCAAGTGAGAGACCTGAGTTCAATTCCAGGCAGAGGGCGAAACCTCGGGCAAGTTTCCTTACTCCACACACCTAATAATAATCCCTCCAAAACCAAAAACAAATTTCCTTACTCCACACAGATAATAATCCCTCCAAAAAAACAATAATAACATTTTCAATCCACGACTGTTTGTGCGACATTGCAATGCGCAATTGGCTGCCGCATTCGCCCACAAATATACAGTCAATTCACTTTACAGTATATTCTGTGAAGCGTTTTGGGACGTCGAGGAGACGTGAAAAGCGCTATATCAAATGCAAGGATTATTATTATTAATGTAAGATGTAGTGACTGTGTATTTTGTAGGCGAATGCAGCAGCCAATTTGCACACAGCATTTCCACATAGGCGACATAATTGCTGTCTTTAAGAATCTAAAGGGACTAAGCATAGTAAAACCAAAGCACATGGCCTGCGATTGAAGGGGGTAAAGTCAGAACAAATCTACACAAACACTATTTCACTGAATGAATAGTAAACCTGTGGAACAGACTCCCTAGGGAGATGGTTGAAACAGGAAATGTGAATTATTTCAAACACAGATTAGATAGTTCTCTTTTGGGAAATAACATTATGGGATACAGTACATAGGTAATTTGGAACACACGTGCATGCGACTGCCAGGAAGGTGGAAAGCAAATTAGATGGACCTCTGTCTTTTTTCATCTAGCAATTCTTGTGTTCTTAGCATTGTCACACAAACAGCCATGAATGAAGCGAATGATTGATTTTATTTGGGGGATTGTTGACCAGGACACCGAGAGAAACTCGCTTCTCATTTTGAATAGTGCAATAGGATCTTTAACGTCCACCGGACAGGTAGAGGGGATCTTGAATTTAATCTGATCTGAAGGACGGTACCTCTGACAATGTAACAATACCTTTAATAATGTAAAGCTTCCCCAGGACTACATGTAATCCTCCTCTGTGATCTTACCTGATATATCGACTTTATCATCTATCAGTAGGTCAGCCGATATCAATGTTTTATCCCTCGTTAATACAATCTGTTCCAGAAACTCTTTGCCAAGATGCTTCTCTACCCAGGCGTACTGTGAATACAGGATCAATACATCATGATTAATATTATGATTGTGATTAATACATGATTAATGCATGGGTATTTACTTGTGGAGCAGGGGTGGGGGACGCAATGGACAAAAGGGAAGTCAAAGATAACTTTTTAAAATGTGTTTTGAAAGAATTCAGGGAGTGAGCAAGGTGAAGGGATAATACTAATTATCCTTGCATTTTATACAGCACCTTACCATGTCATTGAGACATCTCAAAGCACTTCCCAGAATATATTGTAATGTGGATTGACTGTGAATTTTGTGGGCGAAACACAGCAGCCAATTGTGCAAAGCAACGTATCACAATCAGATGTGTTTTTTTAAGGAGAGAGTTCAGCAAAGTGGCTGAATGTTTGCTCACCAAAACAGGGCAAAGGTTGGCAGAACGGAGGGATTGGGCAGGAGTGATTGCAGCAGATCACAAAGGTAGCTCAAGTACCTATTGCACAAATCAACCTTAACAATTCCTACTATTTCTCTTGGTTTGAAATGCTTCACACACAGCGACTTACTTTCTCATAAGGGCAGTGGTCGAACTTCGGTATTGGGCTGGTGCAGATGAATACATCCGTGCTGTGGAAAAGCAACAGAAAGAAAATCACTAGAGGTACCTTGTCTTTGACATGTTAATTCTGAACAGAGTGAAATTGGATTCTTGGATAGTTTTAAGAGTTGGGACTCACTTTTTCAAACTGGTCATCTCTTTCACAGCCTTCACTGCACCAGGAATGGGATCAAGTTCAATAAAGAAATTCTTCGACTCCCAAACGCTAATTGCCTTTTCCTGAATTTTTTAAAAATTAAATTTAAAAAAATATAAAAATATTAAGTTGAGGAATTGGAACAGAGGAAATTAGGAAGGGAAGAAACCCCATATAGCCCGCTCGCCTCCACCACAGACCATTTGTGGAGATCCATGGTGTAGTGGTTACAGCCTCGCAAGCAAGAGGACCCGGATTCGATTCTCAGGTAGGGCCAAACCTTAAGAAAGTTTCCTTACTCCACATACAAGCCTCTGTTTACCTAGCAGTAAGTAGGAAGCTGTTTTTTAGTCAATTGGTGGATTGTTTTCTAGGCGGTAATAATCCCTCCAAAAATATATATGGATAAAATAATAATTTGGTCAATCCATGAATGTATGTGGGACATTGCTATGCGCAATTGGCTACCACGTTTCGCCCATAATGTGAAGCGCTTCGAGATATTTATTATTATTATTATTCCACGGGCCATGTATTACAATTTCCCCTAATCCCACTTCTCACCGTATCACTTCATATGTTTATTCCCCCAACAATCTACATATCTTGTTCTTAAACCCTTCAACTGATTTCTGATTCTTATTACTCTATGCAAGAGAAATGATTTCCTTGTCTTGATCCTAATCTGTCCGATACAGTAACATCTTCTTATAGCTGATAATAATAATCCTTGGACTAGCTTGAACATTCATATCTTCTTACAAATATTGTGTGAAATTAAGATTCATTTAATTGCTTCACCCATTGATCATGCTTGAGAGTGTGAGAGATCCTTGAGCATGCGTGCTGCTGTTCACATATTGTCCAGCAAAATAATATGTGACCCTTCTTAGCATTGCGGAGTGATATAAATAATAATAATTATTCCTGCATTTGATATAGCGCCTTATCACATCATTGAGATATCTCAAAACGCTACACTGAAAGGTGAATTGACTGCATATTTTTTGGACGAGACATGGCAGCAAATTGTGCACAGCAATGTCCCACAAACAGCCATAGATTGAGTGACCAAATGATTAATATTTTTCAAAAAAATTTATAAATGCACTGAGATCATCTAACAGCCGAGACTGGAAATTGAATCTTTCTGCCCTGGTACTTTCCTTAGCTCGCTTTCCCCTCGCCTTCCCCTCGCCTCCCCCTCGCCTCCCCCTCGCCTTCCCCTCGCTTCCCCTCGCCTCCCCCTCGCCTTCCCCTCGCCTTCCCCTCGCCTCCCCCTCGCCTCCCCCTCGCCTTCCCCTCGCCTCCCCCTCGCCTTCCCCTCGCCTCCCCCTCGCCTCCCCCATCTTTACAAAGTATATCAGAGGTTATATGGTAAAGTGGCTTTGACTGTATTTTGTGAGCGATACACAGCGGCCAATTGGCCCCAAATCCCAACCAACTGCGCTGCGCCCAAAGTCAGGCGATCCCCAGGAGCAGTGAATGGCGGGTGAGGGGTTAACACAATGGCATCAGTTTGGGTTTAGGTTATTAAACAACATGACGGACGCGGTCAGGAGACGGCGATGTGTGTGGAACAGTGTCCGGAGCGGAACCCGCAATGGGGGACACGGGGAGAGGGGGGGGACACGGGGAGAGGGGGGGACACGGGGAGAGGGGGGGACACGGGGAGAGGGGGGGGACACGGGGAGAGGGGGGGACACGGGGAGAGGGGGGGGGGGACACGGGGAGAGGGGGGGACACGGGGAGAGGGGGGGACACGGGGAGAGGGGGGGGGACACGGGGAGAGGGGGGACACGGGGAGAGGGGGGGACACGGGGAGAGGGGGGGGACACGGGGAGAGGGGGGGGGCACGGGGAGAGGGGGGGGACACGGGGAGAGGGGGGGGCACGGGGAGAGGGGGGGGGACACGGGGAGAGGGGGGGGAACACGGGGAGAGGGGGGGGACACGGGGAGAGGGGGGGACACGGGGAGAGGGGGGGGAGGGGGGGGGACACGGGGAGAGGGGGGGGGGGGGGGACACGGGAGAGGGGGGGGACACGGGGAGAGGGGGGGGACACGGGGAGAGGGGGGGGACACGGGGAGAGGGGGGGACACGGGGAGGGGGGACACGGGGAGGGGGGGGGGGGAGGGGTGTGAGCGCGCGGCGCCCTCAGTGACCGAGCGCTGCGCTGAGTGTCCGCTATGACTCACACACAGTCCGGGCTTCAGACTCTCGTACTGAGCGGAGACCCAAAACCCTCTGCGGTCTGACAGCGGTACACAGGGCTCCGCGGGGAACATCCGCCGATACCTGTGCAGGAACCCCGCCTCGAAATCAGCCAAAACCCCATCCATGTCCAGCAGCACCCGCAGCCTCCCGGCCCGGCCCCGGGCCCCGGGCCCACCCACACCCCCGGCCCCGGGCCCCCCCACACCCCGGCCCCGGGCCCCCCCACACCCCCGGCCCCGGGCCCACCCCCACCCCCGGCCCCGGGCCCACCCACACCCCCGGCCCTCCCCGGGCCGCTCCGGGTCAGCAGCCGACACAGCGAAGCCATGATCGCTCTGAACAGCACAGGGCCCGAGAACCCCCGACTCCGATCCGATCGACAAGTCACTGCCGGCGGTCACGGAGCTCTGTTGCGGGCGGAGGCGGCGGTGCGGCGGCGGTGCGGGGACGCCCCCGCGAGGCCGCGGACATGTCTGCGGTGTCCCCGCGGCAGCACCGGGAAACCTCACAGCGCCACCGCCACCGCCTCACACACAGCGCTCAGCCACTGCACTGCACTGCACTACCCACCAGCTCCACAGCGCCCCCCCCGGGCACTGCCCCCCCACCCCGGGCCCACCCCCCCCCCCCGGGCACTGCCCCCCCCCCCGGGCACGCCCCCCCCCCGGGCACTGCCCCCCCCACCCCGGGCACTGCCCCCCCCACCCCGGGCACTGCCCCCCCCCACCCCGGGCACTGCCCCCCCCCCCGGGCACTGCCCCCCCCCCCGGGCACTGCCCCCCCCCGGGCACTGCCCCCCCCCCGGGCACTGCCCCCCCCCCGGGCACTGCCCCCCCACCCCGGGCACTGCCCCCCCCGGGCACTGCCCCCCCCCGGGCACTGACCCCCCCACCCCGGGCACTGCCCCCCCCCCCACCCCGGGCACTGCCCCCCCCCACCCCGGGCACTGCCCCCCCCACCCCGGGCCACCCCCCCCCCCCGGGCACTGCCCCCCCCCACCCCGGGCACTGCCCCCCCCACCCCGGGCACTGCCCCCCCCACCCCGGGCACTGCCCCCCCCCCGGGCACTGCCCCCCCCACCCCGGGCACTGCCCCCCCTCACCCCGGGCACTGCCCCCCCCCACCCCGGGCACTGACCCCCCCCCCGGCACTGCCCCCCCCCCCCGGGCACTGACCCCCCCACCCCGGGCACTGCCCCCCCCACCCCGGGCACTGCCCCCCCCCCACCCCGGGCACTGCCCCCCCCCACCCCCCCCCCGATTCAGTGAATCGCTTACAAATTGCTTCTTTTACTTTTGTGACACTGTAATAAATGCAAGTAATTACATTTATTACAATTAAACACACCATCCAAGACCTCATCGTCGATGAACACGTCCGCATCCTCACCCTCACTGAAACCTGGCGACACCTTCCCACACCCCCCGCGACACCGTCCATCACACCCTTCAACCTAACTGCCGTGATGGCTCTCATCTCCCGGTCCCCACTCAGCCTATCCCCGTACTCCTCTGGAACCTTCCCCTCCTTTGAGCACCTTACCCTTTATCACCCCTCCAACCTTTCCCTCCCTCAAAATTCTCTTTATCTATCGCCCCCCCCAGCTCCTCCCCACCTTCATCACATCACCGACATCTCCACCCTCCTATCTTCCTTCTCCCTCTGCTCCGAATGCCTCCTCATCCTCGGCGACTTCAACCTTCACTCCACCCCCTCCTGCTCTACCTCTGTTGACTTTTCCTCCCTTATCTCAATTATTACTTTTGATCTCCCTGTTTGCCCCCCTGCCCCCCCCCTCCCGACCCTCAGCTCGGGTCTGTAACTCTATCTGTCCAGCGCCTTGGGACGTCCTCCCGACGTGAAAGGCGCGATACATATGTCATTTTGTTGTTGTTATCTCCTCCCTCAATCTCTCCCTCCAAATCCACTCCGCCACCCACGTCCGCGCTCACTCCCTCGATCTGGTGATCACTCGGGGCCTCACAGTCTCGGAACTCACCATCATCGACAAAGCAATCTCGGACCATCACTTCATCTCCCTTAACTCCTCAATCCTCTCCCCACCACCATCCAACCCACCTCCAACTCCTATCGACCCTGGAAAAAAATCTCCCCCCCCACTCACTCTCAGCTGCCTTGGAGTCATCTGAACTCCTTCCCCTCTGGGCTTCCTCCCACAATGACCTATCCTCCTCGGTCACTCTTCTCCACAGCTCCCTCGTCTACACTCTCGATTCCCTTGCACCCCTTTCTTCCCAAACCATATTCTACTCATATAAGTCACCATGGTACACCAGCCACCTCCAAACCTTTAAAGCACAGGTGCATGCCGCTGAGCGCACCTGGCTTAAATCAAACTTAACTGTCTATCGGCAGATCTGGCTGTCCCATATCAAATCTTACCACTCCGCCCTCGCCTCCGCTAATCGCCATTCTACTCCAACAATCTTGGAGGCTAAGGACAACCCAGGCTTCTCTTCTCCATCACGAACTGACTCCTCCGCCCACCCTCTCACGCCTCATCCATCCTCACCTTAAATACCAACTGCGAGGCGATGCTGGACCTTCTCGAATCCAAAGACGGATGAATCCGCTCAACTGCCTCTTCCACAGCAACTGCTACCCCCTCCCCATCTCCTCCCATCCCAGACGCTACCCACCCCTCCCTCCACACCTTTGAACCCGTCTCCCCCTCCTCTCTCATCACCACCGTAACCGGTATGAAACCCATCACCTGCTCCCTCATCCCTACCCTTCTCCTTACCTCTCAGCTCCACCTCCTTGACCCTCTACTCACTGACATTGTTAACCTCACCCTATCCTCTGGTACGGTTCCATCCCTTTAAAAACCGCCGGCATCACTCCTATTCTTAAAAAACCCTCCCTCGACCCTTCTTTACTCCCTAACTATCGCCCCATCTCCAACCTTCCCTTCCTCTCCAAGGTCCTGGAACAAGTTGTTGCTTCTCAGCTTCGCTCCTTCCTCTCCCGCCACTTCCTTCTCGAACCCCTCCAATCGAGCTTCCATGCCGCCCACAGCACAGAAACAGCGCTGGTCAAAGTGACAAATTACATTCTGTCCATCTGCGACCAGGGCTCCCTCTGTCTCCTCGTCCTCCTTGACCTCTCTGCTGCCTTCGACACCGTCAACCACTCTATCCTCATCCACTGTCTCTCCTCTCACCTCAACCTCCACGGCGCTCTCCTTGATTGGTTCAGATCGTACCTCTCACATCACCTGCATTGCATCTCCTCAAATGGCTTCTCCTCTAGTCCCGGACTGTCTCTTGCGGTGTTTCTCAGGGCTGTGTCCTTGGACCCCTCCTCTTCAATATCTATGTGCTCCCGCTTGGTGACATCATCCGCCGACATTGGGTCAACTTCCACATGTATGCGGATGACACCCAACTCTATCTCTCTGTCTCCGCCCTTGACTCCAGGACCACTGCTGTGCTGACAGAATGTCTGTCAAATATTCAAGTCCTGGATGAGAGCAACTTTCTCCAGTTGAACGTCAACAAGACTGAGGCTCTCCTGATTGCCTCCTGTCAGCGCCTCCTCACCTCAGGCGCTGACAGCATCACCATCCACGGTTGCACACTCCACCTCACTGAGCCAGTCCAGAACCTTGGGATCTTGTTTGACCCTCAATTATCCTTTCTACTCCACATCTGAACCATGACCCGCTCTGCCTTCCCCCACTTCCACAACGTTGCCCGGCTCCACCACTGTCTCACACCACAGGCCGCTGAAACCCTCATACATGCATTCATTACATCGAGGCTCGACTATGCAAATGCACTGCTTGTCGGCCTCCCCAACTCCTCCTTCTGCAGATTATCCAGAACTCTGCAGCCCGCGTCCTCCCCTGCACTAGGTTCCGTGACCCTATCACCCCCATCCTCGCCCAACTCCACTGGCTTCCCATCACACAGAGGATACAGTTCAAGATCCTGGTCCTCACCTTTAAAGCCCTCCATTGTCTTGCTCCCCCACAATCTCTGCGACCTCCTAACCCACCATCCTGTTCTCTCCCTGTGCTCAGTGGGCTCCGGCCTGCTTCACATCCCCCGCCTCGCTCGCCCCATTATCGGTGGGCGGGCCTTCCACTACTCTGCACCCACCCTCTGGAACTCCATCCCGTAGTCCCTCCGTCTAGCCCCCTCCCTCGCCACCTTCAAGACCCACCTCAAGATCCTCCTCTTTGACCGTGCTTTCGATCTCCCTGCTTCCCCCCCTGCCCTCCCCCATTCCGACCCTCAGCTCAGGTCCATAATCTCTGTCTGTCCAGTGCCTTGGGACGTCCTCCTGACGTGAAAGGCGAAATACAAATGTAATTTTGTTATTGTTGTTGTTGTAATTATAGTTGTTATAGTTTATTATCCTAGGCAAAAATAGTTTGAACTGAGACTATAATAAACAATAATAAATTATTCTTATATTTGATGCAGCATCTACAACACAAAAAAAACAAGTAAAAGATGAACATGACAGGCAATTTGCAAACAGCAAATTAAACAATTTATCAGGAGGATTGTTGGCCAGAATATGCAGTGTCTGCATTAATAGATCAAGTAGAGCAGCATCCTACATCTGCAAAACCTGTCTCTATTATAATATTATAGTGATTATCATATCATATTACCATAACACAATAATTATAACTATTATAATAATATGATGCCATAACACAATAAATATAATTACCTCCCACACCACTGTCCAGGGCCCCAAACACAGTTTTCAAGTGAGACAGCGATTTCCGTGTACCACCACCAATGTGATGTGGTCTCCTCTGCATTGGGGGAAACCAAACTCAGATTGGGAGACCAATTTGCCAAACACCTCTGTTCTGTCCGCAAGCACAACCCTGAGCTTTCCGGTTTCCTGCCACTTCAACTCTCCCTCCCACTCGCACTCTGGCCACTCCATCCCCGGTCTCCTAAGCTGTTCTAATGAACCATAATACAAGCGCGAGGAGTAGCACCTAATTTATCTGCTAGGGACCTTACAGCCCTCTGGCCTCAATATTGATTTCAATAATTTCAGACCATAACAGCTCACCTTCCCCCTCTCCCTTTTCACTGACCAGTACCATATCATCTGGGTCCCACGCACGCCTTTTCTCTCCAAAATGCACAATACTGCAGATGCTGGAAATCTGAAAAGAAAAAAGGTCCCCCACACTGGGACCTGATCTAATGAAGGGTCGTGGACCTGAAATGTTGACTCACTTTCCTCAATTGGGTAAAAGAGGAAGGTCTTGAGATGAATCACTGATGACTTAAACTGTGTTTGGCACAGTGGGCGCACCCTCTTGTCTTAGTCAGAAGGTTGTGGTTCGAGCCCCACACTGGGACTTGGAATCAGACACTGCCACTCTAATGTGGTGCTGGGGGTGTGTTGCATTGTTGGCAGCGCCGTCCAAAAGATGAGACATTAAACGGTGGTCCATTTGCCTATTCAAGTGAATGTTAAAGATCCCAATGGCACTATTCAAAAAGAGAAGGGAGTTGCTCCCAGTGTCTTGGCTAAGAATCCTCCAAATAATATTGGTCACTCACTCCACAGTTGTTTGTGGGACATTTTGTCCACAAAATACAGCGCTTTGATTATTAATTATCCAATGCAATGATTATTGCTGTGCGCAAACTGCCTGCCGCCTTTCGCCCACAAAATACACAGTCACTGCACTTCACAGTATATTCTGTGGCACTTTGAGACGTCTCAACGACATGAAGCGCTGTATTAACTGCAAGGATTATTATTTGTTATTAACGTAGAATAACTGTGGTGATGGCTGATGGGGGTATTGTGTGCGGTGTATGGAGGAGGGTGGTGGTGGGTCCCACATTGGTGTGTGTGTGTGTGTGTTACCGCTTTAAGGAGCCAGGCTGCGCGCGGCGGGCCGGAGCTCGCGAGAGCTGGCGGCGCGCGGTGTGACGGGGAGGCGGGGGGAGGGCGCGAGCCGCTCGGCGCTGCTGTGTCACAGCGTTTGAATGAAGAGCAGCAGCGAGGCGGTGTGAGAAATGGCGTCCGCCTTGGAGCAGTTCGTCAACAGCGTGCGGCAGCTCTCGTCTCAAGGTAAGTGAGGGCCCGGGGGTGGGGGGGAGGGACAGTGACGGCGATTAACAACACTCGCCCGGGGCTCAGGCTCGCGCCGCCTCTCCAGCCGTTACTCGACCGGCTCAAGGCTCTGAACTACGGCTCTCTTCCCCCTCCACTCCATGCAGCGCCATTCCCCTGCTGCCCCCCGCCTGCCGCGCTCTGCTCCCTCCCCGGCCAGCAGCCCGCGAGCAGCGCCGGCTATTTCTTCCCCCCCCCGGTTCCCTGTGTATCACGGCCCTGTATCTCAGCTTCACCCCCCCCCATCTCCCGGTTGTGCTCCATGACACCGGAAGCGCCCGCCTCCGCCTCGCGCCCATTGGACAAGCAGCCATGATCGACGCCGGTCCTCTCCCTCCGCGGCCGCCCATTGGCTGGTGTCGCTGTCGCTCAGCTATCGCCCCGCCCCCGGCACTTCCGGTGCCAGCTGAGTGCCACTGGTCGGTTGTTGTCTGTCGGGCCTAGACCTGCAGAGGGCTTCACACAGGGCAGGGGGGGGCAGGGGAGGGCAGGACACCGCTCGCCTCCAGCTCGCACAGAGAGACTTCGGGCTCTTTCGTCTCTGCCCCTAATTCATATTCCTCATTAACTTGTCTCTTGTAACCCATCTTAAAAACCTTCCCTCTTTGACTCTTACCTTCGCATGACACATGCGGAAACCTAGCACCACCCTCAAGAGTATCCCAACCCAAACTGAAAACTCCATGCATCCCACCTACACATCCAGAGATAAATTGTTGGAACGGAATGCCCACTCCCCCGGAGCAAACTCTATTACCAAATTCTGGAAATTATTAGGCGCAGGTTGGCAAGAGCCAAGGCTTGGGGACCCCAGAGTGTGTGTTGGGGGTTACTGCTGGAGTTCGACCAGCTAAAACCACATAGCTGCGAAGCCCTTTGAGATACTTGCCTACATAAAAGGCGCTATGTGAGTGCTAATTGTTGTTGAGCTAAGGAGATGCTTTCTGTCAAAACAGAATTTTACAAATCCTTACTGCTTTTTTNCCATCCCAATAATGTCAATCTTTTCACATATTTATTATGACGTGACTGTTTTGTTTTATGGATTACTGTAACCTCTTCGCCCAAGTTTCTCTGCAGCATTGCCCATCTAGGCCACTACCTCACCCACCCCTCTTGCCTTTTACTGCTGCACCCTCATCAATGCCGTTGTCACCTTCAGGGTCAATTATTCCAATATCCTACTCTCTCCTCCCTTGCTGCACCTTCTACAAGCTCCAGACCATTCCAGAACACCATAGTCTGCACCCTTTCCCACGCTAGGCACTATGAGTCCATCTCCCTTATCCTAGCTTGGCTCCACTGGCTTCGTATTTAGCAGGTCAACTTTTAGAGCTTTATAATTGCCTTCAAATGCCTCCATGCCTTATCCCACCCTACCTTTCCCATCCTATTCCCCTAGCTACACCCTCTGCTCTGCCAACTCTGACTTGCTTCATGCCCCTTGCTCATTCTCCCTCATCATTAACAGATGAGTTTTTATCACTTTATCCCTGTCTTCTGGGACTCTCTTCCTAAAGTGGGGTCTCCTTGGAGCTGAACTGAATCAGAACGTCTGAAAGCACTTTATGACGTTTCTGTGAAATATAGTGACTGAATTTGTAGACAAATGCTGTAGCAACTTAGCATGCACTAGAATCTCATGAACAGCTATGAAGTGAATGACTATTTATTTGAAAAATTATTTATTTGTACAGGGATTCTGTGCTTCTTCCCAAGGTGAATTCTTATTCAGAGTGTCTCATCAGGAAAGAGTTAGACAATAAAATTGAATTTCTCCCCACTGGGGCGGAAATGTACTTCTAGCTCACTTGCAGAGTAGTATTCATGGGGTGGCAGCAGATGTCCTGTTGAAATGCTCTTGCTGAAGATTGGTAAGGTTTCAGGAAACCTAAAAAGGTGGAGGATATGAATGTAAAAAAAATTGTAGAACAAAGAAGGCATGTTATCCAAACCATGAAATTGTTAGTCTTGCAACACATTCAAACTGAGCTGTTTGGAAAGAAATTGTTTGAAATACTGAAACCTCTTATTTTACTAATTACAACGGCAGTATGCCACAACAATGACAAAGGGATAGATGTGATCTTGTTTAGTATTTCACTTCTTGTCAGTCCGGCTCGGTTAGTAGCACTCTCGCTTCTGTGTCAAAAAGCTGTGGGGTCTTGCTCCACATTAGGGCTTTGAACTCTCATAAACCAGACTGACATTCCAATGCAGTGCTGTGTATCCGCTGCATTGTCCCAGGTGCTGCCCTTCAGATGAGATGTTGAACTGGGATCCCATCTGCCTGTTCAAGTGGATGCTTAAGATCCCATAGCATTATTTGAAGAGAGAAGGGAGTTTCTTCCTGTGTCCTGGCCAATAATCCTTCAGATAAAAATAGTCATCACTTCATGTCTGTTTGTGGGAAACTGCTGTGTGCAAATTGGCTGCCGTGATAGCTATAAAAATGCATAGTCACTATATTTTGTAGTAAAATCCTGTGAAGCACTTTGAGATATCCTCCCAATGTGTAAAACGCTATATTGAATGTAAGGATTATTATGTTATTAATGGGAAGAATGTGCAACAACAACAAGATTACATTTGTATAGCGCCTTTCACGTTGGGAGGACATCCCAAGGTGCTGGACAGAGTACAGAATTTCAGATCTGAGCTGGGGTCAGGGGGGGAGAAGGGAGGGGAAGGGGGGTGGCCGATGGCATGGTCGAAGAGGAGGGTCTTGAAGGAGGTTAAGGAGGGGGTGAGGCAGAGTGACTGGGGGATGGAATTCCAGAGGTTGGGGGCAGAGTGATTGAAGGCTGTCCGGCCAATGTGCAACTGTCGAACATAAATCTAGTAAGTCATGTGAACGAAAATACTTGTAATTTTATTGCACGTTATCACGTTAAAACATCTCAAAGTGCTTCAAGTAAGTATTGCCGAAGGTGGTGAATGTTTTTGTCGGCAAATACAGCAGGTACCAGCAAGGTCCCATAAACAACCATTGGCAGTGGTCACTGGATAATAATCAGGAATGGCTATTTTTTCCCCTTCTACTGCTCAGATGTACGGAAGCCAGTTGTGATGCCTCAGCCTAGAAATATACAGTCACTTTACTTGACAATTCCCTGAGAAGATCTTTCAGCGCTGTAGAAAATTAAAGGTTTATTTAATTTATGATTTTCTGGTTTGTATGGCTGAGTGCTGGAAACCTAATATTTTGCTATTGTATAGTCTAGCTAATATTTGGTATAACATAGTGTTGGAGTTTCAGTGTTTATATTTTAATATCAGATTTCATAGTTTTCTTTTCGTCATCTTCTCTTGCAGTTAGTTGCTGCTAATGCCTGCAGTCCTAAGACAACTTCCAAGTTTTGTTTGTTTATTTTACGTTGCTATGTAAGTTGTTGTTGTTGCTTGTATCTGGTGCTTTGCAACTGGAACTTTTTCTCTTCTTTGAGGAGTTTGTTTTAGTGTTTATCCCCAGAATTCATGAGTTGTCCCAACACATAATATTATCTCATTATAGTTTTTCTTGTGTATTAAATGCTATAATTTTCTTATTAATTGACGTCCTCTCACATATAGACCTTTGTCTTGTGTATTGTTTTCTTTGCTAGGACCTGTTTCTTAAATTCTCCTGACTACCTTGGTTAGCTATCTATCTTGGTGGAAGGTGTTAACTCTTCCTCCCACTATTATTTTAGGTTTGGTTTTGCATCTCTTTCCTGGAAGAGGGGAAGTTTATTCTTTCTCATCACCTAAAGTGAATGTGTTTTCAATGGCCTTTACCTGTTCCTATGTTCTGTATCATGAATTTAATTTAGTGTTAAACCACCTGCTTGTTCAAGTGGGCGTTAAAGATCCCATGGCACTATTCGAAAATAGAAGGGAGTTTCTTCCTTGTCCTGGGCAGCATTCCCGACAAGTAAAATTAGTCATTCATTCATGGCTGATTGTGGGACATTGCTGTATGCAAATTGGCTGCTGCATTCACTCCACTTTACAGTATATCCTGTGATGCGCTTTGGGACAGCCTCTTGACATGAAAGGCGCTAAATCAAATGTAAGAATTATTGTTATTTTGTGGTGGATTTGAAATTCCTATAGGCAAGATACCACATCTCTTGATGATAGTAATACATTGGTCACTCAATCCATGACTGTTTGTGGGACACTGCTGTGCTCAATTTGCTGCCGTGTTTCACCCACAAAATATCCAGTCAAGCCACTTTACAGTATATTCTGTGAAGTGTTTTGAGATGTCTCAATGATGTGATAAGGCACTATACCAAATGCAAGTATTATTATATATTTAATGGTGGAAGGTCCACTCCCTCCATTATGATCTATTGATGATTACAGGTATTAACACAATTTAATACTTGTTAAGGCATCTGCCTGTTAGCACAGAATTGACACTCTACCTGTTGGGGTGGTAGGAAGTTGAAATCAACAGAATTAAAAACAATTAAATAGAATAAAGCCACTGAAAGTAGGTAGGAGCAAAAATTGAGATACAACAACAAAATTACATTTATAGAGAGCCTTTCATGTCAGGAGGATGAGATAAATAAGGAACCAAATCAAATGTGAGTGACATCCAAACAGAAGAAATGAAGGCAAACAAAGCCAATAAAATAGCAATTAAATACTCTTAGGGTTGGCACTGCACCGTGTGCTGGATGGTAACAATGCCCACCAGAGCGGTTCTGCCAAACAGATTTTTACTGAAATCCAAGTGTCAGTCCTAAAGTGTGCGAACATGCAGAGTTTAAATTTGAAATCTAGAGCTGTAGAAATGAACCACAATATATATGGGGAAGTTGTTGTGCCAGAATCTTTAACCAAGCATTGCAGAACTGTTTCCTCACAGTGCTTCCCATGATTCTATTCCTTTTCATCTAATTTGTTGAAATTGACTTCAAAGTTGGATGAGGCCCAGCCATTCTATATTTAGGTCATTTGTTCTAACAGCATGTACTGAGTTGGGTCTTTATTCTGTCTTTGGAGGTGGCAGGGTAGATTGTCACTACCATTGTTTTCTTCAAAATATATAAGTCACTAGATTTTTACAGTAAATCCTTTGAGACGTCCTCCCAATGTGAAAGATATATATCAAATGCAAAGATTATTATTACTCTATTATAATTATATCACAACTTGTAATTGAATCAGCTTTGCAGCAACCTTGAACGTAAGTATGATCTGTGGCCTACACATAAATCTTCCTCCTTGTGTAGGCATTACACCGTGATAAGTTTTGTCAAAATGTTATTTGGCTCTTTCTCAGACAGCTTATTGATTTTATTTTCATTAGACCTTTCATTTCAAAGAAGCATTTTAGGGAGAGCAGCAATCTCAATAGACTCTTGAAATTAGTAGTTGAATCAGACATTAGAAGTATATTTAACATGTAGTTCATTATGCTTTTTTGTTAGGTCAAATGACTCAGCTGTGTGACCTTATTAACAAGAGTGGAGAGTTGCTGGCTAAAAACCTCTCCCATCTGGATACTGTGCTGGGTGCCTTGGATGTGCAGGAGCACTCTTTGGGAGTCTTGGCTGTGCTGTAAGTATTCAACTGTTCTGACATAGTCAGGAATTCATTTTGTGTAATATATTTGGATGCTGCCCATTGCATTGCAGCTGCAATGCATATCAAATTGAATTTTGAGATCAGGATGCTTGTAACCATATTGAATAGATTATTGTGCACAGAGCAACACTGTGACTTTCTGAATATCTGAACCTAACAGAAGACAGACGGAAATTGTTTTCTTAATATAAAGTAGTGATTATGTGTACAGTTAGTACCTAAATAATCTTGTCACTTCTTTCATTGGCAATGCCTCGCTATTAGAGAAACATCACCTTCATGTCAACCCATTGTGTCTTCCAAGACCCAATAACCTGTCCTCGCAATGACTTGCGGAGCAATGATTATATCTATTTCTTTTGTAACGTCCAATTAAGTTTTCAGAAAGAATCGAGCACATTTTAGCCAGTCCAGAATGATGGGCTGAATAGCCTTCTTCTGCTTTGTAAATGGTTCCAAATACTTTGTGTGCTAAGGGTGTTTTTATTGTTTTCCTAGTTTGTAACTTTGTAAGATAAGGGTCATTATTATTCACTGAAACATGTAATAAATAGGGTTAAAAGATGAGGTAGAGACCTATTATAAAAGCCATAATTAATGCATCGCTTCAATGTGCCTTGGAACTATTTTCCTGTATGTGAGCTGATGTTCTGTGCAGGAGATACAGAAATAATTATTTCATCATACCATTGGGGTGAATCATTGTGTGTCACTCTGGCTCCGTTGGTAGCTTTCTCATCTCCAAGTCAGAAGATTGTGGGTTCAAGCCCCACCTCGGGACTTGGAATTCATAACTTGCACATAAATCATTAGCGCCCCTCACGCAGGGTAGATTCCCAGAGCGCTTGATGGTGGTGGAGCTTGAAACCAGGGAGGGGGGGGGTGACTGTAGGCTGTGTCTGTAGGTGACTGTATAAGAGGAAGGTATTCTAGGCTGTTTCAGCATCATGTGATCAAAGGATCAATAACGTGATTCCTGGCAACACTGTGTTGCAACTTGTACTGTTTCATCAGTTGAGTAGGCCCACACTACATGTTCCCACAAATATGTCAATTACAAAGAGCTGTCCTCAGTAATTCGCCTGGAACAGTCAGGATGAGTATCTTTAGAAAAGCTTCAAAATACTTGGGGAGAAAGTGTTTCATCAAATAAAAGTCCACCCACATTCTGTTCTGACATTGCTGCCTCTGCATCTGATTTATGTGTAGCTATTTGTGAGTGAGGATCTTGTCACAATTTGACTTGCTTGCAATTTTACTGAACACATTTGGCAAGTGGATGAGGCTATAAATGTGTGAATCGTTCATGGATTTCAAGCTTTGTGGAATTCAGTGAAAAACTAAATGAAGCATTGTATAATCTTTTTAACTCTATCCCGAATCTCTCTTTGTGCAGGTATGTGAAATTTTCTATGCCCAGTATCCCAGATTTTGAAACTCTATTCTCCCAGGTTCAACTCTTTATTAGCACCTGCAATGGTGAACACATCAGATATGCAACAGACACCTGTAAGTATCTCTTCTGTAGCACTTTATGTGGAAAGATAATTTCTCGACAAATTGCTCTGCTTTTAGGAAATACATCTCATTTATTTTCTTTTGCCCTTTTCCAGTTGCGGGTCTTTGCCATCAGTTGACAAATGCTCTAGTAGAAAGAAAACAGGTAAAACATTTCTGAAGTTTTGTTTTAAAAAGTGTTGTGAAACTGCATGTGATGCATGTTTTAAAAAAGTAGTATTGAATCTTTCAAAATCTACAGCAAGTATTTAGACTGTTACAATGAACGTTTACATTTTTAAAAAAAATACATTTTCATGCTTACAGTATTTACATTGAAATGTTCTTACGTTTAATAGTTGTATTGCATTTAATATTTTTTAATTTCATAATATTTTGCTACAATTTTTTGCGAATGTTAATGTCACACACACTCTTTTTCTTAGGCCCGTAGTAATTTGTAGTTTAGAGATAGAACTGGTGGTCATATCCTCTGCCTCTACCTGAATTGCTCAGGTGTTGTGTGGAGTTTGTAGTAGCATGTTTGATTTATTTAGGAAAAACAGAGGAAGAAGTTAATCTTTCTTTACCCGTTTATTTCCTATGTTTTATGAAAGCCACTGCGAGGCATTAGCATCCTTAAACAGGCCATAGACAAGATGCAGATGAATACAAACCAACTTACCTCAGTTCACGCTGACCTCTGCCAGGTAAGACGATCTTTTTTTATGTGAAGGTAGTCTGCGATTAGCATTCTGATGTACCAATGCAAATAGCCTTGTTTTATGGTGCTTGCAATTATTAGAGTAATTGTGGTATTTTTATTGCTCTCAGATTGAATTGGCTCAGTTTTGTTGCATCACATCTCAGGGATGCAACAATAGTTGTAGTTCTTTCTTCACACATACATGTAGATGAAGGTGCTATAATTTCTCCATATGCATTGCATGGTGACTCCTTACATAATTGATTAAGGCTGAATGAGAGGAATAACTAGCAGAACTATAGAAGCAAGCTGAATTGACATAAACCGATTTATCATCAACATGAGATGTCTCAGAAAACTTCGCTTGTCAACTGTGCATGTTCCCGCAGTTCCCACACATGCTATTGCTCACTAAACTCTGTGACTCAGAACTCAGTCTGCACTGATCAGGCCATTATTTTATACAAAGTGATAAACTGAAAACAAACTTCACTGTTTGTTGCTTATTATTACCAGCTCTGTTTAGTTTCAGAACTATTTGCAGGATTTAAAAGATTGTTGCCTTTCAAACTATAAAATGGAGGAGATTATATTGCTTTTCTCATGTATATCCAATTCATGCCGCCCAGAAGAATAGAAATCAATCAGATCCATATCATTTTAAAAACAAACAAGTTTTAAGTCAGAGTTTGAGGCTTTCTTGAACTTGCCCATTCTCCAAAACATTTTAATCAATGCTTCTTCCATAGCCATCACCAGCTGTTGCCCCAGCACTGGAATACATCAGATGCCTGTTAAAGATGGTGCAGCATACTCTCTCTGCTGGTGAGTCCAGTGGCACCTTCATCAGAGCAGAGAACACTTTAGCGGTGCTGTTCAATATCTATGCCGGTGGTATCTTTAAGTCCACTTCTGTTTCAGTCCAGTATCATTTGATAAGTGGCCAGAACTTGGTGCTGCTGCTCCCATGTCCCTTTTATACTATCATATAAGACACTGCTTTTTTCACCCCTTTATTGTTGTATTGACGAACCTACTGGTGACGTGACTAAATTGGTGACAAAAAATGGTGTGTTAACTTGAAGTATTTTGCAGTAATATTTGAAAACTTAATGTCTCAACAATAGTTAAACAACTATTTATTTCCCTTTTTGTAGCTTTGCCTGCTTGCAAAATGCTTCAAACCTGCTATTCCTTATTTGGAGGTGGATATGACAGATATTTGTAAAGAAAATGGAGCCTATGATGCCAAGCACTTTCTATGTTATTACTATTATGGTGGTATGATCTACACAGGACTGAAGAATTTTGAGCGGGCACTGTATTTCTATGAACAGGTAAAATGAATACATTTGAAAATGTCAATAATATGATTTAGTTGCTACTGAAATTATTTCAATGCTTTTAAGATTAGAAATGGAAAACAAACCTTCAATTGGTGGAAATCACAAATTTAGTACAATACACTAAACCCATGGCGAGACGGAGCAATGGGGCAGAGATCTGGTCCAGCTAAGTGTAATTACAAAGCATTTACTGGCTTTTGCTGGCATTTTTCAGGGCCGAAAAACGCAGGTACTCGTATTGTAATTGTTTGAACTCCCCCAACAGAAGACAGTGAGTGAATAAGACCAGTCCAGCTTGGTCCAAATTCCAGATAACCAGAGGGTTTATTTTTTTCCTCCAAGAGTATTAATCTTTCTCTGGATATATGCAATATAAAGTTTCTAGCACAAATAATAATAAATATAGAAAGCTGATTTTGTTTTTATAGGTTGGGAGGAACTTATTGTCTATTATGTTACAAATCTAAGAAATGCAATGTTTAATTATTGGCTGAGTTTAAACACTTGTATTAAAAGCATTAAGAAAAACAATTATTTCTGAATGAAATTATGAGAATGAAGATGTGAGAAATGGAAATGTTAACTTTCACTAATATATACCTTGCATAAGTCTGATCTGTATTAATCATATAATCGCCTAAGTCGTACATAATAATATTAATAATCCTTGTATTTAATATAGCACTTATCACGTCTCAAATCACTTCACAAAATGTATGGTAAACTGTAGTGACTGTATTTTGTGGGTGAAACGTAGCAGCCAATTGCGCAAACAGTCGTGGTTTGAGTGACCAAATTATTTTGTTTATACATATTTTTGGAGGGGTTATTACCCCCGGAAAGCAATCCGCCAATCGACAAATAACCGGGTTCCTACTTATTGCTAGGAGTGTGTGGAGTAAGGAAACTTGCCTGGCATTTTGCCCCCTTGGTAGATCTGCCCAGGAATTACCTGTGAAATCCACTTAAGTTTATCGCCACTAGTCGTATTAACAATTGTGTAACTCTTAACCTGCTACCGCACTTACCGTTACTGAATTTATCGACTGCCAGTCAAAACCTTGTTTCCCGTGCCAAACTCAAAACAGAGATTCACACATACACACCTTCATACTTTGCATAAGTCGTATTAAATATAGCTCAAATATAGCTTGGTTAGAACATTTGCCTTGCAAGTGAGAGATCTAAGTTTGATTCCCGGCATGGCAAAACCTTGGGCAAGTTTCCTTACTCCACACGTTTGATAATAATCCTCAAGAAAAACAATAATAAAATTGGTCCCTTCAATCCACGTCTGTTTATGGGACACTGCTGTGCGCAATTGGCTGTCGTGTTTCACCCACAAATATACAGTCAATTCACTTTACAGTATATTCTATGAAGCGCTTTGAGACATCTAGAAGATGTGAAAAGCGCTATATCAAATGCAAGGATTATTTATTGTATAAATGTATGGTCCCAACTGATACAACTTGTGTGAGGTTTACTGTAATAATAATAATAATAATCGTTGCATTTGATATAGCGCTTTTCACATCGGGAGGACGTCCCAAAGTGCTTCACAGAACACACTGTAAAGTGAATTGACTATATTTGTGGGCGAACACGGCAGCCAATTGCGCACAGCAATGTCCCACAAACAGTCGTAGATTGAAAATGACCAATTTATTATTGTTTTGGTTTTGGAGGGATTATTATTAGGCTCTGTGTGGAGTAAGGAAACTTGCCCAAGGTTTCGCCCTCTGCCTGGAATTGAACTCAGGTCTCTCGCTTGCAAAGCGAGTGCTCTAACCACTGAGCTACAGGACTACTGTAGTCAAGCACTCCAGTGCAGCCAGATCTTTGTTGCAAAAGGGAAGAGAAAGGGTTAGCTGTGTGTGTGTGTGTGTTTTGTATCTAATTATTTCATTCCGATTTCTGTTGTTTTAGCTAACAAATAACCAAAGCAATTTTTTAGGTTCCTCATTCACAACTAGAAGTACCTTTATATTTCAGGCTATAACAACTCCAGCCATGGCAGTCAGTCACATTATGTTGGAGTCTTATAAAAAGTATATTCTTGTCTCCTTGATTCTGCATGGAAAAGTTCAGCAGTTGCCTAAGTATACATCGCAGATAGTGGGAAGATTCATCAAGGTGAGAATTTGACTGAATATTTCAACTTTGGGGGTGTGAATTTTCAGCCGTGCTACTTTGGAAAATATTGTGGGACAGATCGTGTCCTTGTCAAGATAAAGTGTTGGAAGGAAAGTTTGTCTGGTATTGATGCATGGTAAAATGACTGTGCTGGTGACCTCCGGTTTATTTCCAGTGGTAGAAGTGAATTGCATGAGCGTTTCCTTTCTTTCAGCCATCTGGAGCCTGTGAGCCCTGGAGTTTTAATATGTAACTCCTCACTCGTCCTAGTTTTCGAACAATATTGAGCAATGTTAATTGTTGCTTTTCATTCATTAGAAAATAAATGCATATTGTTTTGATTTGTCTTTCTCTGAACATCAGTTTCAAATTTGTCAACATAAAAAGTGATTCCTGCTCAGAATCGGCTAATAATACTATTAATACTAATCTGAGGTATTAAGGTTTATTTTTAATAATGATAGGAATAAGCACATGCTGGTAAATACATTGATAAGGTTTAAACTGTACAAAGATCAGGTGCCATACTTAAGCAAAGTGTTTCTTGGATAGCTGGGCCTGTTCTCTTTAAAATACTAAAATGAATTCCCAAAGTGTCTGGCAATGCCAATTGGTTGTTACTTTGACAGTGTGTGGTTGGCTTATTAAAATTGTAATGTCAATTTCAGAATAATGTTCATTCTAATAGTTGTGCTCTTCTCCTGCTGTCCCTTGGACTGATTTAGTTCAGATCTGGACTGACATATGATGTAATCTGTTGAACAGCAGTATGGCTGACAGTGATAGTAGTGCTGAGGAAAGAGTGGCTGGGAGATGGTGCCTACAGCGGTAAAATCCACAAAGTTACCATTTCAAAAATTCTACAAATGTATTCCAACTTGAAAATCACTTTCCTTCATAGTTCTCTTGTTTAATATGTTAGAATCTCCTGGTCTCCCACTCATTTCCCACGTTAACGTTGGTAATCTGTGTGAAGGAAGCCCCAGCTGTCCACCGCAGGTACCAAGGTTTGCTCCTTGCATTTCTCTTCACAGTGGCTAACTCCACTGAGAGATATTACATCTAAATGTTCAAAAACAAATTGCATTTTGTGAAATCCAGCCTACTACTATTTGGGATCTCTGTAGGGGTAATATGGCTATGAAGTGTCCTTTTGGAGAGGTTTTCCATTATTTCTGGGAATATAGCTGAACCACATTTACACTCTGGCTTGCTCTGAAGCTCAGTCCATTCTCTCTAGGATGAACCTTGGTGGGAGCTTATTGTCAGCTGTGCTCTTTACAATTGCATCTTCAACCATTGGTCAAGGCCTAGTTGGGAAGTTTAAATGATAGCAGAGGAACAGCATGAAATTAGCAATGAAACATATCTGCGCATATTGTGTAACTATATTCTGTATTCTGAGCTTTTGTTCTTTGCTTTTTTAATTAAAAAAGGTTCTAATTGGATATCTGCAATGTGTAGCGTACTGTGAACGAGCAAAGCATATTCTGTTAAAATATTCACACGCAATGAATTAGATATGCAATAAAGCCAACTTTAGTGGTAATGAAGTTTTTTTTTGGCTGCTGCTTTGCTGAGGTAAGCTAAATCTTATATTGTCTGTCTCTTAACAGCCTCTTAGTAATGCCTACCATGAATTAGCTCAAGTATATGCAACAAATAACCCAACAGAACTTCGAAGTGTGGTGAACAAACACAATGAAACCTTCACAAGAGATAACAATTTGGGACTTGTTAAGCAGTGCTTGTCTTCTCTTTATAAAAAGAACATTCAAAGGTTAACAAAGGTAAGCAGCATTATACCTGCATGAAACTGTATAAAACGTTGCCGGGGGGATGTGTGTGTGGGTGAGAAGCAAGTAAGCGTGACTATCAGACATTCTTTTAAACTCGTTGAATGGTTACTTCAGGATTAGCATAATACCTCGTTTCAATAGAATTAAAAAAACCTTTCTTTAATGAATTTAAAAACGTTACTTTCGCCCACAAAATACAGTTAATCCGCTTTACGATGTAACCTGTGAAGCGCTTTGAGATGTCTCAACTATGTGAAACGGCGCTATATCAAACACAAGGATTATTATTATTTATGACGATTGATCTTCTGGACGACTTGATTCAAATACTCTTTCCCTGCGTGCTTCACCGCAATTAGAAAATCCGTTCAGTTTAGGATTCCCTCAAAAGCCCACACTGCTAATTTATTTTAATAGTGCATAAAATTTTTTAAAATCTCTGTCTATGTTAGTGGCTGAGACAGCTCCATAGATTTTAATGTTGCAGCCTTAATAACAATTATTAATAATAATTTATATTTACATAATTCCTTTCATATAAAAGCAAACTACTTGAATTACCTTACAAAATATAATTGATTAGAAGTAATTTATACTTTATGCAGTTCAAAAATGTATGTATTATTCATGTACCCAATGTCAGAATTTGTGTTTCTTTCTTCAAATTAAATTTTTTTTTGCAAAGAAGATTATGTTGACTTGTCTGATTTCTCATTTAGACGTTTTTGACATTGTCATTACAAGACATGGCGAGTAGAGTACAATTATCAGGTGCTCAGGAAGCTGAGAAATACGTGCTTCACATGGTAAGGCGTTCTTTCCAAGGCATATCGAAGTTTAAGCAGTCTATAGAAATGTTCCTTGAACACAAAATGTGCATGTTTCAGCACAATAAACAGTTCTGTATTGTGTAGTTGTATCTTTGATAAATAGGTATTCTGTATTACGTACTGATTAGAATCTTTCAAAATGTTACATTTTAAAAAATACATATATTGGAGGTCCAAATTTTACTGCATCATAGTGTGCAAGACAAGACCATGTAGTCTTAGATAATTTGTAGAAAATTAAATATGGTCTGAATTTGGAAATTAGTTTTCTGAAGTGCTTAAAAATAACTCGTATCCATATTTGAGACTGAATCAAAGAATCCTCCACATTTCTGTGTGATCTCAAATTTTAAGGCACAATGCTGGAATTTCAGACCTTTGTTACGTGTTATTAAACAGCCGGGTATCCAATTAAACGTGGGGTGCAAGTCACTGTTTGTTGGAGAAAGCATTGTGGGAGATGAAATAATCATCAATATCTAGAGCCTTTTAGCGAAACTGACTTGTTAAGCAGTTACAGTGAGGCATTTTAATAATTGGAGAAGCACTTGCATAGGAAAGGTATTGTAGGGTATAGGAGAAGGAGCAGGGATTTGGATTAGGATGGATGGCTTATTTGGAGGAACAAACATTGATATAAAAAGGGCCAAATAGCTTCCTACTACATCATACATTAAATTTACAAGATCAAGTATTATCAGGTTAAATACAGTGACATTGTGTGGTGGTGATATTTGTTTCCCGAATTAGTAAGAAATATTTTCATTTGAAGTTACCAACATTGTGATTTTATTTTGTTCTATTGTGATTCAATGCAATCCAATGTTTGTGTTTCATTTACTGATTTATACCAAAAATTGGTCTTTGTTTTTTCTTCCAGATAGATGATGGAGAAATATATGCTAGTATTAATCAGAAGGATGGTATGGTCAGTTTCCACGACAACCCAGAGAAATACAATAACCCGGCTATGCTTCTCAACATTGACCACGAGGTACTGAATAATTCATCAATGGCTCGGTTTTGCTTTTGCAATCAAAATCATTTGGAAAATTCATAGCTTAATCTTGTCACTTTATCCCATTATATTCCACTTGTATTGGTGAAGACTCGTTCATTAATGTGCAAGACCATCTAAGAAGATGCATTGGAAGCTCTGGGATCTATATTGTCCTGAATCGACTGAGTGTGACTTATTGTTTGGGTTCCGGTCAGTGCTACAACAGGGATGCAGATTGTAGCTGATAGCTCCATACTATTCTGTTCAATATCACTTGTCACTTTAAATGATTTAGAATTCAAAATAGAAATACCTTTTTTGGGGAATTGTGAAAAGCCCTCACATTATTTGTACAGTTCGCCTACAAATAGTCGCTACACTTCACAGTAAAATCCTGTCAAGTGTTTTAAGATATTGACGATGTGATAAGGTGCTTTGTCAAATGCAAGGATTATTATTATTTATAACTGCGACTTTTGTGGGTGAAGATTAAATTGGTCATGTGTGGCACAAATAAATATGCTGACGTTTCCTGGTAATCAACTGTGAGTCATCAGTACAGGAATTCCATGAACCATTTCTATTACCAGAGTCTACTATGACACAGCTAGTAAACAAGAGCATTAATATTTTTAAAACTGAATTCAACTCTGGCTGCAGTTGAACGTTAAGACCTTGCAAGTATCTGTCTTCTGTTCGCTTTATGAAGAATAATGTTCAGTATATTTTGTGAAGTACTTTGAGACTTATCACATTGGAGCTGTGTAAGATCAGAGATCTTGTGTTCCAAAGCAGAATTCTCCATATTCTGCCTGCTTTAACACTGCATCTTGAAGCTGCAATATTATAATAATAATAATACTTGTATTTGATATAGTGCTTTATCACATCATTGAGAAGTCTCAAAATGCTTCACAGAATATGCTGTAAAGTGAATTGACTATATTTTGTGGTCAAAATGCAGCAGCCAATTGTGCACAGCAGTGTCCCACAAACAGTCATGGATTGAGTGACCAAATTATTACTTTTTTTTGAGGGATTATTATACTCAGAAAGGGATCTGCCAATTGACTATAATTCAGGTTTCTACTTACTGCTAGGTAAACAAAGGCGCTGAAAGGAAACCTGTCTTAATGTTTTGCCCTGGCAGGCAATCGAACCAGGGTCCTTTCGCTTGCGAGGCGAGTGCTCTTAACCAATACGCTACAGGACTCTTCTCTTACTACCAATGTTTTACCCTATTTCAAAAGGTTACAATTGGAAAAACAAAGATTTACTGCTGAATTATGGAAATAAGACATTATCTATTTGGCAGATTGATTGTGACTAATGTGTTTCTTTTTTTTATTTAGATGCAGAAGTGTATAGAACTAGATGAGAAGCTGAAAGCCATGGATCAGGAGATTACTGTCAATCCACAATTTGTACAGAAGGTAAGAAATTGGTGGTAGGTTTTTGACAAGGTTTAAGTTGTAATTATTTATAATAATATGAAAGATGAGTAGATCTGCTTGATGCATTGCATTAAATTTGACTATCGGTGGTTGACACTGGACTTTGCAGACTCCAAAAGAGTGTCACGTTATCTGCTCTGTGCTTATTTAATTCTAACTATTACTTTCTCGACTTTTAAGTAATCAAATCAGACTGACAGAACACTGTCGTTTGAATCGCCTTTCCTTTACGGACGCAAATCTAGAAGTGCTTGGTGTTGAATGGTGCTTTATTGGAACCAGCATTTTTTTTTTAAGTGTGCTAATGGAATAAAATATTCAAAAAAAAATATTTGTCCTCCCGACCCTCATAATGACCTGGTTGTTTGAAGCCTCACTGTATAAAATGGAGGCTGTAGGAAGTGTCTTATGTTACTGGGGACTGTTCATAGACAAAGCCCAACAGACCTGTATAGATGAATGTGGGATGTTATTTTTGTTACTTTGCTTTTACAGAGCATGGGCACCCAAGAGGATGATGTAGGAAGCAAGGCATCAAGCTATTCATAAAAAAACACGGTGTATGAAAGCAACAACAACAATTTTAAAAAGTGCATCTGGATCACAGCTGGAGAAAAAGCAGGAAACTGAGGGAACGGTTTAGTCACACTGTTGCATGAACATCAAGAAAGAAAATTGACCATTGGTTTTGATGAGAATTCCCTCCATTATTAATGCTTTCAGAACTGTTTTCTTAGCAAAAGAATCTGGGTAGGAATAAATATATCGCTGTTTTATATATCATTGTTTCAAGGTTAACACCACAGCTGTGTTAAATAAAACTGACCTTTGTTTCTCCATTTTGTTTCATTAGTTTTTTTTTCTTTTCTGAACATAGTTGAGAAGCATTGGGGGATTACTTTGCAACAATAACTAGAGGTACATATTAGGAATGTGTTTATAGACTGGTTGTTGCTCGTGGGATATTTAATATTGGTTAAACAGAATTGAAATATATATGAGAGCTGTGTACAGCTGGTTTACTCAGTTTGCAGTTGCGATGGAATGTTTTGTTTGAGCATGATGCTTGCAGGAGTAATTTTAAGAACTACAGTATTTGGAATAAGCCCTGACAGGACACGTGAGCATGATATGTTTACATTATTAATGCAGCCAGAAATGTATCAACCTATCCTCTTCATGTAAATGCACTGTGTGACTGAATGATCTGTCACTTTTTAATATACTGCTAAGATCCAGCAGTACCTGAGATGTGTAATTAACTGCATTGTCACATACTGATGTGTGCTTTTTAGGTTATAATAATTCACTTTAATTTCAGAATCGCAAACAGTGTTCAGTTAATTACTCAGCTTGAAATTTACTTGAGTATAAATTTTGTACTAAATTAAAGTTTCAATAGTGATACCCACGCAAAATGGATCTGTTTTCTTTTGTTTACCAAGGCTGTTATACACTCCTTAACAATAGAAGCTTAAAGTCCTGTTATACATAAGAAGCTGTCCCTGTGCATGAGTGAAAACTTTCTGTGTTCTATCTCTTGAATCAATGCTTCATGGTAGTGACTAAAGTACCAAGCCTAATATTATTACTGTGAATATGTGTTGTGTTCATGTTGTTTATGCTAATGTTTCTGATCCTTTTTTGATGCCAGGGAATGGCTCAGTTTCTTCTTGAAATGTTGCACCCTGTTACTCAATGAGTCGGTCAGGTCACTTAGTCTAAAGAAGTCTCTAGTGTAGACCTGCCACGAGCTGGATTGACACCAGTCCTCAAACTTGTTGAGAAACGCTGGTCTAAACAACCATACCAGTGTGATTGTCTGTCACATGCCTGATGCTTTTCATTGACTTGCTTAATTTTATCCATTCAAATCCTACTTGGGAATGCTTAAGTTCTCAATAATAAAATTAAAGCAGACGGCAGCCAGTTAAGATTCTTAAAAATTATTCCTGTGGTCATACAGTGAAGACTCGGAGCTCTCTGAAGAGGGTTACATGTTGATCGTTTTGCCCACAAAATATACAGCCAATTCACTTCACAGTATATTCTGTGAAGTGCTTTGAGACGTCTCAGACATAAGGTGCTATATCAAATGCAAGAATTATTATATTAGCATGATCAGTTATGTGGGAGTAAGGGGAACAATTACATTATTTTTACAATCTGTTGCTGTTATCAGTAAACGTGCATAGGATCATTATAGATAATAAGGTGATCCTAGCTGGACAAGGGTGTGATCTGATCTGTGTAGCTCAGCTTCACACTAGGCAGTGTCTGTATCAATTGATCCGTTAATTGCAAAGCCTGCCATGAAACTCATTATTTAATACAGCACCTTATCACATCGTTGAGACGTCTCAAAGAGGTCCACAGAATATACTGTAAAATGAACATTGCTGGAAAGATATCAGACTGGTTCTTCATTTCAAGCAAATAGTCCACATTGACCACACACACTTTTGATGGGATATTTTGATGTGATGAGGGACTATTAAAAAGAACAAATTCTTTCTTTGTAAACTGAGCATACATCGCTATGACTCTCTCTTTTAGTAGAAAGCCATCTAAAATATATTCTTAACATACTCTATCTTACACACGTGACCCAAAATCACCCTAAGGAAGGGTTCGGTGCTGAATTTTATGCTGCCCTTGAAAATTCAGTACATTGCATGAGCAATTGATGAGGTAAATATACACTGGATCCCAAGATCATCTTCACTCAAACATAGCATTCCAGTTGACTAAATTGTTTTCCTACTTGCTCCCTTTTTATATGCAATCCCAGATAGTACTCAAATGTATAATTCAAGAGAAAAATATTCCACTTCTAGCTCTTTTTCCCTCCTCTCTTCGCACCCCCCACCCCCACACAAACACATTGAATATTCTGTTTAACCTATCAGTTTTTTACACAGTAGACAACTTCTCGTAATACTTTTTTTGTCTTTTTAATTTGGCTTGAAAGTTCTGTTTGGAACCTCCCTTGAGTGCTCCACATGTCAAGACACAGCAAAACTGATGCATTAGCTGACTAATCCTCCAAGTATATAGATTTTCCTAAAGAGGAAAGTACCTCCGTCAACTAAATAAATTATTTAAATAAATAATGTCTTTAAATGCAGAAAAAAAATACCTTTTCACTGTAGCTGAAAAATCATTCCCATCACCTCTGGGAGCTCCTTACCCCAATGACAAGGAGCTTGCATTACATCGGGAGTGATGTTGTAAGCTTTGCGTGTCCAACCTCCCATTTTCTCCCTATGATGTGGTTGCTCACAGTGCTACAAGTGCTGGGAACTCTCCAGCATCTTGGCCAAGTGGTAACTTTGTGTGTGAGCCTGCAGTGTAAACGCTGGCTGGTTATACGGCATCTGGGAGAGACTTGAGAGGCTGGGATTTTTCTCCTTGGAGCAGAGATGGTTTAAGGAGGTTCTGCAGAGAAGATCTAATAGAGGTGTTCAAAATTATGAGGGGTTTTGATAGAGTAAATAAGGAGAAACTGTTTCCACCGGCTGGTGGGTTGGTAACCAGGGGACACAAATTTAAGATAATTGGCAAAACCAGAGATGAGAATTTTTTTNACACAATGAGTTGGTACAATCTGGAATGCACTGCCTGAAAGTGTGGTGGAAGTAGGTTCAATAATAACTATCAAAAGGGAATTGGATGTTTACTTCAAAAGGAAGGGCTGAATGGCCTCCTGTGCTGTAAGATTCTGTGATCGCGCCTGAGCCTGTCCTCACCTTGTACCCCAGCAGGAATGCTGGATATCGATCAGAAAAGGGAATCGTGGCCCATTTGCTGTCCCCTTTCCTCCCTCAACTGTTTCGCTAGCTGAGGTCAGTTATCTTGATGCATCTAAAAGCTATGACCCAGGTTCTTTGTTGGCCTGTGTAGTTCAGTACTTCACTGGGCATTGCACTTAACCCAAGACCGCAGGTTTTTGACTATAACACAAGTTAACTGCTCCTAACAGTTAAAATCCCTCAGTTGGGAAAGGGTGGCAATGAATCAACCAGGGTTGATTCCCACTTGAAAGTGTGTTTCTGTAGACATCTTGATTGGACAAGAAAGAGCTTGGCTATAATGTTCTTTTATGCTCAAGTAATAATAATAATAATTCTTGCATTTGACATAGCGCCTTATCACGTCTTCGAGACTTCTCAAAGCACTTCACAGAATATACTGTAAAGTGTAGTGATGTAAAGTAGATGGGCAACTGGCTTGCTGGGCTTAACCTTTAATGGTTATGTGGATGAGGTACTTGGAGGCTACTGTGCTTGTGGAACTGTATTCTAGCAAGTGTTAAGTTTGTTGAGAAGGGAAAGAATTGGCAAAAGCCCCTGAAGCTATTTTATCAACAAATAAAAAATTTAAAAGGGATCTCATTGTTCGGATCGCTGATTCAAAAATTCAGGCTTTCATAAAAATATCTAATTTGTCTTTGTTCAACTGACTTGAAGACCTGGATCCCACCAATAAGTTTGTAAAACAATCTATTTAATCTTTTGCAACAGTGGTTTGGAACAGGAACCAATGTAGTTACAAAAGCTCATAATGCTCTAGCATTATATGGAGCTCATAGTCTTGTCTGAGACTTCAATGCACTGCTGGGGGAAATGCTGTATTATCGTAGGTGCCGTCCTTTGGGTGAGACATTGCAATGGGACGTTGCTGTGTGCAAATTGGCTGCTGCGTTTACCTACAAATTTGCAGTCACCACACTTACTGTAAACCTGTAAAATGTTTGGAGATGTTTCGACGACCTGATAAGATGCGATATCAAATACAAGGCTTATTTTTATGCAAGGATTATTTTATAAGTATATTCTGTGCGTTAAGTGCTTCTAGCTGGGTAGGTTTTATGATACTTTAGTTTTACCCACAGTTGTACTGTCATTCTTTGGGGGGAACAGCAGAGGGTGCTCACAACCAATGCCATGAAGGTGGAGAACAAGGCTGCTTTTAATTGCTGCACTGATCCAAAGGTTGCAACGCTTATTTGTAAAGGAGCTTGGCTGGTGTGCTGCTCAGTTAAAAAATTGGTCAGTTGGGCATAAAAAGATAAGTGGTTCATCACCCCAGCTTGTTTCAGCTGTTCCTAGTGCATCAATGAAATATGGTTGAAAATCCAAATGCTTTGGATTGTGCTGAAAGTCAATCTGCAGGGGTCAAGTTGATGCTTCTGCTTAGTTCAGAAGAATATGCACCTGTGTCATACTTCAAAGACTTGGCATTTGTGTTTAAATCTTTGGCAATAACCGTCTTTTTGAAAAGTTTGGGAAGAAAAACGCTCTCCATCTGTTTAGACTGGCTCTGTAATGCTATCATTAATCAAATGACGTTCATCAGTTGTGGTTTCTTTGATCTGTCCAAGTGTGGGTTTGTGAATCGTTCCCTGGCTTTTTATTATAAATATACAGAAAACACTCCTTCCTTTGGATATTATGTGATCAACACCAACTGCTGTGGCAAGAGGTGAGAATGCAGAAAATTATTGGGTATTGTTTCATCAACTACTGAGATTAACTTCTGAAACTGAGTAACTTGTTCCCTCAATAACCATTAAGGGCAAATGATGTGATTCAAAAATGTGTTACCCACTCCTCTCAGTGTGTCTACAGTCACCAGCTGAGCCCAATATTTGGCCTGTGCTTAGTTATTTGATCTCATCTTGAGCAGCATTTGGCAGTTATTATATATCCAATAAGTGATGACATGAGATGTGTGGCTAAGTAAATGCAACCATGCTGTTTCGTGTTAAAAGAGTCCTCACAGAGGATTTTAAAGCTGGGATGGGATGTTAAACCCAATTGCAGTGCCTGGAGGAGGCTGAGTGGTGACATTGGGTCCAGGGAACCTGAATGGAGACTGGTGTCTATTGACATGTTGCTTTTGTTGTTTGCAGGGTATTGTTTTGGTCATTTGCACCCCACGGGTAGCAGGAACTGTTAAAGGATGTTGTTGTCTGATTTACATGGAAACTTATTGTCTGCATGAATGTATATTGTGTGAGTGTGAATACACTCACAAGGGGATAAGACACTAGGTTTTGAGGAGGCAGCAGGGTTGGTCCTTGGAGGGACTTGTAACAAACAAGAGGGTCAGTTCACTCCTCCCCTGCTCAAACCATAAGTGCCAGCATTTTATGTACTCCGACTCTGACTTAAGGCTTTGGGGTGTCATCAAAATATATGTTTGTGTCCATTAAATATCTTAAAAGTTATTTTCAGAATTGTGTATTTAAAATTTGTAAGTATAAACGGGACACTGGTTTTGTCCTTCCAACAAAAGAAGACCCGACACGAACCATTGAAGCATTGGGTATAAAATGCCAAGCTCTGGGACAGGGGCGGGGAAAAGATATTCAACAGCTTCAAAAGCATCTTTCAACATGGTCACTGTGCCTTTG